ACTTTCCTCCTCCGCTTCATCTTCGCCGTCGTTTTGTTCTTCGGGTTTATCCCACTCTGCCATCTCCATATCGGCATCATCGCTGTCATTGTCGATATAGCTAACTTCCGGCTTCGCGGTGCCTCGGACGCTGCGTCTGCGAGAGGAAGCAGGCCGGGTGGTGCCTCCAGCACCTCCGTCTGAAGACCAGCCATCGTCGTTCTTTGATTTCCGTTTCGACTTGGCTGCACTGATCGATGATGTGGACTTGCGGGCGGGACGAGAAGACTTTTCCTTGCGTGCCTTTTTGGACACAGAGGTTTTGCCGTTCGCATCAAGAGACTCGGGTTTTCGCTTCTTGCTTGATCCGCCCTGTGAAGCATGGGTAGAGTTACTCCTTGGCTTCATTGCAATTCGAACGACGCGATCAAGCAAATCATCCAACTCATCTGGAAGGAAGTTCTTGTCGGCGACGTCTTGGGCTTCGCGGTGACTGCTCATGGAGGTGAAGAGGGAGCTTGGGACTCCCATCTTTCCAGGGTACGTTTGCAAAATGTTGGTTGCGCCGGCGGCACCGCCAAACTTGTGCTGTTGGGAGTAGACATCTGCGAAACGGCGAATAGTTGCTTGCGCCAGATCAGAGAGTGTGTGGAGCCGGGTGGAGATCTCGTCTGATTTGGTGATTCCATCGCGGAATTGCTTGACGCGCTGCCCGACGTGGAAAATCAATGACATGTTGTGTTCATTGGCAACTGCGGAGAGGTAGAAAAGGATATATTGAGAGAAGTCGGTCAGGTCGCCGAGTTTTGTTGCTTCATCCAGATCTTCAGACGGGTAATCAGGGTGATAGGCAAGCAAAGACAGGAGACGCGAGAAGATCAATTCCATGACCATGGTCTGTTCCGTCCGTTTCCCACTGGCTTGCGCCTGTTGGGCGAAGTATGCCGCTCGGGACCGCAGCCATGTGAGCGTGCTCTCTTTTAGACTATGAACAGGTTCGAAAGCAAGCAAACAGGGGACAATGTACCATCGGTGGCTCAGATGTGACTTTTGGACGAGTTTCTTCTTTAGGTGGTTGATGAATCCACTTCGCACCTGCAAGAGTGGATCCTGAGCAACCAAGGCGACTGCGTTGAAATCGGACGGCGTCAGCAGACTGTCGCAGACCGTGCTGGAAGCACATAGCTTGAGCAAGGACTTGGCAGCTAGAAGGCGAAGGCGCGATTTTTGGGTTGCAGGGGTATCTTTCTTCTTAGAGATCTCGCCTTCACCAATCACCAATTTATTCAATGTTTCGTAGACAGGCTTTGCGTGGGCACGGAAGTCAGCTTCATCGTCTGCCCCATCCTTGGCCCGAAGGCGGTTGACAATGATTTTCAATGCCCATTCTTTAGCCTTGGTCTCATCATCAGCTGTCTCTGACCAGTTGTATTCAGAGTCTGGTTCGGGTGTACGATTGGTGAGCAAGATTTGATTGATGGCAATCGAAATGATAGCATCACTTTCTTCATCTGCTTCTCTCGGTGCAAGGAGGTTCAGCTGCGACAGAGCAGCCAGGCGAGTGAGGTATCGATCAGATCCGTACGTCCACTTCGCAACGCACTTATGTACCAAATCCTTCGCATACATCTCTTTTCGGTCAGCCGTGGCCATGAGAATTGACACGGCATGTTTCGCAGAATGCGGCGATGAACTATAAAGGGCGTAGTTGGCCAGAGCCTGGAAGAACTTGCGCTCTTTGGGGAGTTTAGCAGGAAGCTTTTTAGCGAAACCAGCACAGGCCTTCAAAATGTCTTCAGCACTACCGTCACCAGCGGAGGAAGCCTTGGGGGCTTGAGCCTCGAGGTCTTTGCACATCTCTTGGACCTGGGCCTCTAGGACTTCCGGATTTTGGGATGAGATTTGCTTCAACATTTCCTGTGCAGCATTGGCCAATCCGTTCTCATCTGTTCGGGACAAACTCATGATCGCCGGGATGTGGCTCCGGTTGAACACCAAAGACCCACAGCGATACACAAGAGGAGTCAACGTTTCCAGCAGGGGAGAGTTATTTGCACTCTGGACCCGCCGCTGGAGTTCTTTTGTGGCCTTGACAACAGTGCGATAATCACTCACAGCAGCCATGGTGAAGCGAACCAGCTGATAGCTTCGTCGATCATGCACCTTGGCGAACTTCCACAAGTCTGCCGATGCCCGTGAGGCGTCTGGGAAGGTTTTGGATAATGATTCAATGATCTTGGACAATTGTGTCTTGATTTGTTCCTCGTCCTTGTCGACAACACCACCATTGTACTTCTCGCAGGCCTCTAGGTAAAGCGTCACTGCCGATCTCATCGACAATTGACGGGCCAGCATAACGAAAAAGACTCGCCTCGCCTTTTCATCCAGTCCACGGAGCAGGGTAAGAATTCGGCGAGCGCGAATCTTGTCAACATCTGTCTCTTGCTCGGGTTCGGACGCCTGACTATCCTTCTGCTTCTGTGATTGGTTCGAGCTGCCTCGAGAAAGTTTCGCTTTGATAGGGGGATAAGGAAGTGGCAGAAGTGTCTCAAACAAGACGCGGTCGATCAGAATGTGGATTTCTTGATCGTTGGTGTAAAATGCATCAAATATCTTGGATGGTGCATCTTTGAGAAGGGACACGACGGGCTCTGTATTTTGCTCGATGTCACCAGCCGCCACCGCCCACATGCGAGCCAAAATCTTCATGGCGTGTTCACGCACATGCGGCTTGCGATCCTTCACTCGCTCGGCAAGAATAGCAAGAACCGAGTCTGGTGACGAACAGCCACCATCGACACTTAGCTTGTGGACGATTTGAGAAAGCCCAAACTGCCCGACGGTATCAACTGCAGCCACACGAACCTTCTCATCAACGTCGCGGAGCATCGAGGCCAGGTTTCTGACAAGACTGCGTTCTTCGCTTTCATGTAGACCAGAGCCTCCGGCTGAGGTTAGCAGGATTCGCCCCACAACTGTGACCCAGGCAGCACGGACTGATGGTGTCTTGTCAAGACGACGGCTCAAGAAGGCTTCATAGGCCGAATTGTGGACTTGGGAGAAAGGCTTGGGGGATACGGGTGTAAGCAAAACATTGGGCTGGGGAATGGTCTTGTCATAATCCACTAATGACACTGGCGGGTAAGTTGTAGGGTCCATGGGAGGAGGGGGTGGGGGACCTGCAACACCGATTCCAGCCGCGAGGTCTCCGATCGTCTGAGTGGCCAATAAACGCAGGGCCACCGATTCTGCAGAGAGTTCTGCTTCAATCTGCGGGATGACATTCTGCAGGACCTCTGGACAAGCACGCCAAAGCTCCCGGATCAGACGGTGTGCCTTGCTTAGTTCCTTAATATCCTCTCCCTCCTCATCAGAGTCATCGAGGTTGGGTTTCCGAGCATGCTTAGAGCCATTCGTTTGGCCAGCTGGCACAGACGCATCGATGATGACATTGTTAAAGTACTGGCTGATGTGACTAGTCATTCTTTCGGGGCAGGCCTGGCAGATAGCCTTGGCCATGTTATAGGCAGCTGGGTAGTCCTTCAGTAGAAGGGTATCCTGCTTGGCGTCAGGCGGTGCATCTGGTCGCTTTCCCTTCTTGTTAGACTTGTCCAACACTCGCGGGTCGACTCGGAGGAATTGGGCGACGATAATGTCCACCACCTCAGGGGCCAACACGAGGGATTCATCGATCACGGTGACGAGTACTCGGGTCATGTCAAACTCGACATTCTTAGCCACCTCCTCACCGGTGGATGCTTTCGAAGAACCCGAAACGATGTCGAAGCAGCCCGTGAACAAAGGGACAATAAGCGAGTCCGGGTGATCAAGATCGACCATCAAAACCACACTCTTCACCTCGGCGAGAGATCCCAGGACGTAGATATGCTGGGCATTGTAGGCGTTGGATGGATCGGCCAAAGCGGGGATAATCGAGGACACGATACATGTGAATATATCCTAAATTGGTCTCAGTCAGTACATTCTATGATCGCATAGACAAAACACATATTTTGTGTCTCTTCAATTACCGCACCTTCAGTTGATTGCGCGTAAAAGGCGCGTCTGGTGCGCATAGTCGCAATACATCAACGATACAGCACGTAGCCCACGCTCTGACACCCTTATCCTTGTGGGCAAGCAAGTTCCCACTGGCAAGTTCCTGGGACACTTTCCGTAGCGATTCCTTATCAATTTCCTCCTGGTCAAGTTTGCGGAGTTCCTGCGCGAGGGTCTGGAGACGTTCGAGGAGATCCGCGATGGGGATGGCGGAGCGCCCCACGCGCCATGAGAGGGGCTGGTTGAAGGACAGACTGCGAAGCCCCGAGTCTTCCTCCACCTCGGGAGGACCTGGGCGAGAGCGCGAAGGCATCGTGGATGATCGCAGTTCTCACATGGACTGGGGGAGGTGGAGAGTTTCGACTCGGGAGTTTGGGTGGAGGCTGACCGCCCAGGACGCGTCGCACGGGACCGCGTCCTGCCCTACAAAGGTGTCATACGGTACATTAGATCGTTTTATGTATTTGAATGAATATATTAGGTCTACGACTCATATCATATCTCTGTTAACTTGTACTTGTTGGTCTTAACTTACAAGCCTTCTTTCAGGGAAGACACGTAAGTTTCTCCAGAGCTACAACAACAGACTTTAAAACGGTTTCTCTGCATAACTAGTATGAACAGTCTAGAGAAAACACTGCTAGTCGAAGAATATATCAAAGATAGCAAAAGCAATACCCAAGAGCCCTTTGCCAGTAGGTATCATGTCTACGGCTCATGATAGAGCAGCCTTCGGGTGATACTTGGTTTGGTTAAATTGCTACGTTAGGTATATAGAGGTTCAATATTAGAGTAGAGTTATTAATAATATTGATTAAATATGCAAGCTCTCATGATAAAACAAGCGAGTAGGTCTTATGTAGCAGAAGCGACCTGACTTCCCTGCCTGTGAAAAGGAAACCCCTAAAGTTATCTATGTAATCTTTTTGTGTGTGAAAATGAGAGAGAAGTAGGTCAATCGCCTAGAACTTAGGACTGAACTTGCTCATAGCCCGGATCTTAGAACCATAAATGAAGAACAAGATAGGAATGGGAATCATAGCCAGAGTAATAAAACCCAGAACACTAGATGCCCAAGCCACTCCTAGATCCCGGTACATTTGCGTAGCAAAGAGCGGGAAGGCGCCACCCATGGTTGAACGGATGAGGGTATTCGCCGCGATAGCGGAGTTGGCAAACATCATGTATACATCAATGATGTAGTTGAGGCCTTGCATGAAGATGACCAGGATACCCAGACCGATAGGCACGCCGGCAATGACCTGCGGGACCCAGGAGATGTGTGGGCTGGAAGTCCAGCCGAACCAGAACAGACCGATTGGCAGCAACACAGAGGCGATCATCATTGGTACCAGACGTTCTTCGGGAACGACCTTGCCGTGCTTTTCAAGTTTGCGGGCGAAACGGGTCTTCGTGGTGTATATGATGAGAGAGGCACCGAGGAAAACGCCAATAATAATGCCGATGAATGGGAGGGCAGCTACGCCTTCGTGTGTCCAACCGCGGATTTCGCCAAAAGAATATGGGTAAGCCTCGAAGAATAGGTAGAGGATTCCGTAAACTAGGGCGAGGTAGACAGTCATGGCAAGTAGGATCGGCTCTTGCACGAGCATCTGGAAGGGTCGGAAAAGGTACTTGGTAACGATATCTGACAGTGTGGGCTTGTGCAGATCCAAGAAGGCATGGAGGTCCGAGTTGTTGGTTTCAGTGCGCAGACGGGCAGCTCTCCTTTGCAAGAGGACAGGGCCGTAGGTCTCGGGAATGACAAAGAAAGCAATTATACCGAAGAAGCCGGATGCAATTAAGGTGATCCATGCGGTCCAGCGCCAGCCAAGGTGTGAATCTGTGATGAAACCACCGCTGAAGAATATTAGTTTTCTGGATAATGCCTTGGGGGATGTCCTTCGAGGATATTCCGAAGAAGCAATCTGAGTAAGTACTCACATAATTGGGCCAAGAACAGGTCCCATGAAAGTAGCAGAGCTGAAGAGAGCGATAGCCACAGCGCGGTCCACGGGGTTCCAAATATCAGCCAGGGCACCGCCAACCACGGCCAAAGGCGAGCAGCCAAAGACACCCATGAGAAATCGGCAGACCAGGATGGTTTCGAGGTTCGTAGCGACAGCCACGGGGATCTGGAAGATAGCGAAGATGGTATAGCCTGAGAACAGCGGGATGCGACGACCGTATAGCTCGCTCAGCGGTGCCCAGCACAGCGGACCTAGAGCAAAACCAAAAACAACCAAACTGGTACCGAGAATCATTACTTCGGTCGACACATTGAACTCCTTCGCAGTCACCAATGTCGCAGTTGAAAAGACGCTGGATGCGAAGGTGATCCATACGGTCATGGTGGACATGGTCAGTGTGATAACCCATTTGCGCCGATTAGTGAAGTTCTGGGGGTGCTCGGGGTCATTGCCATCCCAGTCGACAAGGTTGGGATCTGCGCTGGGGGTTTCGGGTTTTTGTGGTGTTTCGACTGCGTTCTCGACATCGACATCTGTTTCGTTCTTATCGTGAAGATTGTTGGTGGTACTTCCCTCGATGGAACCATGTTGTTCCATACTAAGGCGAGGTGTAGTTGTAGTTGAGTCAAATGGTTGGGGAGTCATGATTGCTCCAAATACCTCGGAGTATAGGGTAGATGGGACAAGACTATAGTTATCTAGTTAGGTGCACATGTGGTGATATGAGAGAAAACAATGGGAAAGAACCTGTCGAGACGGGAGGTCATATAAACCCTGGGCCCATAATATAACGTCGCAAATGTTCCAGGGAAACGGACTCGGAGATATACCGTCGAAGCTTTGTACAAATTAAAAATTAAAAAGGGTTGTGGAGACCAGTTTATTCCCTACGGAGTCCTCCGTATATAGTTAGATGTATAATATCGGTCATTCGCTCTCCACTATATCCGTAGTTGCACTCTTCACGTCATGGTTTCTTTGGCATACAACATACAATATATCCATGTATCCATGGATACATATCTGCCTAACCAACTCATATCTATGTCCACTAACACCGAGGTATACTATGCATTGTATACCCATGTCACCATGTGGAATATTCATATATGAGAACGCTAGATTACAAACAAGAATAACAAGAATTCGAAGGAGAAAAAAAAAAAAAAACAAAAATCCTGCTCATCCTGCTCCATGAAAGATTAGCCCATGGACCAGTCAAATCACGCACAAGGCAAGTCTCTCACGTTCGCTCTTCGGCTTCAACCAAGCACCGACAAAAAGTGGAGATCCCGGCTTAAGGCCGAGAACGAAGTGCCGAGTCAAATTTATATTCTCCATTGTCCGATCATCCGAGTTGTTAGTTGTACAACATACGGAGTAATTATTCTTTTATAAGACCGACGTTAGTTAGTTATGTAGTGTTACATGTAACTAGTTCGAGTTCTTAACTAGTTAGTTACTCCTACGTACAACTGGCTATTGTGTTTGCCAACCAACAGAGCCGAAGACGAGAGAAATGGGCCCATAATATATCTAGATAATAAGCCTGATTGGCAATATTGGGTAGTCCAGAAAAGGACACACCATTCATTGTATATCAAAAGGAAATCCACCATACGATAAAACTCTACAAGAACATCGATGAACGTAAGAGATCTCTCCACCTGTATTGGCTATTATGGCACATTGTATGTGGGCAAAAACAGGAAGAAACGAAGCGGAAAGGGGAACCCCCATGGAAGCCCAGCAGTCAGGCCCGCATTTCCACCCACGCGAAACGATCTATTCATAAGCGAATTCGGGCGTAGAAACCCGGGCACGGCTGAACTAAGGGAAAACAAGTCATATCACCTCGAAGCAAAAAGAAGCGTTTAATCGTAGAGGCTGTCGTCATTGCCGGCTTCGCCGAAGGTATCGTTCTCCTGGACTTCACCTGCAGATGGGAAGCGGAAGAAGCTGCCACCTCCGGTGTTCTTCAGGCTCTGGGCGAACGCCTCATAGCGGCGGATCTCGACGTCGCTGACGGAGCGGCGAGCGGACTTCATGGCCTCCTCGAAGTGGGCGCGAGTGAGCTCGGGCACGGGGTCTTCCACATCTTCATCCTCCTCGGCCATCGTGATGTCCTCACCGGCGGCCTCGCGCTCCTTTTGGCGGTCGATGTCGGCAGAAATGGCCTGCTTGATGGCGAGCTTGACGGCACGCTGTGTCACGAAGCCAAGATCGGCACCGGAGAAGCCGTGAGTCTTGCTGGCAATGAAAGCAATGTCGACGTCACCGGCGACAGGAGTCTTGCGAAGCTGGGCCTTGAGGATACCCTCACGAGAGTCCTGGTCAGGCAGGGGAACATAGACCAGAGTGTCAAGACGACCAGGACGGACTAGAGCGGCATCGAGCTGTTCGGGACGGTTGGTAGCACCAATGACGAAGACGTTCTTCTTGGAAGTCATACCATCCATCTCTATTAGGGAATTAGTGACTATTCAGAACCAAAAAAAAAAAAAAAAAGAAAAAAAGACTTGTAACGGTGGAAACTTACCAGTAAGAAGTTGGTTGACAACACGGTCGGAGGCACCACCAGCATCACCGACGGAACCACCACGAGACTTGGCGATGGAGTCCAGTTCGTCAAGGAAGACGACACAAGGAGCAGCAGCACGAGCCTTATCGAAAATGTCACGGATGTTGCTCTCGGACTCACCGAACCACATGCTCAGAAGCTCAGGGCCCTTGACGGAGATAAAGTTGGCAGCACACTCGTTGGCAACAGCCTTGGCCAACATGGTCTTACCAGTACCAGGAGGACCATAGAACAGCACACCGCGAGAAGGTGAGAGACCGAACTTCTGGAACATCTCGGGGTGGTCCACGGGGTATTGGACACTTTCGACAAGCTCGCGTTTGACTTCCTCGAGACCACCAATGTCGTCCCAGCGAACGTTGGGAACTTCGACCACAGCAACCTCGCGGAGAGCGGAGGGGTTGGAGACACCGAGGGCAAAGCGGAAGTTCTCCATGGTGACACCGAGAGCCTCAAGAACCTCGGCATCGATGGTGTCCTCATCAAGATCGATGAGATCCATCTTCTCACGGATCTGCTGCATAGCCGCCTCAGAGCAGAGGGAAGCAAGATCAGAACCGACGTAACCGTGGGTCTCGGCGGCAATAGTCTCCAGATCGACATCCTCGCCAAGCTTCATGTTCTTGGTGTGGATCTGCATGATCTCAAGACGGCCAGTTGGGTCGGGAATACCAATGTCGACCTCACGATCGAAACGGCCGAAACGACGAAGAGCAGGATCAATGGAGTTAGGACGGTTGGTGGCGGCCATAACCACGACGTTGGAACGTGCCTTCATGCCGTCCATGAGGGTGAGCAGCTGGGAAACGACACGGCGCTCGACCTCACCGTTGGTCTTCTCACGCTTGGGGGCAATGGAGTCGATCTCATCAATGAAGATAATAGCGGGGGAGTTCTTCTCGGCCTCCTCGAAGGCCTTGCGCAGGTTGGACTCGGATTCACCGGCCATCTTTGACATGATCTCGGGACCGTTGATCAGGAAGAAGAAAGCACCAGTCTCGTTGGCAACAGCACGAGCCATCAGGGTCTTACCGGTACCGGGAGGACCGTACATGAGGATACCACGAGGCGGCTTAATACCAATGGACTTGAAGAGCTGAGGATGACGGAGAGGCAACTCGACCAATTCACGGATCTGAGCCATCTGCTTGCGGCATCCACCAATATCGTCGTAGCCAACCTCGTTGAGGTTACCCTCCTCATCCTCTCGTTGGATGGGCTCACCCTCGCAGTGAATAATTGTGTCCTGGGCAACAATGCCGTATTCGGGAGGGTCTACCTCCACAACCTTAAATTCGATTTGTCTCATACCACCTCGTACTGTGAACAGGTCACCCTGTCGGACTGGTCGGTAGGCCTCACGGAAGTAGGGAGCAAGGTAGACATCGAAGAGAGAACCAGTCAGGCCCTCGATGGTATCGGCGATGGGAAGGACAGCAATGCGCTTGGCCTAGAGCACGAAGATATAATTAGCCAGTGGATCATGGTGATATGACGTGGAAATGCAAAACTTACATATTTGATATCCGGGCAAGGGTGCACAGTGATCATGTCGCCGTGCTTGACACGAAGGTTGTGACGCACAACACGGTTGATGCGGGCGCTTCCATCATCGAGATCGTCATCGGCGAGGACGATCAGCACGGTATCCTTGCGCTTCTTGCCCTTCACGAGAACTGTATCACCACGGAAGAGCTGGAGAGTCTCCATGGTGTTGTTTGAGAGAGCAATCACCGAGTTATCATCGTTAACGGCATCGGTCACACTGCACGAAAACTGTCAGCTTCTTGCCTTCAGCATATATCTCTTATCAGCTACTCACATCAAGGAGTTGGGCTTCTTCTTCTTCTTCAAGATAGCGGTGGAGGTATCGAGCTCCTGCATTTTTTGTCAGTTCCGAGGCTTTTTGTGAGCTGTCCTGCAGCCTATGCTTACCTCCTTCTTCTCAGCGCCCGAGGCGTCCCTGGAGTCCGGTTAGCATCCTCAATAATCAAAAGTGTTCAAATGAAACGTACTGCAAGTGGACCCTCTTCTTGTCGTGCGTGTGATCCGGCTCGGAAGACATGATGGCCGTAAATGAGGTCGTGAAGTTGATGGAAGCAAGCTTGAGTGAACGAAGGTGTCCAGTGCCCAGAAACAGGCGGAGCGAGACACGGATTTAAAATGGAATGAGAAATGAGCAATGGAAATGAAAAAATGAACCGATAGATCAGAATCAGAGAGCAAATCCGACGGCGGCAAAGTGGAGATAAAGGTAGGTTACAGGAATGATGATGTTGAGCTTCCTACCTCTGCTCTTAGAACTGATGATGATGACTTAAGCCGGGCGCTTATGTCATCGCGTTGTCCGCCACAACGAAGCGCATGGAACTCAGTCGATTGGAAGCCTTGATGCCTGGGGCAACGCAACAGCTGATAACTGCTGTTACCAAGGTCCTTACAATTATAACCCTGACATTATTACAACTACAGCAATTCTAAAATGGTAGTCAAACAGAAAGGCCACGGTGCACTTCCCTCAAAATCAAAGAAGTTCCAACTCTATGTGGTTAGACTAGGACAAGAAACCCACGAAGTAATAAAGTCCATACTTACTACCACAGAAGCATATGCCGGCCAACGTCGAATCTGCCAAGTCTTCGGATGGAGACCCATTTACCCTGTGCAAGTGCTTAGAGGATGTAGAAATGAGATACACTTAAAAGGAGATGATATCCTTAGCAAAGGCTTATATCGAAAGAAACGCCAACCCTGCTATAGTTAGTCATCGGAGCAAATGTGTCAAAGCAGTTTCTCTATTCTGAAAAATTGGTGTAGGGCTATAAAATCCGAAAGCCAATAAAAAACCATGCGCGCTGTCAACACCAGGTATATGTGCAAGTAGAAGGGGATTTGTACAAATTAGAAACGAAGGGGAAACCCCCGAGGACCACCACAGGCAGTCCAATATCTATCTATGCTTTAACGCTTGCGGTTCCAGCCCAGCAGTCATGAAGACTCCAAGCCCCAGCACAGAAGCTGATAATCCCGGTCAAGCTATCGGGAATACCAATGCCTTTCTCGACACACCAGTGCAGACACAATGGTGCCCAGATGACATTATTCACCATGCTCTTTCGCCAAGCCCGGATCTCCAAACGTAGGGCTTCGCTATCTTCAGCCTTGGTCTCTTTAGTCTCGACTGTGCCGGCAGCCGCTCGCTGTGCAGCTAACCGCTGTCTGCGCAGCACACTCTGACGCCAGAGCACGAAGAACTGGAAGAAGATGTGCCCAAACCACCCACGAGTACTCCAAATATCCCATTTGGCAAGGCCTCCGTATTTGTCCACGAAGCGCTTTGAGACAACACCCTTGGATGCAAGGTAGCCCACGTTCTCGAGAAGCTGGTAGATCACATTCGAGATGACCTGCAGGACGGTCAGGGCGTGGAGAACGGGATCTGCTGGCGGTGATTTGAGGGTTTCAACTCCCCAGATCCACAAAGGGAGCAGCCCAAACAGGCGCAAGTTGTATCTTGTCTCCGATGCGAGGGAGCAAAGGGCCGCGAATTTCGATTTTGACGACGCGGGAGTGACGTTCTTGGTGGGTACGCGACCTTTCAATCGTGCAAGGACACCCAGTCTTGTTTGTAATGCTATCCAGGGCGCTGACGCAGTGAGGTGGTGCAGCATTGAGGCGACATAGTTGACAGTCGCTAGTACTCGTTCTTGTCCGTTTGCCTCCGATAGTAATCTGCAGGAGCGGTCAGCGATATCCTTGATCTGTGTCGAGCGCTGATCTCTCGCCCTGGCATATCAGGATCGAAAGGGGCCTTACAGATCCAGCCGGCGGATTGTCACATCGGTTGTTGTCAAGGCGGCCAGTAGTTGTCGCTTTGGGCATGAGCTCCCGGCGGGGGCTTTCCCCACCTGAACATCAGTTCCCTCGCCTGGAGTGTGTTCAGGGTCGGACATGGTGTATGATGAACATGAGAAAGAGAGAAATGAAATGAAATGAAATGAAATGAAATGAAATGAAATGAAATGAAATGTACTTGAGGTTGGGTGGAAGCACAAGCCCACAAGCGGAACCGAGGCTCGGAACTCAAGGAAATTCGATCTAATCTCCGAGGGGTTATCCCCCAGCATTTTAGTCATCGCCTAACTACCTAGGTAGGTAACCTACATAGCCGCTAGTTTGGCATCAAAATTCAATTAGTTCTACAGTCTACATATTTATCCAAATTCCCTTTCCCTTCGATTGATTGGGATTTTTTTTTTTTTTTTTTTGAAAACCAAACTGTCAATTACCAAGAGGGACAAACTACCGCTAGGGAGAACAGGAAGAATTCTTAGTTAACTAGTTAGACCTAGCCAACCTATTATTAAATTTGAATGCATTTATTTAGCCCTACAATTGGTACGTACAATTGATCTCTTTGACTATGAGTGTAAATTACATCCTTTTATTCTCTCACATGACCACACGTGTTACGAGTTGGCACAGCTTCCTATATCTGAGGGTCCATAAATGTTGAATTAAGCTAAGTAGCTTCCTAATTTTAGTACCCGGAATTTTCATGTTCTCTGAATGAATAAAAAATAGTTGGTAATCCCATAGCAATCCATGGATCTCCTAGGCTGATGAAACAAGGACAGATGACTACACAAGCTGGAATAAATCAGTTTTAACTCTACGCTCTTAAGATTTTCCCTAAGTGGAGACACGCTAGTTAATCTAATTTTTAGATCTTCTCCTGTTAATCCATGCAGGACTGGCTGTATTGTATCCACTGGTAACTACAACGAGTCATTGTTATAGGGTTATAGATGGAATCCATCGTGCAGCCAGATCAAACAAAAAGAGCTTAGTTGGTAAATGAAGAGATGAAAAGTGGGAATAAAACCAATTCCTATCAAGTAGTAAAGTTAGACATCAATTTGATTAAAGGATATTGTGAGGAGCATACTGGACCTCATTATGTAGATAGTGACGGTATAGGGGTATAATGTGCAGATTGAATGGAGCGGATGGCACATCTGTGAGATGATCGCTCCCAATGCTTGCTTCAATCCTGTTTCAACCAGCGTGGGCTTTCGTGAACGATTCTTGAGGTATGATCTTCCAGAAGAGGCGGGGTAACATCAAATCCGCTAAAATTGTGAAGGTCGGCAAGTCTTTTGCTTAGAAGTTCATCCTCAGCATGCCATCTGACTAGAGCCCAGCAGCCTTGCTTTCTTTTATCCTCTCGAAGCACATAGACAGGGAAAGGAGTCGTGGTTTTGTGTGCGGTATGAAAGTCATAGGCAGAGTTGTTGATGTCAATGACGATGAAGGTGCGCTTGCTCCATACATCAATTGCGAGAACCAGTATTTGAGGGTTGCTGGGCCAGTCTGGAAACACTTGGCTAGCGATGTCGTACGAAGAAGTACGGTAGTCTTCAGGGTTCAGAGCTTTCGTGCTAACTTTGATGACAATCCGCCTGGTGATGTTATCTTTAAAAATCTTGTTCCGTATGTCGGAGGATGTAGTCATATTGAACAAGAAAGCGTGAATTTGCCAGCCACTTAGTGAATATTTCTCTTGAGAAAGGTAGATTACTCATGAAGGGGTTGATACAAAAAGAAAAAGATAGGTTATCCCTTAGATCTAAGCTCTGAACGCGGAGGCTTGCAAGCAGAGCGCCAGGACCTTCATTTCCCCCGCTCTTTGGCACTTTCCTGGCATCTTCCTGGACTTTTACTCATCCGTATCTATCACTCTTTTATTGGACTTAATGTCGGCCGATTTAGGCGTAACTGCTAAAAAGCGACGTGTTGGTCCTCTAACACTGTACGAAAGTAGGGCCATCGAGAAGCTTCGGACTATCTCATAGTTGGTCAACAAAACGCGGTTTGTCTTCAAGGGTGGAAAATCAAACATGCTTCTTCAGCCGTTGCGTTTATGGAAGAAGTCCATGTGAATGATACATTATCTTGCTAGTTTATAGTATAGTACATTGTGTATCTTTTTGATATCTTAATCTAATTGATGTACTTGGTTTGGTACACATGAGTTTTCAGAATATCCAATTTAATTTAGTATCATTTACATTTACATTTACATTTATATATTTATATATCAATGATTTTTATTTTTACTCGAAGTCATCCTTGGAAATTCTTCATTTTGGGGGAAAATCCCAGACTCTCACATGTACCGTACACATGTCGCTCACCCCCCCACTCACCTCCGCCTGACTGCGGCCTCACCTCACCTTCACCACTTCCTCACCTGACTTCATCCTCCCTTGAATGTAGTAAGGCAAGTATATATACCCCGGTGGGTCTGGGGAAGTGTACTGGGCACAAGGGTTGAGAGAGTTCTCGTCAGACCCCGTTTGCGGGCTGGGGGGTTGCGGCGAGGCAGGCAACGAAACGTAGGCAGACACCTCTCACTGCCCACCTCAACCCCTGGATAGTACCTCCACCACGTATCATCATCAATGGTAAAAGGGATCTGCGGCGTTGTACTTGAGAACTCCGGTCGCTTGGTAGGTTACCATCAGAATTGCCGGTGACCGATCCATGCGCATGCTGAGAATTGTAGTTTTCAATATCCTGTCGGCTTCTCCTAGCCTGGTAGGCTCTCAATTCATCTGGGAGTCGAATCAGGATCTTCGATATTGTGAACGTTATTCCTAGCTTGGTGGCTGGCGGGGGCATTGCCATGTCGTCTGAGCATCCGTCAGTGACGGTATCGATCGATTATGCGACTGGCGAATTCACAAATCCGTTGAGCGAACCCAAGTCCAGCGTGGCGACCGGCGAATCCGACATTCTGGCGAACAAGGCTGAGGCCATCATCGCAATTGGTCAATTCATGATTTCTGTGATGGCGCAATTGGAAGTACCGCCGAATGTTGCCCACAAAGCCTGTGCTCTCATCGGGACCTATATTAACTGCATCAGGTTCGTCGCTCTCGGTGGTAATGAGCGACAAACCTAGGGTGGGACTATCACTGAGCTCATCATATTCCTCGGTGATGTCTCGGGGCCTTTGTGACTCGGCCCGGAAACCAGAAGTCTCCAGCGCATCCACGTTGGAGTGGTGCAAAGGCATGGGTGGTGTCGCGTCGGGGTATCTCGTCCCCGACAGAGAAGCAGTGTTGCGAATGAGAAAGAAATTGTGGAAAGGTAAGGCTTCGGGGGTGTTTGCCAGAAGCACTACACATAAGAGAAAAGGAATGTTCGGCACCTCTGCAGGTGACTGTAGCTGGCGAAGTACGCTGCTATGCTTGGGCTTGAACAGACAGTGTCACGCCGGTGTGCTGCCAAAAGGCTTGCACCCTCGAAAATGATTGACACTTTGGCCGGTAGCTGGAGATACACAGACGTGATGAAAAATGCCGAAGCAGATGGAATCAAATTGATCAGGGACAGCTGAAATGGGATGAATTGGCGGAGAACAGATGAAGCTGGGTATGAGGAGCGGCGCAAGGTTTTGGTCCCATCCATGACATCGTCGCCGAGTCGTTCACCGGTTGATAGATGACCTGATGACATCGTGGTGCCCGACGATAGGCATAACGACAACTTCGGCAACAACTCGCTCGTATATTCCTTATATCTCAGATGGCCATGTTCCCACACGGTCAAATGCGTGTTTCCTATGGACTTATTGCTCTTGGTTGGAATACTTTCAACGGTAGAGAGCGCAACTGTGGTGACGGTCATTTTTATGACCCGTTATATGCCTGATATTGGAATCACCAATCAGTGCATTTATATTTGCTCTGGCTCGGTTACTGCTCGCTGGCCTATCTCTACATTTGGTTGGAATGTGGGACACTCCAGAATATATAACAACCTCGAGTGGCATAAAGCATTGCTTTATGCCTATCAACTATGTGGGAATATGGTGATTTCCTTTTATTACCTTACCCCCGGAACCCTTTTTACGGGAAGAACATGGACTAGTAGGCAGAATGTTAGATTCTCAGACTACTACAGATCTATAGACATTGAAGATAAAGACGCCAAGGGGTATTTGCGGCCAAATTCTGCACAAAGTCTGCACACAAATATAACATGCAAGTATAGAATGTAGTACACCTGCATGTACTCCATAGTTAACTGACGGATATGTACCCTACAAACTACATATGTAAACTAATAGGCCCCAGATATCTACATATGGATTCGTTTAGTCTTGAGTAACTGGCTCAAATCCAACACAAACCACAAAATTTTTGGAAAGAGATAATTCTTAGGTCTACATAGAGGTGAGAAGTGCCCCGTGACCATTAAAGCCCTGGGCATTGTACCAAAATAACAAATGACGAAACTTCCAATATGGATCATTAAGATCTATGTTGTATATGAAAATCATAAATCCATATATATCCATATATAATATTCTCTACAAAATTGTAAATAATAAGGGGTAAAAGCCGTCAAAGCCCCCGGATTCAACCAAAAGCCGTCGGGGGTTTCCGATGTACTCCGCCAATGGATCTCGCCGGGGATCCATCTGCCGATTGTTCATATAGCCGTCTCCATTTCCTGGATATAATCTTCCGACTGAATTTATTTAAGACATACATATATATATATATATATATATTCAACTGAGTTGAGATATTTTGTGTGAGTTCTATATTGGAAGGCCTCGGCTGTTGTTATCCTATCCCAGCCACCCTCGGGCCGGCCAACATAAACAAACAAGACCATCCCCCCGGTCTTCACACCCCATCATCTTCTCAATTTCTCCACTTGGGCACCTTATCATCCATTACATACAGCATATTAATCCTTTCAATTATTAGCTTATTTTAGGAGCGTGTCTGATCTGAAGAGCCCTCCTGATCCCTCCTGAATCCTGTCCTCCCCCAACCCCCTCCGATCACCACAATGTCCGTTAAGTTCCAAGAGGAGGCCGTCCGCACTGTCACGGGCGGCGGCAAGCCCGAGGACCTCGTGCATCGCGTCGGTGAACGATTGACCGGTGGAAAGACAGCGGCTGGGTATCTCCAAGTATGCAGCATCCCCCTCCTCCAATAATACCGAACCGACACTGATCCGGGGAATGGATCGTCAATAGGCCTACCTCCTCCAGCTCCAGAAGAACCCGCTGCGCACGAAGATGCTCACCTCCGGTGTGCTCTCCGGTCTGCAAGAACTGCTGGCTTCGTGGATCGCCCACGATGTCGGCAAGCACGGCCACTACTTCAGCTCGCGCATCCCCAAGATGTCGCTGTACGGAATGTTCATCAGCGCCCCCCCTCGGCCACGTCCTCGTTGGCATCTTACAGAAGATCTTCGCCGGCCGCACAAGTCTCAAGGCCAAGATTCTTCAGATCCTCGTTAGCAATCTGATTGTACGTTGTAGTCGCTGACATCACCTGACCTGCATGAGCTTCGCTAACGTCACCCGTTTCCCCAGATCTCCCCCATCCAGAACAGCGTCTACCTGACCTCCATGGCTATTATCGCTGGTGCGCGCACCCTCCACCAGGTTCGCGCGACCGTTAAGGCTGGATTCATGCCCGTCATGAAGGTCAGCTGGATCACCTCGCCCCTGTGCTTGGCCTTCGCTCAGAAATTCCTCCCCGAGCACACCTGGGTGCCCTTCTTCAACATTGTTGGTTTCTTCATTGGAACCTACGTCAACACCCACACCAAGAAGAAGCGCCTGGAAGCTCTCCGGAAGGTATGATACAAATCGTTGGAATTGCGACAATTGCGACTCAATTGCTAATGGCTCAACAGCGTTACGATCAGCGTCGCGACCCCGGTTACGAGAAGCGCGACTTCCCTTAAATAGGCCGAGTCCGCAATTGACTGCAAACACAACCAGACGTGTCGGAGACCTATGTGTGTCGTCTCTTTTGGCTCGTTTGCTGTCACCGATTTATCCTTTCCCTTTGTTTATTATTCTCCGGTGTTGATCTAAATCCATGTACACACACCCTGTGCATCTTGATATGCCGCAGATATTTCCCCCCTGATGTTATCACTCAATTTCATGACGAATGGCTTTATATCTTTTTCTTATTTCAATTTCCCCCTTGAGGATCGGTATTATACATTTATATATATTTCCCCCATTCAAGCTAGTCACGCCGTTGCTTCTACCTCTGCTATTCCATACTTCAATATACACATGCAAGTCGAGATAGATAAATCCGAAAGAAATGCAACTACCCTTGACGTGAAGCAGGTACACATGGCCATTGTTAATTCAATCATAACCATAAGAGGCTTGAGACACAAAGGATGTTAGTGGATAATAGAAGTGGCATGGATTCTGCAGAGTAAATAATCTGTCACGCCACACCACATGCCGCAATCCATCTGGAAACGAGAAGAAACAAATCCCTCATATCCAGCATCCACGATTAAGCTGGATGCCACCTTATTCAACCTCCATATCTGATGCCTTTTCCCGCTTAGCCTGCACCCAAGCAACAAAGTCATCCAGGGCACCCGGCCAAGCCCCATCAGGACTCCACCAGCCCATCTCCTCATCCTCGAGACTCTTGCGCATAAACACCTCAACCTGCTCCCACAGATCCTTATTAACAGGCTTTTTCCCGCGCTCTTCAAGGAACTCAATCCACCAATCCAGCCACGGCGTGGTCGCCGTGTTCCACGCCACACCGCCATGATCCGTGGTGAAGAAGAGACGCCACTGCTCGGCGGCGATCTCGAACTGCAGGTTGCGCTGTCCTTGCATTCGCGAGAGCAGGAATGCATATCTGTAGACTCGTCGGAAGAGGGATGGATCCTGTGGGATTCGCTCCCGGAGCAGCTTGGCGTGCGCTTGCATTTTTGGTATGGTGTCGCAGCTTGTGGATTGTTAGATTGGATGCATATCATATTAAAAAGATGTTGGAGTCTGGGTTGAAGGGAATATTCGTCATCAACGAATTTGCACTTACTCAACACCCCGCCATCCTTCCTTCCATCCTCCGCGGGTGAACTCGCCCATCGATGGTGATTTGAGGAGCTCGGCGATGGCTAGGCAGGTCACTTCGTCAAGCTCGACCTTCAGATCGCCGAGGAAATCTATTGCTCGTGTGATACCGATGGTATCAGGGCTGTTGACCGGGTCATCTGCGGCAATGTGAGTATTTTCGGTATCAAAAGCACCAGTTCAGGGTGGGTAGGTACGTACCTCGATAGTGGTCGAAGGTCTTTGTAAGTTCTGAGGTTATATTTGCGGAGGTGCCAGACGCAGCGCCGAAGAAACTATTGCAGTGACAACATTAGCTTTGGGGTGTTTCAAGTGCGGATCATGTGTGATTTCGCTGGAGCAAGATGGTTGGGTATATTGTTTTTTAAGGCTGGGGAATGGCAAGCACTTCTTCGTCTTCCTCACTCGAGGCATTTGGTATGGTGACTAATGTGGTAAGAGATCAAGAATTTCTCCACGTGGGACTTAGGCAAGCTCTGAGAAGAAAGCTCTGAGAAGACAAGAACAGATGTTGAAGCTTTGATGCTCTAGCTATCTGTTGGCATCTTAGACTCAACACCACATGTCCAGGTCAAGGTTGGAGACAAATGAAACGAAGAGACATCAAAGTTTGACACAAGTGTGATGACAAGCACTTACGCATCAAGCGCTGGAGGTAAACTCCAACCACATGCTTTAAGGAACTATATCAGAAAGTTAGTCTGTTGATCCACGTGACCTGACTGAAGTATCTTAAGATGTTCAAACAGATCGCATAGGGAAGAACATGTTAGAAAATCATGCAAGTTACTCACTTTAACAGCAACAGAATCTTTTGTCTGTGTACAGCCGACAAACTCAGCGATTTGGTGTTTCTGGCTGGTTGTGTAGGGTGGCATGGTGGGGGGTTAACAATATTGGTGCCCACTACGCACAGGAGAAACGCAATAAGTGGAAACACACTAGAGGATTGAAAGTGTGTGCTGTGTAGTGCTGGGGCGAGGGGATTTCTGTTTGACCTGGAAGATACAAGAAACACCAGGGCTACGAGGTCTGTAGTGAGTTATCATCCCGCGCCTTTTCAAGATTGGATGGATCTGATGGCATTGTGCTGACTCATCACATCTCCCAAAAAGTCCTATATCAACTACAACCTAGGCTAATACATCCATGGATAAAGTTGTCATGACTGTTGAGTTTCATTATACATATTAGACATGGATTTGTGTGTATTCAGAGTGTGTATTTTCATATAGTAACCATTACAGAGAAGTTGTTGGTCAACATTTGCCATCAATTCATCACATTAGAAGCAATGAGCATAGGATTCGATGGTAAAAAGTATAATTCAACTTTTGTAAGATCAAATAGATCAGGTGAAACTCCCAAACGCCTTTTGCGAGGTGCAAATATGTAAGATTCGGTGTCGTGTCGAATTTGCTTAGGTTGTGAACAAGGTATCCTCCTAATATAGATATTAGCAATTTGGCCCTTGAGAATTTGGAGATAGATCTGACTCACCTCTCTAAGGTACTCTCCTGCATCGGCCTGTTCATTTGGGTTAGCTAATGTAAGTAAGAGCACACAGAGCTAAGTTCCACCTACCTGACGATGGACCGCGATACTAGTAGGGTCCAACTTTGCGATCTGCGCGGATGACCTTGCTGTAACTCCGAATCCCAGGGCAACATCGTTGGAGTCCATGATGACAACTCCTGCATTTTCTGGGACATCTTCACTGAAACGAGCCACATGGGCTTTTAGAACCGAACCGCCATAGAGCAGAGGCTAGAACTTGTTAGCAAGGACCGCAGACCCTACCGGAAATTGGAATATCAAGCTTACCATCACTCCGTTTGTTTTGATCCAGACCTGTGTCAGAGATATAAAATTAGCATGATGTCTTGTTGCAATTCCTATATTGTTATACGTACCTTGTACCGGGCGTGTTGCGCCAGGAGGTCCAGAGCTGTCAGGTTGATGCGGAACTTGCCCGTCTGCCAGCATGTTAGCATGACTGACTATAATAACAGCAGAGCCAATCGTAACGAACCTTAGTAAACTTCCCTATCATTGTGCCACAGCTCAGCAAATTTTCGCGAGGGAATGAAACGCTCAGGTTGGCAATTTCCTTGTTCACGTAGTAAACCCGGGATCCCTGCAACCGGAAAACACTCATGGATCCATCTTCAGCGGGGGTAATAAGAGAATTGAGACTGCGGCCGGTGTAGGAAGCTAGCTTCGTGAAGAGCGTCCGTGTCTCTTCCTAAAAGAGGCATGAGTTAGTCAAGGCAGTCAATGAGAATGGCATAAGTACGCACTTCTGTGAGGGATCTCATATTGTCGGATATGAAGCTGAAGAGACGGCAAAAGGGTTGAGTAGATCAACGAGCTTGTATTGACGGAAAGTGAGGAACAAGAAAAAAACTAAAGTCGGGCAATATCTCACCGCCAAGAAATGGACCTGAAATTTATAGCGACGGCACGGACATGAAGAGCCAATCAGAGCAATGATTGTCCTTCCGCCCAGAATTTTCGGGACCGCCTTTTCACTCTAAGGATATTTTTTTACTATTCTCCGCAAATTCCACCGTCAACCCCCAAAATCTCCAATTACAAAATGGCCCGTGGCCCAGAAGTGAAGCGGAGGCGATTGAGTCCTCCAGCCGATGTTGAGGACTCCTCATCGCGCTCCAAAGCCGAAGAGTGGGATGTTGAGCAAGACTACGAACGCCGCCCGCGCAAAAACACTAAGAAGGCCGGTGAGAACGCACGATTGCCAATTAAGACCTCTGATGGCTTCGTCCAGGCCGAAACCCAGCCTGAAGACCAGGGCGAGGAAACCGACAGCTTCCTGGGTACCGATGATGACGAGGAGGATGGCTCCGAGGGCGAGGAGAGCGGAGAAGAACCCGAGGAAGAAGCACCCAAGATCCCGGTGAAGGTACAAATCTTGCAGGCAAAGGAGGAGCTAGCGAAGATGGCAACCCTGATCAACGAGGATCCCGAGGAGCACATCTCTCTGTTCAAGACAATGGCCGAGATGGTGTCGAAGAAATCCACACCAGTCACGGTTAAGAAACTGGCTCTGGCCTCACAAGCGGCTATCTACAAGGATGTCATCCCAGGATACCGTATTCGCCCGCTGAGCGAAGAGGACCAGAATGGCAGGGTATCAAAAGAAGTGCGGAAGCTCCGAGACTTCGAACAGTCCCTTGTGTCAGGATATCGAGCCTATGTGCAGAAGCTTGCTACGCTTGTAAAGCCGGCTAAAGGAGATGACCCCACAGATGCTGGGCTGAGGAGCTTCGCGATTTCAATGGCATGCACTATGCTATTGGCCGTGCCACACTTCAACTTCCGCAATGAGCTTCTGAAGATTTTGGTTAATCGCCTTGCGCGCAGACAGCTTGATGCCGACTATGTCAAGTGCCGCGAAACCTTGGAGGACGTTTTCGCCAAAGATGACGATGGAACCGTTTCCCTCGAAGCTGTTCGTCTGCTCGCAAAGATGTTGAAGGCCAGGGACTTCCACATCCACCCCAGTGTCTTGGACACATTCCTCCATCTTCGTTTGCTCGGCGAGTTCCACTTGAAGGCGTCCCGAGACCGCGTTGACCGGGAAGAAGAAGAAGCCCCCCAAGGAAAGAAGCAAAAGCAAAAGCGCGAATTCCGCACGAAGCGAGAGCGCAAGGTCCAGAAAGAGCGGAAGGAAGTCGAGAAGGATATGCGACAAGCAGACGCAGTGGTATCGCACGAACAAAGAGACAAGAACCAGGCCGAAACACTAAAGCTTGTGTTCGGACTCTATTTCCGCATTCTCAAGCTCCGCATTCCCGCATTGATGGGTCCTGTGCTTGAGGGTTTGGCCAAATACGCCCACCTTATTAACCAGGACTTCTTCGGTGATTTGCTCGAGGCCCTGAAAGACCTAATCAACCACGCAGAGCGTGAGGAAATGGGCGTGGAAGGCGACCAGGAAGTCGTCAACGAGGAGGACGACGAGGACGAAGACAATGTCACAATTGCCGAGAGCGCAGCCCGCGATGCTCGCCGAAGGACGCTACTCTGCACTGTGACTGCTTTCGCTCTTCTAGAAGGCCAAGAAGCCAGCAAAGCAGCCGCAGGTCTTCACCTGGACCTGAACTTCTTTATCAAGCACCTTTACCGATCCCTCTACTCTCTCTCCATGAACCCAGACGTCGAGTTCAACCCCGACACAGCCCTCCGCCTCCCCGACCCCAACTCCTCCGCAGAAGGTAAACAACTCTCCGAGTCCCGCTCCAAGAACAAGGTCAACTTCCAGACTCCGATGGTCCTCCTCCTCCGCTGCTTGCAGCCCACCCTGTTATCCCGCGCACATGGCAACCCGCCCCCAAGCCGACTTGCCAGTTTCTCCAAGCGTCTCATGACGACTTCCCTCCAGTTGCCGGAGAAGTCTGCTCTTGCGACTCTTACGCTCATGAACCAGGTATCGAAATATCATGGTCGTCGTATCTCTTCGCTTTGGCATACGGAGGAGCGCAAGGGTGATGGTGTGTTCAATGCTTTTGCTGCTGATATTGAAGCTACCAATGTCTTTGCTGGCTCGGTGTGGGAGGGTGAGCTTTTGCGTCTGCATTACTGTCCACAGGTGCGAGAGTCGGCGGTCGAGATTGAAAAGATGATGATGTCCTCTTCTAAGTAGATACCGTTTTGAATAATTTTACATGCACATTCAGCTACAATTTACTCTTTACTCTTCTTGGGAATTGTAATCAAACATCTTCATTGAAATGCTAATATAACAACAAAATCTAACAAATCCGACCCCACGTCCTCCAAATCCAACAGACAAGAACTCGTACACTCCTTTTTTTTTTTTTTTTTTTTTTTTGAGGGGTACTTTTTTTTGAGGGTTTTCTTTTTTAAAATTTTTTTTTGTTTTTTTGTTTTTTTCTTGTAGTAATATCGTTTGAGTTCTGGGACTCCTCCCAGAAGGAGTCCCAGAACTCAAGAGTGTGTGTGAACACGGGGCCCTAAGGCTCCCCGGTCCGGGTGGTCGGGGCCGCGGGAATGTCCTCCGCGTTCATCTCACTGTACTGTGGCCTGTACAGTGGGTGGATGTGGCCGAGGGGGATGCTGGGCGCATCACGGACAGCCTCGACGGGGAGGATGATCCCGTGGGGGACCTGGGGGACAGGGGGAACGGTCTCTTCCCCGGTGGCGGTGGCAGTGGTGGTCTGGTTCGTAACAGTGGAACCAGAGGAAACGCTAGAAGACTTCTTAGAAGTCTTCTCCTTCTTCGAACGCCGTGGGATCGAACTCTGCTTGACGGTGGACGATCCAGGCGGCGTGATGGTGGCCGACCCGCTGGCTGTTGCCGATCCGCTGGCTGATGCTGGCGGAGTAGCTGATGCGGGCGCAGTGATCTTGACCTGCGGGACGGTACTTCCCGCAGGAGTGCTCTTTGCTGGAGCAGCGGCTGTTGCTGGTCGAGTTGCCGCAGACTCGAAGGAGGAGGCAAGAGGTCTCAAGGTACCGGTGGGTGGCACGGTGTCGTGTGCAGGCAAAGGGATGCGTGGAAGAACATTTTCCACGTCTTCAGAAATCTCAAGACCATGCTCTTCCTGCAACATTCTGAGAGCAACCTGATTGAGAATGAGCATTTGTCTCAAGTGGGTGATCTGCGCTCCCAGCAGGACGGTGTCATCTCCGATGTCCTGAATATCTTCGTCGATCTCTTTGTTCTTGCGACGCTGGTAGACCACAAATGGTTCGTCGGTGTTGTCATAGATCCCAGTGAGACACATGTCGACCTTGGCACTTAGGTCATTGACAGTCGAGGTGTGCTCGTTGATTTCGAGTCGCATCTCGTGAATACTCTCCTTGATCTCCTTAATCTGTTCCTTGGCTTCAGCCGCGTCACGCTTCGCGTTGGCGATTTCGAGAGACATCTCAGACTGGCGCTCAAACTGGGCATCCATTTGGTCCTGGATGTAGTCTTGAGTGACGGTAACAAAGTGATCAACTTTCTGTTCGAGCTTGTTGATATCGTCGATCTTCTTTGTGAGTCGTTTGAGGTCTGTCTCATACTTGTACTGGAGAGATCGAACAGCCTCGGGAAGATCTTTGAGAGTCAAGCTGGAACGATGAGTGGCGGGACTACCGGCGGTGGAACTGGCACCGGCAGTACGTTCCATTGGACTGAGGCTGGGACGGCGCATGTCATCCTTTTTGAAGGTGGGTGTCCGCGGACTGGGTGTGTGAGGCTCGTGTCTGTAAGGAGACACGGGGAGTGGCTTGTTGTTGCCCTCCGGAGCATTGGAGCTATCAGCCATCTTGGGTGGAGATGGCGGAGCAGAAGAGGAGCGAGGTTTGATCTCGGAGACAGCGAGGTTGCCAGGTCGATTTTTCAGGATCGAGGCAGGGATAGGAGGAACAGGTGGGATGGAAGAAGAACGGAGGGAAGAGCGAAGAGGGTGGGGGGAAGAGGGGACAGAGGGGGAAGAGCGAAGAGGGTGGGAGGAAGACGCGACAGAGGGGGAAGAGGGGACAGAGGTGACAGAGGTGACAGAGCGGGCAGAGGTGACAGAGCGGGAAGAGACTGTTTTGCGTTGGGCGAACGCGTTACGCTTGTCCTGTGAAGGTGCAGGCAACTGGTCCAGGGACTGCACACTACTGTTTGCGACACTCGTCGAAGGCAAACCAACCTTGGAGTTGGTCGACTTGGGAGGCACAGGCACAGGGACTGCAGTAACAGTCACGTCAGAACGAGGAGATGCCAGTGGGTTGCACATGTCGGGCTCTTCGAAGTGCACACGTTGGGAGAGGGTGCTGCGACGAGAACGAGAAGAGTCCGCAGAGGAAGAGGGCGTCTCAGGCCGGCCAGTACGGCCGCGCGGACCTTCCGAATCTGTGTCTATAGAAACATACAGTCAGTGACCCATCCTAACCCTTATTGCTTTGAACTGAACTGGAAGTGAAAGCTATCAATTAACCATGTGAGGCCAAAATGATAGATATCTCTCATGTTTTTGAGTGTATCTCTTTCTCTTTCTCTTTCTTTCGAAGCATATCCCATGGGCAAACGAACAGTCCCTTTGCCCGCAGGACCTACTCTCATAGAAAGGGCCGCCATAGGAAGGGGTTGCTCGCACATATCCAGGCAGATATGATCACAAAGAACCAAATCCAGCACCAAAGAGAGGCTTGATTCTTTTGAATCATGTCCAGTTCTATAGCAAATGGGCCGACTCCCAGGAGCCAAGATGAGGTCCAATTCTGCAGACAGAATGGCTCAATCTCACAGCAGAGGATCCCAAGAGTCAGGCTCAATGGCATAGGAAGAGACTTGAGTCTGAAGGAAAGACCAGTTCCATGGTGTACCTGGTCGAACGAGGCAGGCCCAAGTCCACCGAAAGAGACACTTCATGAGGCTGAAAGGTGATGAATGCTTGACAAGTGAGAAATGATACTAACCTTGACTTTTTCTCGCCATGTCTTCTGATCTTCTTCAAAGGAAACGATGCGTTCTGTGATGTGATGTGATGGTTGGGAGAAAAAGAGAAGAAGAAGAAGAAGAGACGCGTGTGGCAATAACAAGACGAAGAGACATTCAACAATCCTGAGCACGTGCTTCATGGTTCATGGTGACTAGCCGTCATTGACTACCCCAAAGGGAAATCACGACTGCCTACTCAGCATATGGCTCATATTCCCAATATCGAAGGAACGATCAACCTGGGCAACCCATGGCTAAGGTGCCTCATGACAACTATCGTTGGCTACCCCAAAGGGATATCACGACTGCCTACTCAGCATATGGCTCATGTTCCCAGTATCGAAGGAATGATCCACCTGGACAACTCATGGCTGAGGTTTTCTACGTTTGCAGACTCTACACATATTGTATTCTTTACACATATTGTATGAGTATACGAACTAGCCCCATCACACCAGGAAACCCAAAGGAAACCCCCAAGGAACCCCCCAGGGGAACACTGGAAGAATCATATTCCTTCATGAAGAAATCTGCAAAGCTATATACAATTTTTGACATGGTTACACTGGCACACAAAGGCCAGCAAGATACAGCATCACAAGAACAAAGAAAGTTCTACAGGTGGAATAAAAAGCACATACAAAGAAGCCGAAGGATTACTGACAAACAACGGCAAAGACACAAGTACAAAGGATGCTAACTAGATGTTATAAGTATAAGTAAGGTATTCATTAAATTCATGTCAGGTATACTGGATACATAGCAAGTCAGACAGATCCATCAAGAGCGGCCGGCCATGCCAACACCAACATAGCATTGGAGACAACAAAAGGAAATCATAAACCATAAGAAAATCAAAAGCAAAGCAAGACGCAATGGAATTCGTAAATAAATGGACCACAAACAGATAATACAGGGGAATAAGTCGGACGAAATGGCCCGGAGTTTTATACTTCATGGTGCCACGCACTTTCGTAATGCCACGGATATAGTTGTTGTTGAAGTCTTGAGGGCTTGTTTATACACGTGATATCAGACTCACACGTGACATATCACACGTGACATCAACTTCGCATGTTATAGCAACCTCCCACGTGACAGAAGTGTCGCGCATGACCATCACTGAGACCGCTGGTAGTAGTACTCAAGTTGGCGTCTCACTTGTCTGGTAAACGCCAGAAAATTGCAACGATGGGCATAACAAAAACCGCAATCCAAAACAAACTGCTGATCGATCAGTCAGTTAATTAGTTTGAAAGCATATGATGCGTGATGACCACGATTTTCTTCGATAGTAGCACCCCAAGGAAATAAACACAACTGGCTAGAAGACAAAACACAGGGAAACACAAGATATAATAATCTAATTGGAGGAAGACTTTCCACGACGGAAAGGTGAAAAGATGGCTCCAAAGAAATTGACAAAGACAGTGCGCAAGATTGCTTTGAGCCAGCTGTCAGGTGCACCATTTAGAGAAACAGCAGTCACTGACCGGTTCTGGCTCGCTGGACGAGCATCTTCATCATTATCCTTGGGGGTAAGAGTGCTGTCGGCAGCAGGCTTGGCGTCGGACACATTCGCAGCGGGTTCGGTGGTTCCCTTGCTGGCCTCGGCGGCAGGCTGGGACTCGGCGGCACTCTCGACTGTTGGCTGCTGGGTAGCCGTGGACAGTTGGTCTGTAGACGGTTGGTTGAGCTTGCTGAGGAGGGCTTCGCGGTCGCCAGCGAGTGCTGCAAGAGCGGGATCAGTTTCGAACGATATGGCAGATTGCTGGTATGAAAGATAGAACGGTGTTGGCTTACCGTCTGCGGCCTGGGCATCTGTTGCGGAAACCTGGGGCTGGGTCTCAGCCTTAGTAACGGGTTCCTTGTCTGCATCGGTAGGTTGGATATCCTTCTGGTTCTTCGAGGTCTCAGCTGTAGTCTCGGAGTCCTTGTGAGCAAGAGCGGCCACGCCGGCACCAGCAAGGGCGGCAGCGGCAACGCCAGCAGCGCCAGCACCAAGAATTTCAGCACTGATGCCAGTATCCTTGGTAGCCGTTTCGTCAGAGGCGGAAGCAGCGGTCTCTTCTTGCTTAGTTTCAACATCAGTGGTGGAGGGCTGGATTGTCTCCTTCACATCGGATGTCTCAACCACCACCTCGGGCTCCTCTGCGTTGGCAATGGGCTCAGGAATGGCGGCAACCTCGGCCTCGACGGCTTCGACCTTCGAGGGTTCCTCAGTTGCAACAGCGGTCTCCTCGGCCTTGGCATCCTCCTGGGTGGGCTCTTCGACAACCTCAGCAACAACTGGTGCTTCGGCAGCAACCTCTTCAGCAATGACGGCGGGCTGCTCGATGGCAACTTCCTCAACCACGGTTGTCTCGGGCTCGAGCTCCTTGGTAGAGGATTCCTCCACTGGAGCTGCCTCGGGGATTTGCTCCGCGGGGGCAGCAGCTTCAACGGGCTCTTCAACCTTGACAGGCTCTGTGGCAATCTTCTCCTCCACAACTGGTGCCTCAACAGTCTCAGTAGCTTGGATGGTGGGCTCCACATTGGCGGGTTCCTTCACATCCTCAGCCTTCTCTGTAGTTGGTGCCTCAGTAGTAGGTTCTTCGACGTGTGCCACCTCAGGAGTCTGTTCGGAAACAGGTTCGGCAGTGGACTCGGCCGCGGTTTCGATAACGGCAGCAGGTTCATCGATGGTCTTGTCCTCGACAGCGGGCTCGGCGGTAGCAGCCTCGACCTCGGCCGCAGGGCTAGGAGTGGCAGCAACTTCAACAGTCTCTGCGACTGTGACTGGCTCATCGACGACCTTCTCTTCAGCGGCAGCAGACTCAGTGGCTTGAGAAACAGGCTCTTCAACAGCGACAGCAGTCTCAGTCTGTTCAGCAACAACTGGCTCGGCAACAGCTTCTGCCTCGGGTTGCTTCTCCTCGACCTTCTCGGCCTCGTCTGCAGTAACATCAGCAACGACAGGAGCCTCGGTCTTGATGGGCTCCTCGACGGCAAGTTCCTTAGCAGGCTCTTCAACTGGAGTCTCTTCAACAACGGGAGCGGCCTCGACAACCGGCTCTAGGGCAGAGGTCTCAGCAACGGGCTCCTCAACAGTCTTGTCAGCGACAGGCTCTTCGGTGGTCTGCTCGGTCACTTCCTCAGCCTTGGTAGCTTCGGGCTGCTCAACGGCGACTTCAGCAGTCTCAACAGCAGCGGGTTCAGCGGCCTCAGTAACAATGGCGGACTCCTCAGGGGTCACGCCCTTGGCGGTTTCGGCCTCCTCCACAACTGGTTCCTCTGACACAACCTTTTCGGTAGACTCTTGGGCAGGCTCAATCTCAGTAGGCTCCTGGGCCTTCTCGGTAGTAGCCTCCTCGGCGACAGCGGCGACAGGCTCTTCAATTGCCTCAGCAGCAGCCTCAGTAGGCTCCTCGACGGCAGATTCCTTAGCAGCATCGACAGTCTGCTCGGGAACAGACTCGATAACCTCAGCCTCCTTGACTGACTCACCAGTCAATTCCTCAGTGACAGGCTGCTCAACGGGAGTCTCATCGGTAACCTCCTTGGTAGGCTCAGAGACGACTTCCTCCTTGGGCTCGGAAACCTCGACAGTTGGCTCCTCAACAGGTGCCTCTGTAGCAATCTCTGGAACGGCGGCGGTGGTGTCAGCGCTGTTCTCAGCCTCAGCCTCCACAGTTGGTTCCTCGACAGTCTTCTCAGTCACTGGCTCCTCAGCAGGCTTAGACTCTTCCACAGCTGCTTCGGTGGTGGGGGTCTCCTGGACGGCTTCGGGAACAGCCTCGACGGTCTTGGATTCCTCCACAGCGGGGGTTTCTTCGACGACAGGCTCTGCGGTGGTCTCAGGAGTAGCCTCGACAGTCTTAGCGTCCTCGGCAACCGGTTCAGCGACGGTTTCGGCAACGGCCTCGGCGGGCTTCGACTCTTCCGTGGCGGATTCGGTAATAGGCTCTTCCTTAGCAATAGGCTCAGCAGCCTCCTCAACCTTGGATTCCTCGACCGCAGGTGTCTCCTGGACGATTTCAGGAACAGCCTCGGTGGGCTTGGACTCTTCCACGGCAGCTTCAACGGCAGGCTTCTCCTCGGTGGTGTGCTCAACAACCTCGGCGGCCTTAGATTCTTCCGCAGCGGGAGTTTCTGAAACGGCCTCGACGGCCTTTTCTTCAGCGGCAGGCTTAGCAACCTCCTCAGCCTTAGATTCTTCCACGGCCGGAGTCTCGGCGACAGGCTCTGCAACAGCTTCGGGAGCGGCCTCGACCGCCTTTTCCTCGGCGGTAGGCTCAGCAACCTCCTCGGCCTTGGATTCCTCAACGGCGGGTGTCTCCTGGGCGATTTCAGGAACAGCCTCCTCAGTCTTAGATTCCTCCACGGCGGGAGTTTCAGAAACGGCCTCGGTAACCTTTTCTTCAGCGGCAGGCTTAGCAACCTCCTCAGTCTTGGATTCCTCAACGGCGGGTGTCTCCTGAGCGATCTCAGGAACAACCTCCTCAGTCTTAGATTCCTCCACGGCGGGAGTTTCAGAAACGGCCTCGGTAACCTTTTCTTCAGCGGCAGGCTTAGCAACCTCCTCAACCTTGGATTCTTCCACGGCCGGAGTCTCGGCGACAGGCTCTGCGACAGCTTCGGGAGCGGACTCGACCGCCTTTTCCTCGGTGATAGGCTCAGAAACCTCCTCGGCCTTGGATTCCTCAGCGGCGGGTGTCTCCTGAGCGATTTCAGGAACAGCCTCAGTCTTAGATTCCTCCACGGCAGGAGCCTCTGCGACAGCTTCGGGAGCGGCCTCGGCCGCCTTTTCCTCGGCGATAGGCTCAGCAATCTCCTCAGTCTTGGATTCCTCAGCGGCGGGTGTCTCCTGAGCGATTTCAGGAACAGCCTCAACAGGCTTAGATTCTTCCACGGCAGGAGTCTCGGCGACAGGCTCAGGAGCAGCCTCGACGGGCTTAGATTCTTCCACAACAGCTTCCGTGGCGGGAGTCTCGTCAGCGACAGTCTGGGGGATGACCTCGGTGGTCTTCTCTTCTGTGGCAGCTTCTGTGGTAGGCTTCGATTCCTCAACGGCGGGTGTCTCCTGAGCGATCTCAGGGACAGTTTCCTCGGTCTTGGATTCTTCCACGACGGGAGCTTCAGAAGCGGCTTCAACCTTTTCTTCAGTGGCAGGCTTGGCAACAACCTCCTCAGTCTTAGATTCTTCCACGGCGGGAGTTTCTTCGACGGGCTCTGCGACAGCCTCAGGGGCAGCCTCGACAACCTTTTCTTCGGTGGCGGGCTTCTCCTCGGTGGCTGGCTCAGCAACCTCAGCGTCAGGTTCTTCGACGGCGGGAGTTTCTTGGGCGATTTCAGGAACAGCCTCAACAGGCTTTGATTCTTCCACAGCAGATTCAGCGACAGGAGTCTCGTCGGCCACCGTCTCGGGGACAGCCTCGGTCTTTTCTTCCGTGGAGGCCTCATTGGTGGGCTTAGCAACCTCCTCAACAGCCTTAGATTCTTCCACGGCAGTTTCAGCAGCGGGAGCATCTTCCTTCGCGGCTTCGGTGGTTTCAGGAACGACCTCGGTGGCCTTTTCTTCCACAGCAGCTTCAGTGGTGGGCTCAGCAACCTCAGTCTTAGATTCTTCGACAGCGGGCGTCTCCTGGGCGGTTTCAGGGACAGCTTCCACAACCTTTGATTCCTCGGCAGTTTCAGCGGCGGGAGTCTCTTCCTTCGCGGCTTCGGTGTTTTCAGGAACGACCTCGGTGGTCTTTTCTTCCACAGCAGCTTCAGGAACCGCCTCAGCGGTCTTTGACTCTTCCTTGGTGGGCTCAACGATATCCTCCGCAGCCTTGGATTCTTCCACGGCGGTTTCGGCGGCGGGCTGCTCGACGGCAGGCTCAGCAGCAGTTTCAGGAACGGTCTCGGCGGTCTTTTCTTCCATGACAGCTTCAGTGGTGGGCTCGGCCACCTCTTCCACGGCCTTGGATTCTTCGACGGCAGGTTCTGTGATAGTTTCCGGAACGGCCTCAGTCTTTGATTCTTCTGTGATAGGTTCGGCGACCTTCTCAGCCGGCTTGGATGCTTCCGTCGATTCACTTGCGGTCTGTTCCTCAACCACTGGTTCAGCAACGGGTTCAGCAGCGGGTTCCGCCTCCTTGGAAGCTTCGACTGGTGCTGATTCCTCCACGGCTGGAATCTCAGGAGTTTGTTCGACAGCAATGGAGCTAATACTCTCCTGTTTCTTTTGCTGCTTCTTCTTTGCCTTCTTGGCCTTCTTCTTTTCGGCGGGGGTCATTGGGACCTCCGATTGGGTTGAATCATTGGATTGTTGTGTAGAGTCGGCTTCAACCAAAGTAGCGGTTGATTCGCTCATATCGGCCTCAGTTGCGCTTGCAGTGGACTTTTCATCTATAGATGAAATAGGCTCAACTGGAGCATCTGTAGGCAGCACATGGCTTTCCGGAATAAGGGGCTCTTGGACACTAGCCATGGTTTATTTCGTTTCAAATTCGTAATGTCGTAAAAGGATGATTGGGGGGCAGGATATTAAGATGATTTCTTTCTTTTTTTTTTTTCACAATTTGACCAGCAAAGATTTAACGCTAGATTTCGTGTACAGAAAACACAAGCTCACAGAGCAATAGGGTGTGAATATGGAGGAGGGGGAAAAGGCAGAAAAAAAAAACCAAAATCTGACCAAAAAAAAAAGTACGCAAAAAAACCCTCTGACGGCACAGCTCAGAGAGAGTGGGGAAACAGTTGGCATAGGGACCATCTACATTACACCTTACCTTTTTAGTCTTTTCGTCTTTCACTTGGAGCATCTTTCAAGCTTGACGCCCAATCGTTGTTCGTGCTTTTTGGGCTCTTTCATCCGCATCTCCACTTCCAATATGCGGTGAAGCTGTTATCGCCGAGGTTTATTGTTTGGTTTTTTTTTGGGGATTGGATTTCTTGTTTTGAACATGTGCAACCGTATAACTAACTAGTTAACATATAACTACGATGTACATGATTCTATTGTCTATGTTACTCTTTTTATTTCCTTTTGGTTGTACAAGATTCCAAAAGTGTAACTCTGTCAACTTCCAAAAACAAATTGGGCACTAAAGAAATGATAAACAGAATAGGCCACAAGGTTCTTATCCACCTGTCATATGGTTCTGAGTCATTTATTATTTTGCTGTGGTCTCCAAAAAAAATCAAATCAAATATAAAAAAAGGGTGTGGAGGTTCAATTTTCAATAGTCTGCCCATCCGTGGATTGGCTGATGTTTCGACCTTTTTTTTTTTTTTTTTTTTTTTCTTCTTAGGCCCATATATGCGGAACATCACGGATCTCCATATTATTATTTATGTTGCATGTTGTATATTATTTGGATAATTTCTACTCTGTCCAGAGTAAACAGTACAACATAACTACTCCGGATACAGAATACTATTTTGGAATTGCTCAAAACAATGAAAGCTCGTGCCTCACACTAGTAGCTCTTATGCATTGCGTGCTGCGTGTAACCTCCTTAAGCTTGGACCCTCCCACAGAAGCCGCATTTCCGGTTCAAAGTCCCATAGCTGCAGTAATCTGCATCTGAGATCGTCTGCAGTTCCTCCAACTTGAGAGGAATACTCATAGACTTCCATAGCTCCATTCCGTGTGAACCAGATATACATCCTGGGCGGTGTGGTCGGCTTCCCGGTCCCCGGAGCGGAATCCGCTGGATAGCCGTGGAGGGCAATTTAACCAAAAAGGCTATGAAAGCTATGCGGTCATCTTATGGCTTCTCCTAACTCCTCTAAGTCAGGAGTAGGCCATATGTGGAAATTCTCGGGTCATCTAGCTCAATATAGCTAAAAGAAACCTACTTGCCCTTGATATTGATTTACCAATCTGACCTTCTAGGGCCAGGGACAGATAAGGATTGCTAGTTATGATGTACAACATAGGAATATGGGCCTGGTAACTAGTGGCTTAGCAAACCATACTAGGTAGTGCAATTGACTTTTCCTTTGGTACTCAATCTCAATGGCTGCATTCTGCAACAAAGTTAGATAGACGGATTGAAATTGAGTATTACCCTTGCTCGTTCACTCAATTCAAGTCACAGGGGGTAGGGGCAGTGCGGGGCAAAGAGCTTATACATGAGGTTTGCCCTGATTCAAAGAGCTCTACACTTACTACACTTATTACACTTCTAGCAGTTGTCTCCATATTCGCCAATAACAGCCTGTTGAGTCCATGTTTTATACTAAAACCAACAGAAATTAGGGCTTCCTCGTGGTGTGACGTGTTTATTAGGTAAGTGGTAACTTCCCATTTTGGCAGGTGCCCATATGCTCACCAGGGCAGGTGCGATGCAACCAGAAAATCAACTTCAATCTTCACCTTGGCAACATGATGCTTTTTGTATGGCGCTGATAATAACAGATAATACTATTGTGCATCAAATATAGTTGTTCCTCCATGGCTGCGGTGGATAAAGTAGACCACATCAGCCCTTCTGAGAGTAAATCATAGCCTGTCTCTATATGCCTGCGAAATATCCCCCTTTATATCGTTAAGAGCTTCCAACTTATCAAAAACACAATCAATTTTGCAAAGGCTTGAAATATCACCTATGGAAAGTCAATGGATTCTAGGAAGTGCAACTTCGGAGCTTGCTGGGTTGCAGGGTTGCCATTGAAAAAGGGACCAAACTGAAAAAAAAAATTTAAAAAAGTCATCGCCCGGAGGCGATCCGGCAACTTGAGATCAAACGGCACTCAAGCTGAGGATGGACGGGGATCCATGTGGCATTGCGCCAAACGTCGCCAACGTCACCAACGACAATCCCAACCGCTAGGCCAGATGCCCGTCCATCCACTTATTCATACTGGGCAGTCATTTATCAGAGAAATCCCTACACAGCTATCTATACGTAGAAAAGTCCTCTGTATAGTCATAGCTTCTACCATCTTCACATACATCCAAAAAAAAATCAGAAAAAAACCATTCGACTAAGCACAAGAGATACCATTCCGAGGGACGATGAAAACAATCCTTTTGTGGCACGGAGTGTTTCGGTTGTTATATTCATACATATATATATATGAGCACATTCTGCATGAATTATACGCAGTTATTCTCGATAGACTATAATTTGTCATAGAGTCAGGTTACTTTTCGTCCTTCATGATCTGTAAAATGAGATGAAGACATCGGACATCAACCTCATGAATGTTAGACACAGTGCAGGTATTCCCGAAGCTACAAGGTGGCTTACCATGCTTGTGGTAGATGAGAGACTTACTGCCAATCACAAAAGAATGTTTTTTACAAAGAGCACCGGTTCTTATGAGGATATCAATATCACCAGGGAATCAGTCGGAGTCAGATATGGGAAGTCCAATATCTCCGAGGACCTCGAGGTTAACCGGCTCCTTAATCTCCATCAGACCTATCGCACAAGCTACGCATATTTTCTGAATTAATAGCGGTAAGATATTTGATTCATGTTTTACTATCATCCCGTGCAACCGCAACGATGAAATTAGTGCCACTGTGCATCGCAATGTCAAAGGTAAATCTCTTTTTTGGTTGGGTCTGATCAAAACTTTCATTAATCCTGCGTCTAGACACTCCATCAATAAATAAATCACTTGAAAGAGTGCCCTCATATTCCCATAGGTGGTCAAGGTAGAAATTGAGAATGTACCAGAATCAGACTATAAGACCACATGCTTGCCATTGGACTGTAACTGAATCCTTAAAAGGTGGAGACAGACCGCGAGGTGGGATTTCCCCTTTACTCGTAGAAGAACATACCGGCTCCTTTGATCGGAGCCATCGCTAATTTCACAACAAGCATTCCCGAGGTCGGTCTACGAGGTTATGTGTTGTGGCGCTAAACTCAAATAGGTAAAGCTAACCAGAAATGGAAATCCACTTCCAGAATGTCTGTGGGGTAGCTCAGGTACCAGGTACCCGTTTCCCCCTAATATCCACTCTACGGAGTATGTACAGGTACAGAGGTACCTATATAGGGGTAATTAATATTCTCCGAAAGTTAAGGGAAGTTCAGGAGATTTTTTTTTATAAGTGAAAGGTGATACTGAGTACAAAGGTGTTAATGACCATGTTCCACAAATCAAGGGTCCCACACACAATGAACAAAATCAACATGGTGAATATGAATTCCAGGCAGCAGAGTTAATCATTGGAACAATATAAAAGTGGACTATGGCTTATATCACTGCCTATAGGCATGTACATACAAGCTTACATACAGCAGCCCTGAGGCAGATCAGCCCTATCTGGGTGGGTCCAAGCGTTCAGCCCTACGAGAGTTTGCTTTACCCTGTCCCTCTCTACCCAGAAGATCCCCCGCAATATTTTATTCTCATGTTTTACATACACATTAAATCTCTCTAAAGAGACTGTTATAATTCTCTAAGTCTGACCCATCTGAGGTGAGAATGACCTGCTGCCCAGATCTGCCTTGATTGGTCAGAGTCAATTATTTTTGGTCAATCAATCACGACATCGCCCGTACCGAACTATACGGGCCATCAGCCCTATGGTCCGGGCCTCATGGACGCAATATGGCTTTTATTACTAGCCATTCCCTGTTTCTTCTTCCTTCTTCAGCTTCTCTTCTCTCTAGCAATCTGGAGACGCACCGGTTGTGACCCTCCAGACTACGAAGAGCCGAAAAAGACCCGACGCAACAATGGCGGAGACTATCTCGACTCAAGTCGGCCACGCTATCGCAACACTTTCGCAAATTGATTTAGGTCCAACTCCTTCCCTGGTGAAAGATGGATCGGGTCCGCGATCAATGTTTGTGCTGGCCAAGTAAGGACGGTTCTCGGAGAGAAAGCGCATTTCTCTACGCGGGGGGGGGCAACCTACAAGATCATCGTTGACACTCTGAGCATTTTCCATCCGCTCGGATGGACGCTGCCATGGGCCTCACAGCTTTGGCAATGGTATGTGGCATCCGATCTGCTTGCAACTATGGAGCGAGGAAGAAGCCCCACAAAGCCAAGCTGTTCTTTTTTTTTTGTCTACACTGCGAACTGCCTTCGTCGTTCTTTTCTGTATCATGGTCAGCGCTGCGGTCAACCTTCATCGCCGGAACCACCCTGCCTTCAAGCTACTCGGCAATGTTCCCTGGGGTTTCAAGCCCGCGGGAGTGTCATGTCATGCACTATATATATCGGAGCTTGGTCTATCTGAGCGTAATGCTCAGATATAGTGGTCTTTTGGTGTAGTTTGTAACTCGCCAGTCCAGGGGCAGGTTGTAACAGGGAGTTCCCAAAATAGATATTTCAATTATCAAGGCATTTCTTGGCGAACTCCCTTGTTCTGTTGATTGAGTACATTGCTATCTCGAAATCATTCGGCCGTGTCAACAATCATACGATCGACCCATCGTAGGAGTTCATTGCCATTGACATTTCAAACCTACTAGGTCTGTTCTTAGGTGCATACCCAGCTACGGGCTCATTATCTCGAACTGCGATCAAAGCAAAGTGCGGCGTACGCACTCCCCTCGCAAGTGTGATCACTGCCGTTTTCGTCCCTCTTGCTATATATGCACTGCCAGCGTTGTTCTTCTTCATTCCCAAATCGTCCTTGTCGGCCATGGTCATCTTGATCATCCAGTGTGTGATCTCATTACACCGCCCCATATCACCTATCAATTAGGGTGTGTAGCACTCATCTTCTTCGTGGGCGTTATCGTGATCATATTCTCGACTATCCAGACCGGTATTTACTGCACAACCGGCGTATCACTGGCAGTACTCCTCTTCCGACTCGCCAAAGCCCGAGGTAAATTCCTTGGCTACCTCCAGGTCCATTTAGTCGTTGGTGGCAATATCCTCAATGCACCCTAGGAAGACCCAACCACAGGATTCGAAGATAATACCGAGATGTCCAGAAGAGTCTACCTCCCAACCGAATACGGAGGTAGCACAAACCCCCGAGTCGAGATCCACCGGTCAGTCGCAGGAATTTTTATCTACAGAGTCTCCGAAGGGTTCAACTACCCCAATTCAAACCACTACACAGACCACCTAATCAGTCACATCTTCAAATAAACTCGACGCACAAACCCACAAGCATGGGAAACAACAGGCGGTACATCCAGGCCCAACCCGCGCCGAACGCAAAATCCTCATGGCAGAGGAAGAACCTACTTCCCCACTCTCAACTCTCCGCGCCATAATCCTTGATCTGCCGCCGTTAGCGTAGACGTCACATCCGTACAGACCCTCATTGATGGCAGAGGTCAATCTTTAACGTTTCGGAGATCCTGGATGGCTGTCTACCCAGTTCAATATCTCACTCCCATGTCGGGCAGTCCGAGGGCTGGTCGAAGAATGTGGAGGTTGGCCTGAAAGTGCAGGAGAGTAATGCCTGCTCGTCAGTTATGAGTGTCTCTGGGAATGAAATTCAGGTTGTACAAACTAATGAGAGGGATGCGAAGGTTAATGCTCATCGGCGCCGCGGTCGATCTAGTGTCGGTACTGGTATGGCTGTCGTCGATAGAATTAATCGACCTTTCTTCCATGTAGATCTGACTAGTTAGTTAGTGCGCTGAAGAGTACTATGGTTGACTCTTAGGGAATACATATGCTGGCATTGGCCAGGTATATCACTGGATGGTTGCTTTGCTTTCTTACTCTAACTAATACTTGCTCGCTGCCAAGGTCTTCTTAACTAAATCAAATTCTTATTTGGGATAATCTCATCTTAGAGACCTCTGAATCAAATGAATGAGAGTAAGTAGGTCTTTCATTTTATCAATTCAATATCGACAATAATAGTACTTAGCTTATGCGGCCTTGTCATGTCTTTTCGGTCGTCTTTTTATGTCTTTTTCTTCTAGTATCTTGTCCCCTTCTCGGGGTTCTAAACGGAGGCCAAAAAACAGCGTTTTCAACATATAACCTTTGATATATTTTAAGCTAAAACTTCGACCAGTAACTCTAACAGCATTTCCAATATACTAGATGATAGCAAATGATATTTGTCCTCTCACCATAGCTTCTTTGGCATGTTATTCACCGCAAGTCTGCGAGGAAGTTTGTCTGGTTCTCAAGACTGGCGGTGTCCGATCTCGATTGCCTAGATCGGAGACTAGTCCTAATTGCGTCTAGCTGGTGGATGCCGACGATCTTATCTGTGTTAGTGGCTGAAGACCTCGGGGTCAAGTGCAGAACCCTCTCCGCGACACCAATTACCTACAATCACAATAATAACGTGGATTGTATAAAGATATGGTCGAGAGTATCAATTTGTTGCAAGGAATTATGCGTACTCAGTGCCATGGCAGTTGTTGATTACAGGACCGAGGGTAAATATCCAGTTAATGTCACTGCCTCAAGGACTGAATAAATGAGCCCTTGCGATCAGTGGATGCCGTGTGAAGTGCCCGGGAGGTAACCTAACAAACCTAACCCATCCTATGAAATGGAAAGGTATACTCTGAATACCTTCGGTATCCGATATGTCCGTCGAGCAACAGCTCACGAATCCCTCAACGTGAACGCGAAGTACCCGATACTCTACATGTCAACACAGCCACTCTACAACTACATCCCTTCCTACTGAACCAACCATCTCCCTCCGCACATGAATCCTCGCTACCCGACCTCTCGTCCAACTAGATCTGCCGGTCTAATGCACAGCATATCTGCAGTTTCGAGATGCGGGCGTGGATCTCTGAGATCGGAAAACGTCGAAGCCTACAATATACGCAAGGACCGGTGCACACAGTGCGAACCTGCCTCTAGCTCCATCTGTGCAGGGGGCGGTGAATATTGGTGGCTATGTTGTATGTGTTGCGGACGGCGTGGCGTGTATCTATGATGCGGCAAGCGTGGGAGTGGCTGCGTTTGCAGACAGAATCGAGACTGGAAGATATCTTCTTTCCTTGCCACGCTGCCCGCTTAGAGTGTATTGCGGAGAGCTGAGGACCAGACTGCGCTGGTTGAGGGACGTGTGTACAACATAGGCGGTGCGAGAGTTGGTGCTTTCGGGCAGGGCCGGGATGGTGTAGAAGTGCCTTGTTGCTGTGGATATTGTTGCCGGATTATATGCCGGGGTTCACGGCGGTTGTCGTTCTCGAGGAACGCGTTCGGCTACAGCATATTCGATGGGGGTGATTTGAACACTGCGTGGGTTTTGGGATCCGTCAGAGGCGGATATATTAGCGGAAGATTGGCTGTGAGATTGGGCGTGCGCTGTCCAGCGCATCAGCTGTGACGGATAGCGTTGGCGCTAGGCTCGTGATTGCATGTGTTTGTGCCGAGGGGGTGAGTACGGTTCAAGGGAAGAGTTACAAAATTCTAACAAGCCGGGGGGGCACACTTGGTCTTATGAATTGAGAAAGTGGATATAGTTTGTGAAAAGAAATTAAGCTATGGATACTGTGTGTGTGTGTGTGTGTGTGTGTGTGTGTCTGCCATTACGGCAATACTGCGTACACGATTAAACAAACGCTGAAGCTATACGGGAGTACGGGGTTCTATGGCCAACTGGCTTCATGACCTCACAACAGGTCAATGATGAGTTGATGAGTCGCCGAGTCTTGTCAAAATTACCATACCGTATTTATAGTAATTTACCCGATTACACCCGGCACAGGAGCCCCTTATCTTCAGACTTCTATATCAACTCTCTCTTTTTTCAAGTAGCTTCATGCTTTTGGACTCAATTGCTGTTCTGGATTGCAATTGATACTTCTCGCATAACAATTATCCCCAATCCCCATATCAATGGCCTGAATATAGCACCCGAGCAAGGAAAAACGCGTAACGGCTGCACCCTGAATCGAGCTTGTGTGGGTCCCGCCAAGCTGCGATCAGCCGAAATTGCCAAAAATCGAATTTCCGGAAGAAATGCGAAGAGCCTCTGGTTAGCCCGTTTGGGATGGCTTAATTTGGCAGTGAAAATTTTTGCTGGAGGTGAGTCTGCCTATATAAGGGTCTCTAGCCCCGTTCAAATGAGAAGGAGGATTGAATGAATAGTTTACCATATTACGCTGAATGTTCTGTAATCTTCTTTAGGACAATCCGGAAAGACTCAGTTTTCACCGTGATAATCGGGTTATGGCGGGTCAGGAATCCAGTCTAAGTGGACCGGTGTGAAAGCAAGGACACGACAACCGGAATTTTTGCTTCTTTTCTTTGCATTTTCTTTTTTTTCCCCCTGTCTTTTGTTTTACTACTTAGGTATCTTCCGAGTTCACCCCCTGTTATAAATTTATATAAGAATCGTACATCACCTGCAGGTCCCATGCATGGATCTTTGTCTCCCTCCGCAGGCCATAGAAGACCGAAGCTATTCGGAGTACCGGATCTGTCCAGAAATTACGTATTTTCCAAATGTGACCACTCGGTGAGGTGGATTCCCGAGGGACGAAGGGGGAGACAATATCCACTCCATCCACATTATTTGACTCCTTTCAACCGATGGTTGCCCAGTGACCCCGTAGTTGGTGGACCTGGAATCCGAGTCGGGCCGGTTTGGGCGACGCCGGGAACAAACCCAAGAAATTTAGCGGATCCGATAGGATTATGATTGGTTGGTCGAAGCGTAAAAGTGGATCGATCCACTGGATTGGAACATGCTTAAGATCCACTGCAAGGGCGAAACTGGGAATTTATTTTATTATTCTTTCCTTTCTTTTTTTTTCTGTATATTATCCTCACCTCTGTAATTTAATTTTTTTATCCCTTCGTTCGGACTTCCTTCTCTGCAAACTAGCATATACATAAAGTCCAATATATAAAATTTCCCCCTGCGAAAAAAGTGAAGAGTCATCTTTTTTTTCCATGCAGGGGATATATTCTGATAGATAGTTCCCAAGACCCATAAACACCTCGACGAATAAAAACCAGTGGACCCAGTTGGAACAATACCCGATTGATCCCGACAGGTAGCAATACGCGGTAAGAATGAGAGAAAACAAGACCAAAACCGATGAATACCAACTAAAACAGAACAATACCAACCCCCAGCATTCCTAAATAGTGTGATTTGCGGTGATTTGCGTATGAAATACTCCGGAGTCGACGCACAACCTAGGGCTTTTTTTTTACCTTACACATACACTAAGACCGACTAGGAGGCGGACGGGCGAAAATTTGGCCGTAGAGTATTTATGTCCTAGTGAGTGCCGTCTCCCGTAGTTTCCCAGCTTTTTCTCCCTGAAAAGTCCATCTCTCTCCTCTTTCCTTCTTTCTCCTCTCTTCCACCCACCCTATAATTCTATAAACCATCCATCACAATGGCCGCCACTCGTGTCTTCACCTCCCGCATGGCCTCCGTCATGGCCCAGACCTCCAAGGTCGCCCGCCCTGCTGCTCGCTTCCAGCTCAACGCTGCCACCAAGCGCACCTTCACCCAGAAGGCCCCCGCCTTCGGTGCCCCCAAGCGCATCCAGTCGCCCACTCTCCTCCAGGCTAAGGCCTTCCAGACTGCCGGCCGCCGCCAGTACTCCTCCGAGGTCGCCTCCGCCATGGTTGAGGTCTCCAAGAACATCGGTATGGGTTCCGCCGCCATCGGTCTCGGTGGTGCCGGTATCGGTATTGGTCTCGTCTTCGCCGCTCTCCTCATGAGTGTCTCCCGCAACCCTGCCCTCCGTGGCCAGCTCTTCTCCTACGCCATTCTCGGCTTTGCCTTCGTCGAGGCCATGGGTCTCTTCGATCTCATGGTTGCCATGATGTGCAAGTACGTCTAAATTATCTACAACTCGGGTTTTCGGATTCTTGGAAAAATGTCATCAAAACAAGGATTTTGGGTTTTTTGAGAGAATCTCTTTTTCCGCCGGGGAGGGTATTTGGTCGTGATGTATTACCATGTACTACTTTCAGCGTCATCTACAACACTTTTTCTTTCTGTACATATAGAGTCCTATATGGCCCATCGACCATCCAACCTAACAAAGAGCCAAACGAAAAACTCTGTGTGTTGCGTCTGACGGCCGTATAATATCCTCTTCTCCCTTCTTCCTAGAATTTTTCACCTTTCCCCACGGGGGGCGAATGGTTGAAAAATATGCACACGTATGGGGGAGCTTTCACGAGCTATGTCTTGTTCGAAAGCTCCAAGAACTCCACGTAGACAAAGCTAGAAAGCTATAACCCGGGGAAAATTCCTAGCTCGATCTTCAAAATAAACAGCTCCCTGGTCTGTTTTTTTAGGCTTGTATTCTCCCCCATTCTAACGGATGTTGCTACGGGGGAGTCCTACAGTATTTGACCCGCTCTTCAACCAGCCACTACACCACAACTACAACCCATTGGCCTTCAATCTACAGTGAGAGCAAACTAGAGATGGTTCATAATACCATCGAGCTATTTTATAGCAAATTATCAGTGCTGGCGGACCTCAATTGAGCTGGAGAACCCTCGACGCAAAATTCTTAGCTCCCGGGCCTCGGGAACGGCTTTCCCGTAGTCAGCTGACTCAGCTTGTGACACCACCTGGGCAGCCTCGGGATTCCCATGGCTGCCACGGAGATCGAGTTTCTGCATGCAGTATGCAGGACTTGATGAGCAAAGCAAGTCATATTGCATTTCAAACTAGGTGTTTTGTGAATTACTATGGCTTGGGGTTGATGAATTGGATGCTCTGGTGTTCGGCAACTTCCCCGTCATATCCCACGAATCCGGTCTAGTCCGCTTTCAGTTAGTGACAATATCAAATTGTAGTATAGCTTGGTGATATTGAATATGGTATAGATCTTTCTTTTGTGTGGATTTATAGGGATATCTATGGAGTGGGAGTGTTTTAAGGGGGTCTGACGTCCTAGGCATTGTCCAACTAGAAATATATAATGTCTCTCTAGAGTTGGTTCTCAATGGTTTATCCAATATATATACATCGGTGACTACAAGATCATACAGATAGATCAACCGTGAATTTCTTTCCCTCCATCTTCCAGCTTAACTTGGTATTAATACAAGAATAGAACTTACAGTAACCACCAAAAGGACTTATCAATGTAAAGGGCTCACCAAAGGTAGAAGAAGAGCAATGCACGTGCCAAGCAGACACGCGAACTCATCGCGTCAATACACCTAAGCAACATACTCATTTTCTACTTGGAAGGAATAAAAGCTCAATTGCATCAAGAAACATGCTCCATATTGAATGGTATAAACACGAAGCTCGGTAACAAAAAGATTGGCGAAAACCCACAAAAGATCGACTCCAGACATGCCATAATCGCTCAATGAAACGGATGAAACGCTGATGGGGAATATGTATCACCAGGATCGACCAAAGAAACCAAAAAACCCCGAAGTATAAGTGCACGAAAGCAAACCAAAAAAAAAAATCAACAAAGAAGAGAACAAAACACACCAGCTAGAAGATTTCCAGATCCTCAAACTCAACCACCAACCCATCCGCCGAACCCGTCGGCAAAGAGGCATCCATCGTCATCCCATGCATAGCATCCCACATAGTACCCCCACGCGACATCCCCATGGGCCGACTGGCATAAACCCCCCACATGAACAAACTTATCCTCAACCCCATAGAAGAACCAGGTGACCTCACGCAACTTCTTCCAGGAATTTCCCACGGCACCAGGCGAGAGAGCGAACGGCGAGGCCGAGGGAACCTGGTACCAAATCCACAGCGCATAACCGACACGCTCGAGCTTGATGCGCAGCGAATGGATGCCCAAAGCGGACTGAGCGGACTGCGCCAACGGCGACAAACACCAGTCCGCGCCATCGGCCGTCGCGCTCACGGACGATGCGTTCACTGTTCCGGACGAAAACTCCATTCCGGCTTTCACCCATTTGCAGGGGGAGCGTGTGGCGGTGCGGAAGGGAGGGCTGTCGACTTCTGAGGAGAAGGATTGTGGTGCTGCGCCGGCGAATATGACTAGGCCGCCTTGGTCCCATTCCATTTCCCAGTCTGCGCTCACGGTTACTTCGGCTACGACGAATGGGTGGCGGAGGGATGTGAAGACGATCGGCGCGGTGGAGGTTTCGCCGTTAGGTGGTTTGCGCCATAGATCTGTGTTGGGACCCGCTCGAAGTGTGAAGTATTCCATGCATTGGGGTAGTTCGAATGTCGGTGGGAGGTTTAGTGTCGTGAAGGTTGATCCATCTGGAGGCATTTTTTTTTGAGGGGGAGTTTTTGGGATTTTTGAATTGGGGTTCCACGTTCTCTTAATAGATTAATGAGATGGGAAATAATTGTTTAAGAGAGTCACACTGGGTGGTTTCTCGAAAATAGGGAACACCCCGGATGAGATGCAGCAGTTGATAACCCTTAAATCCTTCAGCAATGACGCTGGGGTCACAAACATTTGCTTGTAAAGTTTAAGCAAGTGTACTAATCCGAGAAAAAAGCAGGTCCATGCATAAATAGGAGGCAAAAAGTAAAAAAAAAATAAAAAATATTGTTGGGATATGATGCAGTCGAGAATTGGGATACGCCGAATGCGGGTTGCGCCAGACCTGGAAATGGGGAACACCGAGAAAAAAAAAAAGCAAAAGGAAAGTAAAGTAAAGAAAAAAAGAGAAAAGAAGATGAGCAAATAAAAATTATTATGGTATGAAGTACGGAGTATACTTATATATAACTAGTTAGTTAGTGAAGGACCAGTGTTGGCTTCCCCCTAATTGGATTTCAGGGAATGATCTTCCTAGGTCCCGCTGGGAATGACCCTATCGAAGAAACAGAACCAGAGTACTGGAGACTTGAACCAAGCTGTTGGACTCACTGGTGGCGTTAGAGTCATGTTCTTTATGGAATGATCTCTTTGAGGGCGCTCGAGAGAAGCGAAGCGTGCTTGCATCGCTTTGGCGACAGATGAGCTGCGGGCTAGTTCACAAGTGGTGGGTCACCATGCATCTATGGAGGATCCATCACGATGTGACGGAGCTTCTAAGAGGAGAATCAAAGGTCCCTTTAGGGCCCAAAGGACCCGAGGGGCACATAGAACATGGAATGGGGCGAATGTGTGTAGTTGACACTTGTCAGAGCTGAATGAAAGACCATATGGGAAAATGTTTCATATTTACAGTGGCAAGATGAGAGAGAGATTATACTTCAACCCATTGAGGATCGATCGGAATAATGCAGGACGCATGAACTGGGTGGAACTCAGATTCGGGGAGCTGAGAATGGTCTGGGATGTTCCTTGGTCGGTGGTTAGACAGCTTGCAGGAAAATAGGGCAAATCGGGGGTCAGTTTTGTATATTTTGTATACAACATATATATTTTTTATATATATATATTATATACAACTGTTGTATATTTTATATTTTATCTCTGCAGACTCAGCCACGCGGTTTCACTCTCCACTTATGTGTTCTGCACGAGGCTGAAGAGGGTAATATTGGATGTTTCATGGGGAATCCTGGTGGATGTAAGATATAAGATATAAGATGTAAGGTATAGGATATAGGATATAAGGTATAAGATATAAAGATATAAGATATAAGACATAATAACTATACTTCTCTTCCCCACATTCTAATCTTCTCCTACATCTATATCTATATCTTCATTCTTCACCTAATTACTTACTTCCATCCTATTTCGTACTAAAATATACAGATCAGCTGACATACTATTCTTTTTATAGATCGCCAAGTCTTTAGTCTGTGATCGACTTTTCTTTCTCTGCCTTTTGCCCGGTCATTTAACGGTGATGTGTTGGCATCTTCGGGCGCAACTTAACTACTTTCATTCTCTACCTAACCTCAATTCCATTTTATTCTTTTCTCTTGAATTACAAATCTCAAAATCTACAGTGTGCCCTACGCTAAACATGCGATGTACTCTGTCGCCGAATATGCACGGGGCGTGCAGGTCCCCCCTAAAAAGGGGCCAAAACGCGAGGACACCCCCCAAATCAACAGGGCGAAGTTCAACTCGTATTTTGTGCTAAAGCTCTCTGCCTTCCAAGGCTAACTAAGAGCTTGAGCCAATCAAATCCACCACATTGACATCTTGGCTTCGTATCTGAACACCCTTTAGCCTCAATCCAAGCTAGTGTACCCCGTATGGAGGATTTGCTTGAGCCCGCTGATCCGTTTACTTAAATGTCGTTGATTTCGTAAAAAACTGGGGAATTTGTTAGATCTTTTAGAACTAAGCAGAACCAATTGCAAAAAAAAATGGCCCCTCGACGTGGCGGCTCTTCCTCGAGCTACTATAGCGACTACAATCCATGGAGCGATACGGTTTGGTTGTCGTTTGAAAACTACGAGAGCAAATCTTTCTTCTTGACCCGATTTGCCTTTGATATTCTTTCTCTTCTTGCCTTCATCGTCTTCCTCATCTGGGCATGCAGAATCAGGAATCGCAGTCTCCCGCTAAAGGCACTCATTTGCGCCCTGGCTTCACTTATATGGTATGTAGAAAGATCTAGACTAAAACCTACAATTCACTGACTAGTGGGTCGCTTCTTAGCTGCCAAATAAATATCGTTGTATGGGAAGCCCTACATGTCGCCGAGACGGACGTGACAATGTACTATTTGATCGACCTGATGCTCTGGGACTTCTTCAGAGTCGTGGCGATCTGTTTCACCTTCTATGTCTTCTGGAATCTCATTCATAACTTCCTAGGCCATATCAGAGGTTCCGGCAAGCCCCATGCGGCAGTGACCACCATCCATTATATCTTCCTTGCGATTATCTTCGTTATCTCGCTTGCCGAATGGAGTTTGCGTGTCGCTGTTTACGTCCGAAGTGTGGCTTCCCTCTACGGCACTCTTCAGTTTACCTTGTCACACCTGAACGGTGCGACCGATATCATCTATTGGGCGTTTTCCATGGAAATCCTCGCATGGATGATCTTCGTGGTTACCAAGGCTGGTAATGATATTTTTGTGTCAAAGGTGAGCCCCACCCCAATACTTCACATCCTTCCTATACAACCACACATTAACTAACCCGACAATCTTCAGATGCCCGCTATGGCAATCGTCCTCGCCGCCATCTCCTGGTTCGCAGCGTGCTCCGTCTCGGCCATCGTCTACATTCGCTATACCCTGGTGCACATCGGTCATTATGAATGGCCGCTATACCTAAACGCCGTCATGGCAATTTTGACTTTCGTCTTTGGGGTCGGCACTTATACTGGCATTCTCCTGGGCTGTTCGAAATGGCACATGCTCGGCGATGAGCAGAAGTATACCGCGCATCAGTACCAGTCTCAGTACCACTCTCAATACCCTCCAGCTCAAACACCACCCCAGTATCTTGATCAGTTCCCCGGTGGACAGTACCCTCCGGTTCAACAGCAGCCATATGGTGTTGCTCCTTACCTGGATCATTCGGCACAGAATCAGTCTCACGGGCACCCTGTCTCGCCTTAGTAAGGTTGAATCTTCAGGTTGGATTCTGTTGAGATGTATTATTGGTTGATTTCCTCCTGTTTTTTTGTTATTGTGCGAGTTTCATTTACAGTGATACTACTCTCTTTTAATGTATATACCGACGCTCAAATGTTGATACCCAAGGAACGATGCGAATGATTAGCAATGCGATCTATTTTGTATAAAAAATTGTATGAGATATATTTCCATTATGTCTCAAATAATACCTAGAAAATAAGAAAGTAAAAAACAAACACAATAAACAAAAAAGCGACTCATAAAAGACGAAGAAGCAAGTAAACAAAACGTCTTGGCAAAGGTCACCAGGCGGTGGCGCAAACCCGCGATAACATCATCTCCATTTTCGCCGTCAAGCTTCTTCTCTTTCGATCAACAACTTCCCCCCTTTTCACATCTTACGCAAGAAAAAAAATGGTCTGCCCAAAATGCCAAAAGAAGCTCAAAGCCACCGAGCTCGCCACGCCCGGCGTCAAGCGCAAGAACGACATGTACTACGGCTCGCCGTCTAGTACACTCGGTGGCGGCGCAGACAAGGGAAAGTCGAAGGCGACGCTAGGCGCCACAGGAATCGGAAAGGTATGTTACAAACTTTGCCATTTGATACTATAGATTAGAAGGAATTACTATTTTGGATGAGTTTATACTAACGTCCCCTCCCAGAGCAAACTCCTCAGCGCGAAAGCGAAGAATCCTTATGCGGCTTATGCTTCGTCTTGTGATAACTGCAAGGTGAAGACGGAGCAGGGGAAGAAGTTCTGTCAGCGGTGCGCTTATCAGAGGAATGGTGTGTTCTATTTTTTTTTCCCCTTGGTTTTGTTGCGAATGGAATGCTGATATCGATACTAGCTTGTGCCATGTGCGGCAAGAATCTGGCGGGGAAGTCGGCTAAGGACCAGCCTATTGTTCAGGGACAGAAGTTCAACATGGCATAAGATACCCGCGTTCGATCTGGGCGGTTGTGCCTTTCCTTATTATATTTTGATTCACTCTGTACATGGCGTGGCGTTTTGGGGGCGTTGATGATACCGCGGAATCGAAGATATCGAAGATTAATATCATTGAAATTGAATGAATTTGATTTGACAGTAGGAAAATTCTAGTTATACATGGCATGCGCAATAAGAGTATATGCAATGCGCCACCAATGGTGCGCTATAGTATCGGAACAAGTATGCCTTTTCATCTCTGAAGAACCTTGAACCTCGCGTTCTCCTTCTCACCCAGCTCTAGCCGCCCCCTCAGCTGCTTTCCGGTATCCACTTCTTACCGGTCGGCCAGCATGTTCTTGATGTTGCTGTAGTATTGCGTGTTCAGGTATTGTGAGAGCTCCTCCTTGGCGAGCCACTTGAAGTCCTTCAGGTCCTGGGTGTTGACGGACAGATCGGCCTGGCCGGCCATCATACGAGACTTCAAGAAGAAGATCTTGCTACCGGGAACCTCGACCTCGGTTGCGTTGTCTGCCTTCTTGGAGCGGCGCGGGTTGAAAGAGTGCCATCCGACCGGGTGGAAGCCGACCATCCAGGTGTTCATGTTGATACCAGCAGACTGGGCGAGGGTGCGTTCAGCAGCCTAGAAGGGAGATAGTATGTTAGTATAATTTCCAGACTCAATATGGTTAGAACAACAAGTATAGTTACTCACCAAGCGAAGGGTCTCGCCCGACTCCACCGGCGAGCTGGGGAACTTCCAGTGTCCCTCCTTAGATTGAACAAGGAGGTAGAGAGTGCGGGAAAGCAAACGATTGAGACTCTTTTGGTCGTTCTTCTTGTCTGCCTCCGTGATCCGAGGGTACGGCCGAGGGATTTCCTCCTTCTTGCTAGTATCTTGGGAAGTCGCATTGGCAGTGGATTCAGCGTCCTGGACAAGAGCCTCAACCTGGTGTTCAGGCTCAGACTCCTTCGCTCCTAGCAGGAGCTCATCGTTCCATGCATCGCTGTCGTACGCGTTGTAAGTTCCGATATCACGCGCGGCAGTCCGGCGCTCCTGAATCTTCTTCTTCCAGTCTTCGTCGGCTGGTGTTCCGCGCTTGAAGTAGAAATATTTCGTAAAAGGAAGGGCCAGACGCTCGTTCAGACGCTTCTGGTAGAAAAAGAACGCTTTCTCGAATGGTTCGAGATCACGGGTGACTTGGGGAGGGCGGGAGAGGACTACACCCGCGTTGATGATGTAGGCTGGTTTCACGACTGGGTCGGCCGCTGTTGATGCGGAGGTCGATTCGATTGCTGGTGCTGCGGAGGAATAGCTGCGGCGGCCAAAGGTCTCTTGACAGCTTCTGCAAACGCCGGAGTCGATTATTGATGGCCCTGCGCGGAGAGTCAGTTATTTTGAACCTAAAGAATCCGGGGCAAAAACTTCAATTGAACATACGCAGTAGCGAGGCTACGCGCCGTGCACCATTAGATCCTGACGACATGTTCAAGGGTGGAATGGCCAATGTGTTTGGGGCTGATCGATGTCTTGTCTCCCCGAGAAAAAGATCCAACCAGGTCACGTTGTCGCCAGGCCCGATTGGGCTTAGTCACCGCCCGGGGGCTTTAAATTTCAAAAATCGACTTCCTCTTTTCTTCTCTTCTCCAAGCATCTCTTATCATCACTGCGTCCAGTTCTCTACGGCCGGTTGATCATTTAAAGGTGCTCAGAGTGAGCTCCTCCTGAGGTCGCGGCCAATTTTCGCTAGCGGTACCTTCTTTATAAATCAAGGTGTACTGTTAGATAGCTGCCGCGAACATCCCATTTAGTCTTATTATGTGCTTCAATAGAAATCCATTTCCACCTTTTTTTTTTTAATTGCAATTTTCTCTCTTCTCTCTTCCCCTCCCATAAATCACCACCTTCCCTCAAATTTCCACCAGCAGATCTTCCTGCTTTGGCACCTCCTTTCCTAGTTGCACCATCCTCTCCTGTGTACCGAACACCCGCAGTATGTTCCCGTAGGTATCCCAGAAGACATCTCCGAGACGCGGCAGCAATTTGCCTTGGTTGACCAGGCGAGCGATACTCCCGGAACCAGTGTCGGCTAGAGATGTGCCAGGTGGATCAATCTGGGCTGGTTGAATCATCGGAATAGTCTCATTGTCGACGTCGAAAAAGTTGCTGAATTCATTTTTGGAAATAGGCTGATTGCTAGGCTGTGCCATGATACCGGCAACTAAACTGGGTGTCGTGGTCGTCTGTGGTCGGGGCTGGACATTCGGCTGTGAAGGGTTGCGCTGTATGTCGCCTGCCAGTTTGATGAAAGCCATGGCGGCAAGCATGCTATCGTATCCTGCCTCGTGGTTGCGGTTACGGAACTTGTACTTCGAAAAGCAAGGGTCGATCTCTGCGAAATGGTTAGTTGTGCTCTCGCTTGCTGTCATGGATACCTATGCTCTACCTATCTTGGGGCTTTCTATTCCAGCCAAAGTCGTGTTGAGCTCTTCGAGCGAAGACATGGGGTTTAGAGAGCCGCAGTCATGAGTGGCCATGTACTTGGTATCCGCTAGTACGGGAAAGAGGTCGTGGATGACGGTCTGGAACTTGGCGAGGGTATCCGGCAGCGGGCCCAGGAAGCATCTGTGGAAGAAGAGCAGATCGCAGAACATGTTGTGGCCAACTAGGACCGGTCTGTTTTCCTTGAGCCGGCTCTTCACTTTGTCTGACAACTGCTTGATCCCGAAAGTTGGCTGTTCGATTAACTTCATCAGAGGCTGGAAAGCGTCTGGTTCGAGATCTTCCAGGTTTCCACCCACAAGTGCTTCTGCGATCCAGCGGAACCCGATATGCTTCCGGACTCGCTCCTTTTTGACTTTCAACTTCGTTTCGAAGGTAAACTGCTCATTGCACGGGTCCCGCAATTCGATCTGAACGAACGTCGACGCACCCCGCGATGTTAAGTTGGGGTATTCGTCGCTGATAAGGTGGTGCACCAGCCATTTCTGCATGTTGCTCAACCCGGTAGGTACGGGGCCTGGAAAAAGCTGCACACTGCTGGGTGGCGGGATGTTGAGCCACTCACGGCGGTTCTATAAATGTCAATTGATTTGCTCAGATCGATGTTTGATATAATGTCTTACCTCGCCCTGCGCCAGCCACTCATTGACACTGACCCGAACGGCTTTAAGGAACTCCAGAGATTCATGATCGTCCTTTTTAATATCCGCGACTTGGACGGGTCTCCGCGACTGACATTTCTGCGCAGCTCTCTCGATTGCGAGCTTTTCCTCCTGTCGAGACAGGTATCGAACACCGAAGGTGCACATATGGTCAATGCTGAAGTGGTTCGCGAGCAAGAATTCCATTGCTGCCCAGGAAGATATTAGTGGTATTCTCAACATTTGTCGTAGATATTGGACATACAGCGGCTTCCGAATGTCCAGTCCCGATTCACGTCCATCTCATGCTGGGTGATTGGACTCAGATTTATGTTGTATGGTTTCAGGGTGTACGTGGCTGTAGAGAATTAGCGAGATATGTCTTAAACTAGGGTCAATTGCGTACCATTTTCCTTATCTTCGTGACAAGTTGTCAGCCCAACTTGGAGAATCTGGTACCGCTCTGCGGCCGCCTTGGCTTCCACATATCGTTCCTGCACAGTCTGGGTTCGGGATTGTGGTGCATTTGGTTTGAAGGCCACCCCAGACAGCTCGAAGTCCACGGACACGAAGCAGCTGGTGGAGATGTCGTTAAGGATGGAGGGGAGGCAATCGGCGAAGGTGACAGCCGTGACATCCATCTTGGTTCGTTGAGAATGGCATCAAAGTATGAGCTTGGTGGATGAAGACAAGAAGCGAAAGGGGATTGCTGGAAGCCGAAAGGAGAGAGTGTGCTTTGGGAAGGCAGGTATCCGAGTTTGATTGATCAGAAAGAGCCTTGCTCTCGCAATTTGTTGAAAGAGTGATCTGATAGAAAACCGAGAGCTTGGGAAGTTTGCTAGTCTACTTGGTTATTCAGTCTTATGGATCGGAGTTGTGATAGGAAGAAAGTAAGAAGGGGAAGAGAGAGTTGAGGAAATAATTATACCGGAGAAGATCTCGAAGCATTTAAATGGTATCCCTGGAGGATTAACACCGACTTCAATCTATGAATGATACAGTGAATATATATTTACTTTTTATCGATGCTTTCTTAGCAAAACCTATCTTAGCCCTGAGAGTTGTCTCAGTTGGGAGTATATAAATGACCAAGGTTAGACCCCGATGATGTTACTCCCGTGGATCCAGCCTGTCATGCCTGTGATATATCAACCGAAACATTTGGGAGAGTACCTTCTTAGGGACTAATATAAAACCGAAGGTTATAGGTTATACATAGAGAAGTCCCTTGAACAAAGCAATGCTTTTTACCTCTTCAATGGGCCTTTGTATACACCTAAAAAGGCATATAGGTGACTATTCTTGTAATGCTATAAATTAGGAAGTGATAGAATCATAGAAGATAGAATGATAGAAGATAGAATATGAAGCCAATATAAACACAAGACGTCGGATAGATCTCACAGGCCAGTCCCGTGACCGACCCCGGACTTGGACGAGCCGAGGGAAAACGAAAGCCGATCACAGCCCCGACACGCTTCAACTTGAATGGTTTCTCTTTTATAATTACTCTTTTACTTTGTGTACCTGATTTTATTGAATATAAACATTGTTTGATTCATACCTCGGCCTTCACAATGGCCAACGGATCCCCAATGTCGTCTCTCTCTCATGCCGCATCCTCAGCTTCCCCCACAAAGTTGTGCTCCAAGACATACAAGAAAGCCTCCCAACTTTACCTCACACGACGCTTACCAGAAGCCCTCACAAATCTCCAACCGATCATTACGCCTTCAACACCAGATGACCAACACACAAATGGCGAGAATTCAACACCGGTTGCGCCGATCGCCACAGCCGCCGGCACGTGGAGGATCAAGGTGTGGAACCTCTACATCACCCTCCTCAGTGCAATAGTCGATCTCGGCGCAGAGGAGGGAAAGAGGCAATTTGGTCAGAAGGAGTGGAAAGCAATTGCCTCGCAAGTCAGGGAAGGTGCGATTTGGGAAACTGTGGTCGAGGTCGGGTACCAAGGCCATGAGGGTTCGGCGGATGCCGAAGTGGTCTACAACCTGTTAGTATTCAACTCCACCTCCGCCAGCCTAAATTGAGGCACTAACAATGCGGTGATAGTGCTACCCTTCTTCTAACTCACTCCTCTTCGCAATCCCTGAACCAACAGCGCCTTGAGACCTACCTCTCCTCCTATGGACAACCAAACCTCGACCTTACGGATCGTCTACACGATGCATCCGATGATTACGAACAGCGCCCTATGCGTACGACCAGCGGAGCCGATACCCCGAAAGATCTCACTGCCAGAGTAAAGATCATCGAGCTCTTTACTTTGCACGTCCTCCCCCGCAATGATGAGTGGGAATACTCGACCGAATTCATCAATTTGAGCGAAGTTCTCGACGAAGAACGCAAAGACCTCTTCCTACAGACCCTCGAAGGCCTGAAGGAAGAGAAGGAGCGGGGTGAGATGCGCGCAGTCGAATTACAGCGAGCCAAAGACGCAGAGCTTGAACGACAACGAGAGGAGGAACGTCGCGAAGCCGAAGAAGCAGCGGCAGCCGCTGCGCGACTACAGTCCAATGGGCATAAGCGTAATACCAGCGAGGTCGACTACGGAATTGAGAAAAACCGCTCGAATGGTTCTCCTAAAGGCAAAGGAGCCAGGCAATCGACAGACAAGCCACCAAATGGCAAGTCACGAACTTCTCTCTCGTCCGGCTCCAAAAATGTCAAGAAGCAGGACAAGGCCGAACCCGGGGGTCGCCCAACTCGGGCCGTGGCCACCGGACTGCGCAACATCTTCCGTCATATTATCCGGACTGTGTCTGGGAATCCCATGTCAATAGTGCGCACCCTACTTTTTGTGATCGGCATTTTGATGACGATCAGCCGACAGGGTGTGCGTGATCGCATCCGACGGGTTACGGACGGCGCTTGGCAGAAGGTCAAAGCTACGGCTGGAATGGGTGTCAAAGTGAGCTATATTTGAGATATAGGCCGCTTTGATGTCTGCGCACATTGCATGCTTATCATGTACATTTTTTCTTGATCAAGTTGGCTCCCCCATGGTTCCCGGGGGTTGTTCTGCATACATTTTTCTTTTGTGATTCCCTTTGTGATGCTCTTATGTTCATGTATTCTATGCATACATACCAGATTCCCACCAGGTGTGGTTGAATTTACTTTATCCAAGTCCGATTTTTCATTTGTTTCAGCCAGCTGTTTTCAAAGACAACCTTCATAGAGTGCCTTGGCTCATTGCCCATTACGTTCATTCCATTGCCGATCAAAGACAGTAAGGGACCGTTGAGCTGTAAAATATTAGCATGTGATCATAGCTATCCAATGTATCCCTAAATAGAAAACTTGAACACTCACCGGAAGGAACAACATCCAAGGCCTTAATAGAGACATTGAGAGGCTGATTGAGCATATAAACAGCCGCCTCAGCAACATCACCCGCAATGAGCGGCCTATTAACACCATCGTCAGCAACTCTCCTCGTCATAGAGCAAACAGCAAAATAAAAACTCACGTATAACCATGCATAAACTCATCATATTGCGCCTGATCATGCCCAATGCGTTGAGAATGGAAATGTCCCGCAACAACACCAGGCCTCAACGCCAACACCCGGATATTAGTCCCACTCAACTCATTCCGCAACGAGTTAGTGAACGCCTCTTGCGCCGCTTTGTTGGAATGGTAGACTGCCTCGCCTGTGAAAGGCGGTACTTCTAGACCGGTGACCGAGGTGACGTTTATGATTGTCCCTGCTTTGCGCGGGATCATACTGCGGTTGAGCACAGAGTGAGCCACGTACATTGGGCCGTTGACATTTGTTGAGATCATTGTTTGGATTTCTGATATCTTGAGGTTGTGGAAGGCGTTTGGTGCGCCGATGGCGAGGCCGGCCTTGGGATTTGTTAGTGGGAATCTGTCTATAAACAACTTGGGAGGGCTTGAGCGTACGTTGTTGATGAGTATGTCGATGTCACCGAGTTCTTTGACGGATGAATCAACGGCTGCGTCGACTTCTTCGTAGTTTCCTACATCGGCTGTTCGGTAGATCACTTTGATCTGAGGGTGTTGCTTGCTTAACTCGTCTGTGAGTTTGGATAGTTTGTCCTGGGTATCATATATGTCAGTTACTACATATGTTTGAGTGTCCTTGGTGGACGAGATATGATGCTTACCTCGGAGCGGGAGAGAAGAATCAAATTTGCACCGGCTTTGGCTAGGGCTCTTGCTGTTGCTTCGCCGATGCCCATTGAGGCTCCGGTCTATAGATGTAGTTCCCGAGGTCAGTATAAGAATCTGTTTATGATCGTGGGCAGTCCACTTACAACGAGGGCAGTCTGTCCGCTTAGAGTCATTTTGACAGATGTAGTTATATTAAGGCAAGCTTTTGTACCAGAGAATAAAGAAAGAAATAGTGTTGATATGTTGTAGAACTTGGATAGACCCCGCGAGGTCATCCCCTCGGATTATTAATCAATTCTATATTGGACCCCGCTTACCTCGGGGGTTCCTCTTTAGGCATATATTGCCCGTACTGATATTACATCACACTGGCCGTTATATTTAATTAGCCTAAGAAGGCCGTGAATCATGGAAACCTTAGTGAAAATAACAGCTGGACTACACTCTCTGTAGGAAGAAAGTTATGGAAAGTCAAACAAAGAAAGGTAGACAATGCACAATCTATTTGTTGCCATAGTTAATCAAACTTCATGGGAACCTGGATCAACACAGACTCAGGTTTGGCTATAAATACAGGATGTATCACGCACATGAACACAGCCTTGTAAACTCCCTGTCCTGTTGGATTCCATCAAATGGAAACAAAGACACTATCCCTTGACTCCTAGAACTACCTGACTGATGAGTCCTTGTAACATGAGGGCCAATGAACGTGTTCTGTGCAATATTGAAAAGGATGAAACTAACGGGGAGGCATTGGAACATCCCCAGGAGAAGGCAATCTCACTCGATGACCAAATAGAAGAAGAGGAACCTGAGCCTCGTGGAATGTCTTTGAATTCAGAGACTTCATCTCGTTCCACTGCTCCGCCAAAAGAGCAGAGAAGGTTACCCTGCCAACGGTGCTTTCGACGCATGATACAACAACCCGACCACGTTTGTGTTCTTGAACCAGACACTATCAAGTGTAAGCATTGTCGTTCAGTAAACAACCACTGCCTCGAGGTAAGTGACTGGATAGGGAATCTGCTGAATAGGTTGACCTGACAATATCTCTGCAGCTGCCATCTGCGGTTCATGTCAATGCTATTAGAGCACTCTCTACGCACCCCGGGACAGGAAGAATTGCCCTTATTAGGGAAACTGTACGTCGGATGCGACGTTCTTCTACTCGATTTAAATCGACTTATGCACATGCATCTTCTGGTGTCGATGTACCACCATGCCCTCGCTCTTACCGCACTCCCATGACAAATGCTCTGAGAAATCATGATATAAAGTCCATCAAGGCTGTTCGTGATGAAATCCAGGCTGTGTCAGATCGTACCCAATGGGAGGTCCGGAAACTCACTGAGCGATTGATCGAGGTAGAGATTGAGATGCAGGGCGAGCTGCACCCCGAGGTAGAAGATGAGGATTTGTCTGCTTGGCTGTAGAAGCCTTTTCATGTTGTCACCTGTATGCGGAACTTGCCTTGTGACTTTCATTTCTTGTCAGGGATCTACGTTAGTCCATTGTCTTTGAAGTTTGATCGGTTTTTGCTGGGAGTGGTTCATGTCTCAGACAGCTTAGAACAGAATGATAATGTCTTGACAAAACGCGCGTAAAATCTTGACAATAGAATATAACCAGTTAGCTGGCTGGCTTTACCTTTGTGTCTTGGGTTTAGACCTAGGTATTCATGGAATAAGTCTAAGGCATATATTTTGTAACTAAAAATGGAAAAGAAGATTCGGTGTAAAGAGCAGTTATCGCCACGGAGGAAATCAAACCAAATAAGCTATTATATACGGGTATCAAACAGTCGTACGCCCATGAGCACGTCCAGCGTGATCTCCACGTGTATCCTCGGCCATAGCAATGTCAACATCATTGTGCGTACTGTCATCAAAATCCTCTTTCTCAACGATCCTAGCATGCCACCACCGGAACAACTGGACGAAGAAATGCGCCACGCATATCTGCTCCGTGGTATAGAGCAACACCGGCACCGATGTCTTCGCTTTCAGGAATAGATCAACGGGCTGCCACATTGCGTAGAGCAGCGGGATACCGAGTGCGGTACTTTTTGCTGGTCCGCAAAAGCACACTGCAATAGTTTCCTCCGGAGACATGCGTTTGAAAATGGGCTTTGACCAGCGTCGAGAACTGAAAATTCGCGGTGGTCTGGAGCAGAAAAAGCATACTGCCGTTAAAGTGATGTAGAGTAGGATGTTGAATAGGACCACGAAGACTATGCTCTGCGCGGAAAGGGTTTGGAGGGCTCCTGTTGCGAAGCAGGAGGAAAATGTGGCCCTAATATTTAGGAATGTTGGGTTAGCAGAAGGAAAAAAAAGAGGGCCAAGATTTCCGTATAGAAAGCTCATTGTACTCACCAAATCAACAATAACAAGCAGAAAGTAGCCAATTTAGGCAGCTTGGTCTTCTGCAGGACCAAAGCAGTGCGATCAGGCCAAGTCCACCTCACCAGCTGCCCAATAAACAGTGGCAATAATACACTGAGCCCCAGTTGTTGAAAAACCTCCTTATACATACTCCCCAAATCCCCACCCCCAAACCGCCAGGTATCAAACACTGCCATCTTGGGTATCAACGAAATAGTCCAAGCAGCCGTAACAAACGGACCGAGGATATTAGCCAACAAGACCTCCACCAAAGCAGCGGCATCATCGCCGCCCGCCGACCTCGTCATAACAACATTGGAGGCAATCGTCGTTGGAATACAAGCAGTAAAGATATACCCAGCCAGCACGGCGCGATCAATTTTCTCCCCAGGATCCGCAACGAGGATAATATGCACGATGGCCAACACCACAGCAGGTATGAACAGAAACGAAATGACCTGCACGACCAAGTGAAGGCGCCAATTCAGGGCATGCGAGATAAGCTTTTGGCGGGGGATGCTCAGGCCCGAGATTAGGAAGATTATCGCGATCACGCCGTACATGATGCTGTACTCGGAGCGGATGATGCCGCCGTTCTTGGCAACATTCGGGAAGCAGTATGCCAGGGCGCAGACGACGCCCATCCCGATTAGGAGCCATTGGTGGAGGATTAGACTTGCGATGCGTTTCAGGACTCGCTGCCACCGCGGCGGGGCGGTGTCTGGAGCTGCTTGCATTTTTTTGGGGGGTTCGTTTAGTCTAGGAATGAGGACATGGATTTTATACTATCGTGGATAATTTGGCTTCTATAAAGCGGGTAGATCCTGTAGGGGTATGTAGGGGATATGTAGGGGTATTTGAGAATTGCGTAATCGGCGTTAGTCCGACCCCTCGGAGTGATAGCGCTCACATAGTCTGTTTGAAGCTGTACTTTGTACATTGTACTATCACAATGTACATTGCAGTATAATCCATGATTATGGACATGTCATAAATATTGTGCATCTTTGTATATCAAATCTGCAAGTCTAAAATGGGAGTGGGGGGTTTACCGAAATCGGGAAGCCGAATCTTATCATTCGGGTTGATATTGAATGATCCTGGATGTGATAGGCGATGTATGTGATTCGTGTCGATCTTGAAACATGTCGCATGCCGATGCTGTTGATTTGATTTCATATCTTGGGCAACAAATCTGTGTATATGTACTTATGCAGACTTGATTTTCTAGAATCGACGCGCCTTGCCCTGGGGGTGCTCACTGAGTATTTCTCATCACCGGTCAAGGCTCAGCCAGCGCTCTCAGGGCGGATTGAGTGATCAGTCACGTGCGTCGTGAGCTAACCATTAGCCAGACAACGATGCCGAATTGACCGTCTCTACAATACCCATCTCCGCCAAAATGCACGGTGTATATGACGCAACCATAATTTGATGGGGTATTGGAAGTCTTTCAAGTGACGAAATTCATCAGATACTGCGCGAAGTCTCAGAATACCGAGTACATTTCAAAAGGTGACTCTTTGCTAGCGCCTAGAGAAAGAAGCGCGCTTTGGCGGTTGAAAAGAGAAAATCTGACCTGGAGGCAAATTATGCCCCATTTACCTGAAAAGTCCGTCGCCACCTTACGGCAAACGTGGATAGACATAACTAGAGCATTCTTCGATGCAACGTCCCACGAGATCTTAAAGGAAGACATGACGATAATTCGGGATCTTCCACTGGCATCTGGCGTCATTCTCATTGTTTGTCGTGAAAGTCAAACGACGTAGTTTCTGTATCTGTAAACCCGAGATAGACTGTGACTTTGCCTCAAAGAGTCTTTGAATCTTCGGCCAATTACTTAGCTAAGACCAAACAGGCCTATGAGTCTCTTCGAGCTAGACACCTCTGTCAAAGCCTGTGGAGGGCGTTGTATTATCGTTTTGAGCTACCCAATATAATTCTCTTGTACCCGTTCAGAAGGAGATCGAAGATATCCTACTTGTATAAGCAATAAGTTATGTTTTCAGCTGGTGGGCAACAAAGCTGTGTACCCTTGAATACAAAACCATACGCGGGCATGGAGACTACGTCTGTCAACGGCTAAATCGCAAGCCCTTAGCTAATTACGAGATCATCATCCTCGTTTACACCACATTTTGTCCAAACGATGTCGACATAACGGAGACATACTTATCTTTAGTCTAATCAAGATTCAGCGTCTCTCATAGACTGGTCGCCTCTCCTTCCCCGTAAGAAGCAGGGTCCAATGACAACATTCAGGAGGGACAATTCCCTATCCCGTTAGATAGCTCGCTATTGAACGACGCGCGATAAACTAACACCTTTCTATTTGTTTCGTCTACAGGTTCCAGACTCCGAACACCCTCTCATATATCAAGTAGGGGGTGGTCAATGGCCTAAGAGTTTCCAGTTTATCCTACTGCCCCTCTTCAGAATATTCTTCAAATAACATATAACAGCATCTAAGACGATGATTTTATATACATCATTGACTCCCATGGAATTCCACCCTGCAGATTATTCTGCACTGTTGTTGACGATGTAATATCGAATACCCCTCTTCGCGAAGTCGGTGTCTGCAAGGCTCATACAAGCATTGTTTGCAGGGTTTCCACTATTGATCCAAGCATCTTCTTTGCCTGTCCCACCCTTACAGCCAGGACTGTACCATCCATCGAGCGTATTCAAAGTACGGGCCCAGTAAACAGACTTGGCCACAAAGCCGAAATCCATGCAATCTGAGTCTGACGACACATCCTAAACGAAAGTAAGCAAAGTCCTATGTTGAGGTGGTAAAGGAGATCGAGATCATACATCAGCGCTGAAGTCCACGCAGCCCTCCTTGCAGCCGGTATCCGTGCAGGCTTTGAGGCTGTACGCTGCTGAAAGAGCAGGAAGCAATAAGGTCAATGCTCTTAGGGCGAGCATGCTGGAAGTTGTCTTGGAGAGAAAGCTGGACAACAATATAGAGAGAAAAGGATTGTTTATGAACTGAGAAGAAACAAGGTGGTCTTGCTCTCTTCTTATAGCTCAGGAATCGTATCTTTGAACTGCATCAGAGATCACCCTACAAGCACCGTTGCAATGTAATGAAGGATGAAGGATTCTGCCTCGTCAGCAGACCTCGGTCACATCCAATGGCCGCATACAATCTACCAACGGTCCGAATCGCGGTGGATATTGTCGATATGGCTCTGTTGGTTTAAGCCAATTGTCCACGTTAGTACGGAGTATAGATGGTGATCGGCAGCCCCTGCCAAGGTCGGCCCCTATCCATCTACCTTGGGAAAAATGACGGTCAATCACTCACATAGTACGCCAATTCTATGATTTCCAGGTCGCGCCATAGTGGGTCTGCGTGGTGTAACTACAGTTCAAGCCGACAGAACTACAACATAGTGCTTAACTACTGATTAGTGCTTACCACTCAAGGCTCGTCCAAAAAAAGGCCCCCAATCTACTGTCGACCAGGTAAAATACATCGAACCCTCAAGTCATTTTCCAATGTTCCGTAAAAATATTCTTTGCTCTTTTAACGGTCCGATCGATGGAGGAATTTGAAGTAATCGAGCACACTCCACTTGAGATGACTTACATAGAATGCTAGATAGAGGGGGGGCGCTCGCGATCTAGAGACCCACAAGGATCCTAAGAGCTAGTTTAGCTTTCCTAGGATCTACGATTCCCCTCTACATACTATCATACGTAAGCTATAATATCACATTAGCGACTTCCGTGCGAACTTCGGTATAGTTAACTAGTTACGTCGACTTACACATATACTACGTATTGGCCATCACCCCGCTATGCCTATATAATGCTGGGGCATCGTCGTATACTTAAGCCAATGCTTCGGATAATGAAGAATAGAGCCTCACGTACGTGATTTACACGGATTATAATCAATTCTATGCTGTAGATATCAAACCCTCCAGGCTAGGAATCTCACAACTGATCAACGCTAGCTACGTCCTACCTTTCGAACCTCGTTCATTTACTTGGTAATGTCGATTTTCAGTGTTACGTGTTTTGACGGGGAAACATTGGCATGTCATTCTACCAGTTAGGTAGGTAATCAAAATTGAAAAATAGTTAAGTTAGTCTGTTTGGCGTTCCGAGGATCCCCTGGCTCTTGGGATATCCAGAGCTGCTCCCATGAACATCTGAGCTCGTGCCGTCTTTCGACTGAGAAAGCCCACCAAAAATCTTTTGCCGTGTTGGTGCAGCGCGATCAACTATAGTAGAGTCCTACTAGGGCAAAAGGCCGTGGGTATCAGAAGGAACAATAGCTCGACCTAGGGTATTCGTCTCTTTCCTGATGGCAGTGCCGGGTTTTGGGGAGTGCGAGCGGAGAAACGGGCAAGAAGAGGATCATTAGTTGGGGTGCAATTTATTGAGATTACTTGCTTAGGGCGGGCAAGAAGAGGATCATTAGTTGGGGTGCAATTTATCGAGATTACTTGCTTAGGGCGTGCTGAGATCTACTTAGTGAGCAAAAAGCGGCAAGGGGTGAGCACTAAAACGGAAAGGGAAGGCCATCGACCTAGAACATCGAGTACATATGTTGTAACTGTTAGATAGACTACGGATTGTAGGGTCTGGAAAGTAGAGAGGGAGAGAGTTGATTGCTATGGACGGAGAGAAACTGCTAACAGTCCTGGGAGTTGATGCCTGAGGCATGCATATAGGGCGTAAGGCCACCACAACAGTAACTATAGAGTGTAAGGTAGGAATTCGGTCAAACGTTCATCCGACAGAATGACGGGTCTATCAACGTCACCACCTGGAAAGACTTGCCCATATACAACAGTTGTAACAGCCATCTCTATAATAATCTACAACCCAGGACTATATGTTGTAAAGAGTTCAGTCAAGCCTACATCAAGCCCCACGTTCTACCTTTGATTACTTTAATTATCCATCTGAGTCAGAATGTCCCATGATCCTCTCTGAACATGAACCTCGGCTGGGAGGAGCTCTAGCGTTCGCCCGAGATCACCCGCAAATAGCCAGCGGATTTCGCTACTTTCCTCCGAAGTTCAAGTCCCGAACTGTTCAGAATCCGCGGAGTAATTTAGCTCCCTGGAAATATTAGGGGGGCTTCTAGAATGTTATAGTCTTCGGGCATATGGTTGCGTTTTTAAGGATAATATAGATTCAGTAGTGTAGTTTCACAAGACACGGGCATTTTAGACATTTCCTTTTACATTGTAGCAATCTAATCTCCAAATAAAGTATATATAATCACAAGCCTGCTAAACCCATGACGACAATTTGAAAAAGACATGTGAAATCAGATCATTGGAGATCTGGGGTGATTCATTCCGCGCTGGATAGAAAGCCGCCCTTGTTACCGAAGGCCTCGGGATTGTGAAGGCCCTACACGTTGTGGTCGGTACAGATAGGACATTAATTATTATATAGAGATCTCCCTCGGCATGTTATTTAGTTTGCTACCTCTTTTCTTTTCTCTTTGTCCTCTGTTCTTCACATTTTGGGCGAGGTCATATACACTTCCGCTCGTCCAGCTTCCTCCGCTTCCCCGTCATAGCTCCCCACAAAGTTCTGGCACTGCCGCCACTTCGCCTCGTGAATCATATACCCGTGGAACTTCGGTCATTCTTTTCTTTCTTTTAAAAAAAGGAAGATTAAAGGTCTTTGCAATTGATCTCTTGATCTTCCTCAGACCCTCCAGATATACTCTCTTTTCCAATTGCAGCTTGTTTCTGCTTATATTCTCGGGGATTGTATACTTCCGCTACTCCGCAATTTCGGCTTTCCCTTGCGACAATCGGAAGATCTTCGTAACTCGATTTCCGAGACGGCCAATTGAAGAATTTCTGTGAAATCTTCGATCTTCGTGAACAAAAGTGCAATTGCTCTGCAGATACACCACATATTGAAACGATGTCCGCCAAAACCGCCAACCAGAAGCGCACATCGCCCGCGGTCAACTTGATCGGTAGAGTAGACTCCCCCTTTTAGGGATGTACAGCTATTGACTTTTGCCTGGTTAGCTGGTGGTGGTGCCGGTATGATGGAGGCCCTCGTGTGCCATCCGCTAGACACAATCAAGGTCCGCATGCAGCTGTCAAGGAGAGCCACAGCACCTGGGGTGAGTTGGAGAGAATTCCATTGGACAGTTGAAGCCATTGCTAACCATGTTCGCTGGACCAGGCTAAGCCGCGCGGGTTCGTGGCCACCGGTGCTCAAATCGTGAAAAAGGAGACCGCTCTAGGTCTGTACAAGGGTCTTGGTGCCGTGCTGGGTGGTATCATTCCGAAGATGGCGATTCGATTCACCTCATACGAGTCATATAAGGGCATGCTGGCCAATAAGGAGACAGGCGCCGTGACTAGCAAAGCCACCTTCCTGGGTATGTGAAGCGTTGAACAAGCCGAAAGGATGCACAACGGAAAGCTAACAATCCCCACAGCTGGTCTCGCCGCCGGTGTTACGGAAGCCGTAGCTGTCGTCAACCCCATGGAAGTCATCAAAATTCGTCTGCAGGCCCAGCACCACAGTCTGGCTGACCCCCTAGACACCCCGAAGTACCGCAGCGCCCCGCACGCACTCTTCACCGTGATCAAGGAAGAAGGCTTCAGCGTCCTATACCGCGGTGTCTCCCTGACAGCCCTCCGACAAGGAACCAACCAGGCCGCCAACTTCACCGCATACACGGAACTGAAGGCTGGCCTGCAGCGCTGGCAACCCGAGTACAGCAACAGCCAGCTGCCCGCTTACCAGACCACCTTGATTGGTTTGATCTCCGGTGCCGTCGGTCCCTTCTCTAACGCTCCCATCGACACCATCAAGACCCGCCTCCAGAAGACCCGTGCTGAGCCCGGTCAGTCTGCTGTCTCCCGTATCATGGTCATTGCCAAGGATATGTTCAAGACCGAGGGTACTCGTGCTTTCTACAAGGGTATCACCCCCCCGTGTGATGCGTGTTGCTCCTGGTCAGGCCGTCACTTTCACCGTGTACGAGTTCCTCAAGGGTAAGCTTGAGGGCTCTAACTGGGCTTTTGTTGGTGGTAAGTTCGAGGAGTAAATGTGCCAAAATTTCGTATTTCTTTTTTGGAAAGCATTGTGATACCTGACCCGGCATGGTCTGTTTTGCGCGTTGGACTGTCTCGGACAGAGCTGTCCAACTGCAAGCCGGTTGAAACGGCTCTTTTTTCTGTTAATATTTTTTGGCTTTGCATTAGTTATTTCCTATACCACTTTGCCTGGTGCACCAGGCAAGGTGCACCTTGAGCTGAAATAGAGGACCTTCAAAGACCGTCGAAGACTCGTTCGCTAGTGTAGTTGGGTGCTGAGGAACTGTACACGAATGACCCAATGGTTGTAGATACACTGCCTACGTAGTCAGCAATGCTTGTATAGCGACCACACAATAACATATTTCTGCTGAGTTAGGATAATGAAGAATAGTTTCTTTTTCTGTGAGATAGACTTGTTAGATGGATGTAGAAAGGTCAAAATAAAGCCAGCCCTGACGGCTGACATGCCGGCCCCTCATTCACCGCTCCCCCTCTCCCCTCATAAACAATCAAGCCACCCAGCTGCCATCCTATAGTGCAGCATCATGCAATCAGGAATTACAGGTAAGACACTCGAATACAGGGGATCTTGAGCTCTGAACAAAACCCCATTGAATTCAACACTAACAAACCATCCAGTCTCCTCGGAGCTGCAAGATGCATTCGCCCGCTTCAACTCCGACTCCTCAATCTTCTGTCTGCCGGTGACCATCACAGCAGAGACCCTAACACCGCTGGCCCCAATTACTTTCCAGGGCAGCCCATCGGAAAACGACTTCTTTTCGGCCCTCCCCCAGCTGTCCTCCGTCCTCCAGCCTAAAACCCCCATCTACCTCCTCATCCGGCGCCCATCGACCGCCTCAACCGCCGCACTCATCGCTCTGACCTACATCCCGTCTAATGCGCCTGTGCGAGCAAAGACACTCTTTGCGTCGACTCGCTCAACCCTGAGCCGCGAGCTGGGCACGGAGAAGTTCGCTTCTACCGTCTTTGCTACCGAGGAAGACGAGGTCCTGGGCCAGGATGCGTGGCGTGAGCGTGATGGCGAGGGCCCCAATGCCATCTCTCGTGAAGATATGATGGGTGAGAAGGAGAGGGAGCTTGAAGCTGTTCGCAAGGCTGAGGCTGAGGCACGGAATGGCACCCCCGGGAGGGATATTGGTATTGGTGGCAGTTTTGGACCTGGCACTGGCTCTGGGATGAGGGTATCTATGCCGGTTGATGAGGGCGCTAAGTCTGCGCTAAGGGATCTGCGGGATGGTGGGTTGGTTCAACTTGTAAGTCATTACCCTGGCTTGTGGCCATTCTTTGAGAGGGCTGGTCTAGTTCTAGACTATATGTCACTTGAAGGGACGGGGCAGTGTGGATGGGTTCTGTGAGATCTGAGGCTAACTGAAGGTAGACTGTTGATATCCCTACGGAGAAGATCGTCTTGGCCGACTCCCAGTCTGGAGTCGAGGCGAACTCTATCGCAACACACATTTCCTCGTCTTCGCCTCGCTATTCTTTCTATCATTACCCCGGGTCCGATGTCGTGATCTTCGTATACACATGTCCCACTGGATCCTCGATCAAGGAGCGTATGCTGCACGCTAGCTCACGGAGAAACGCCATCACCGTTGCTGAGCAGGAAGGACTCAAGGTCGAGAAAAAGGTATGCGTGCCCAACTTGTGGATGGTTGTAGTTCTTTGCTCGTTTGAAGTGCTCACAAATAGCAGATTGAGGCCTCTAGCCCTGACGAGATCACCGGCGACCGTTTGCAAGAGGAAGTTACCCCGGCACGAGACCAGGGCCCTACGCGAGGATTCGCCAGACCTCGTCGCCCCGGCCGGTAAATCGCTATTGTATAGATAGGCTATGTTCCTGATGAGGCCAGAAGACTCTTATGTCTCAGCGGACATCGATCCGATAGCTGTAGTAAATATAGCAGCACTGTGCTAGACTAGCCAGGTTCTTGTCTAAAACTTGGTAATTGCTTGCTCCGACGAGAACAACGAAGGTAGACTTGGATCTGGGTCAGAGCATTGATCACATCCTCAGATACCTCCTTTGAGGCGCTGGCTGGCCGTGGCCATGGCCAGGCTGAGAGACCCGGACCAGCATTCCAACGTGTTCAATGTAACCGTCTTAATTATTGCTTGAAGTAGGTTCTATGAGCACCAAGAAGAATGATTCGCCGAGGTCACCAGTGTTGGACACAAGAAGTAGTGATGTCCTTGACTTGTTGAAGTAACTTGGGATAAATCACTGGATATTTCAAATGATCACGTTTATTGTACGAATATGCACACATATTATTGCCCTGGACAATGCCTAATGGGTCCCAAGACGAATCCCACATACACGCCCAAAGCGACAAAGAAGACTCCCGGGTATTTGTCACGGCCTAAATAACTAAAGCTATCTCACCATGTAATTTGACAATGAAATGTCGACTACAAGTCGACTACAACCTAATAAATCACAGTGTCCTCGTTATCCTCAACGACCTCGCCTCCATCATCATCTCGGTGGGCATCATGCTGATCTTGAACGGCACTTTCCTCCACGTTAGCAGTGGTTTCATCCGTTTTAGCTAGATCGGGGGTTTGGTCATTAATGTCTACACCAACCGTTTCCGGAGCACCATAGGCCGTCTCCTTAGATTTTGAATCTGTTGGATCTGCCCCGTGCTCTGGAGCCGATGGCTGGTCATCTGTTTGCTGCTGCTTTTCTGACACTCGCGGTTGTTCTTCGCCTGCCTGTTGTTTTGTTTCAGCATGAGTGGGCTGTGTTTCAACCTTGGTTGGTTGTTCGGGCGCAAATGCCTCCGGTGGATATCGGGCTTCGAACTCGGCGACTTCTCGGGCAACAGTCGCCTCTGCTTCTTCGATCTGCTGTTTTATCGCTGCTTCATCTCCAGGTCGGGGTTGCCATGGTTTGTAATACTATCATGGGTTAGCTGATGGTCACTATATATGAATAGGAACGCATAACTCACCAGAACCGGCTTGGCCTGTGTCTTGTGGAAATTTGCCAGGGCAAGCATATTCGAATGCCGTGTTTGCATCTGAGAATGGATGTCAGTAAAATATTTCATCACTATATACTCCAGTGGTATGTAAGTGAATAGAACATGAACATACCGCTTCTCGCTCATATAACGGCATTTCTCGTCTCCGAATCTCATCATGCTGTTCCTTCCGCCGTTTCTTCAATTCACCGTATTCGGCATCTTGCGACTTCAACTTCTCCTGCTGCTTCTTTTCAATATCAGCGCGCCGTCTCTGTGCCGCAGAACTTGAGCTCTGCGAAAGAGTGCCAAGCAGCCCCCCCCGAATAACCGCTGGCCCCGCTTGCGATCCTCGTCTCCCCCACGCGGTCGTGTGGGCTTCATCTCTACAGACTCATCTGTCGTGGGCGGAGGGGATGACGGCCGACGTCGCTGAGAATGCGGGGAGGCATTGTCTATGGAGCTGAGTCGTCGGCGCTTAGTGTCGTATTCTGCAGTTGAAGACTTTCGTCGCTTAGCTGTCAACTCCGGAGACTGATGGATGGGATCCTGGCTAGGTACGGCCACTGCTGAGGCGAGTGTCTCAGAACTGTCAAAGTAACATGCACGTTAGCTAGAATGCTCCAATTACAACACCTGTTGTGTGTTGCACAGTATAAAGGGAACCATACCCTTCAGACATCTTGGCCGGCAAACAGCGTTGTTTATAAGAAATAAACAAATTGGGGAGAGAAACTGAGCGACGTTATAGGTTCTGATCCGGGTCAAATCTTGGAGGTGAGGAGATGCGCAAAACCATAAGGCTGCCGGACACGCTGCTTCGAATCACACTGCCTGCTTAGAATCACAATGCTTAGGATCACGTGCACAGACCACTTTAGTCTTTGGTTCACCGTTTGCTTCTCTTCTCTTACCTTTTCATAACACTTATTTCTCTTCTCACTTCCCCGCGACCGCGACCGCTACATTGTACCTTATTCCACTTTCTGCAGCTACTATTTTCATTCTCTTTCTACCTCACTAAAATCACAATGTCTCGTCACCACCCCGACCTCGTCATGTGCCGCAAGCAACCTGGCATTTCTATCGGCCGCCTGTGTGACAAATGTGACGGAAAATGTCCTGTCTGCGATTCTTACGTGCGCCCAACAACCCTGGTCCGCATCTGCGACGAGTGCTCCTTCGGAAACTACCAGAACAAGTGTGTCGTCTGCGGCGGCGAGGGTATCAGTGATGCGTTCTACTGCTTTGAATGTACGCGCCTTGAGAAGGATCGCGATGGGTGTCCCAAGATCATCAATCTGGGAAGTTCGAGAACCGATTTGTTCTACCAGAAGAAAAGTTTCAGGAATCAATGATCTTGGCTTGTGGCTTGGTGTCCAAGTGGAGGGGAGCCAAGCATGAGTCTGGCGGGTTTCACAATTTTCAGCATATTTCAGCCTAGCGACGACAAAAAGACTTTACAACCTTCACAAATCTGAGACGATGCGATACATTCTGTCAGTGACCTATGTAAACCTGCTCCAACTGGGTTTTTTCGGTGTCGCCTGCTTGCAGCAAGTCGGCGAGTGGAGGATATCAACGAGCACGAGCACGTGGACCCGGATATAACCCAACGAGATGCCCCTGTCACCTGGTCTGCCTTTATAGTATCTTGCGATGCTACCCGGAAAAGAACTGGTAGACATGGTGGCAGTGTGCCTTTGGATATCGGAATCCGAGAATCAGCGAATACTGCAGATGGTTCGACGAACTCAGGACCAGCGGGGGCTCTAGGTGGAGCAGCTGGACTGGAAACAGCCCTGCAGGGTTCATGACTGACACATCTCGGGTCTCGGTTATGATTTGTCGATTTCCTAGACGGGTATGCATGACCCAGGCCCCAAATCTGCGGATTCAAGGCCTCATGCGCAGATCTGCTATTTTGGAATTTTTTGTTCTTTTGATCTTATTCCCCAAGGAGCGTCTGCCTTCAATATCAATTCTCATTCTGAACAAAATCATCATTGTTTCTGTGCATACAAGTGGTCAGCGGTCACGATGGCTTCCATTTACAAAGTAAATTGTTGTATTATTCGTTTCTCTAAATAATACCAAGGCAAATCCATGCATAGTTTACCTCGAAAGCTCTTAGGCCCGCTTCGTTTTAACACACTTTGTATACCTTTTATATCCTGACCCCCGCGTGGGACGCAATCAAAACTGCAGACTACCTTTTCACCAGACTCCGCTAGCTAGGCATTGGTTCTGCGTTGGGTGTCCCGCGTGATTAAGATATGCGCCTATTGGATTGTGTGAAGCCAGGCATTGAGTTAAGCGCGAATCAATGAACTCGGCGCTCTAATCACTACCTTTGGTGTCGGCGAGCCCTCAACTCTTAATGATATTGCTAGGGCATACGCCAGAAAAGCCGCTGTCATTTATATTGTCAGTATGCGGAGGGTGTGGATTGTAAGCCGCCACCCGGCTTACAACGGATGAATGGGAACAACCTATGTATGAAGGTCCCTACCCGTCGTAACTCGTCCACTTGACGCGGTACTGTAGGTTCCGGTTTCGCGTTCGGCTGGCCAGCACCCTTTCCACTTCGTATTCCTCGTGGTTTTCGACGATCACTGCCCCCGGTGGGTCAGCAATCTGTCCTGGTAGCGGTTCCATTGTTGTGGCTTTTCGAAGTTTCTCGTGGAACACTGGATGCACTTGGCTTGGATGGTTTTCGGAATGTACAACATATTGTCAGTGTCTTGGCGCCCCACTGTGGTTTCCAACGTGCCGAGGCACAACTTGGGAGGGAGCTCGGTATATCAATCTCTCCGACATCCTCTCCAGGGCTAGCTTCGTGTATGATTATATATCATTGATTAATCTGAAACCCATTGTTCCCTCTTAAATGGTATAAGTCCCAAGTTATATATTGCTCGATTTCACCTGATAGCCTGTTACTTCAAAGCTTGGGCCCTGAAAAAGGTGTCTATCTTCCAAGTTACACACCACATGAAACCCCCATTTCCTTTTGATGTCCGAGTCTTTGAAAATATAACCATCACCGCTTGATATAACTCGTCATGCCAGTCGACAAGATCCGAGTATCGGGTGACTCCCGTATTGAGTACAAGACCGCTACACTCAATGGCCATAACTACTGTGAGCATACCACACCTCAAGAGCTTACACTCAATGTCTTCTATATGGAATTAATATGAACTGACTATTTGTAGCTTACATTCTCAGCCAGCCTGAGTCAAGACAATACAAAGCTACCGTCTTCCTGGTAAGCGGCCAGCTCAATTAAAAAGCCACACACACGTTGATATATTCTCCATAGATCCATGGCTTCCCCGATATCTCCATGGGATGGAGATACCAAATCCCCATGCTCGTAGACATGGGCTTGCGGGTGGTAGCTCCCGACTGCCTCGGATACGGACGAACAGTGAGTCTTTCCACCTTCGAGCCTATTAGGAAATACCACCTAACAATAACTCAAGGACGCCCCGGACGATTTTACTCCGTATGCCCACACAAAAGTTGCGCAGCGGACATCAAAGCCCTAGCAACCCATCTAGGCGAAACCCAAATCATCCTAGGCGGGCATGACTGGCAAGCACTTCCCCCCTCCCCGAGCAACCTTTCTTTCCCAGAACCGCACGACTAATACACAGAACAGGGGCGCAGGTCTTGCCTACCGCATCGCCCTCTGGTATCCAGAGCTAGTAAGCCACTTATTCACAGTCTGCGTGCCTTATGCACGACCCATGGCCAAGAACATCTCCATCGAAGACCTTGTCCGTAACGTGACACCGCACCTTGCCTACCAGCTGCAGCTCAAGAGCGGGGAGGTGGAGAAGGTTATTCGGTCAAAGGATGAGATTCGTCAGTTTTTGCTTGCGCTTTATGGAGGTCGCACCGAGGCGGGTGAGATTGGATTTGATGCCAATAAGGGTGTTTTGCTTGATAAAATTGGCCACTTGAAGCCTTCGAGATTGTTGAGTGAGGAGGTAAATTATTTAATTTGGGCTTCGGTTTGGGAATTATTATGCTAACTTTCTACAGGAGTTGGAGTTTTATACGAATGAGTTTGCTCGCCATGGCATTCATGGACCGCGTATGGTATCCTTAGGATTCGTTGATTAAGTTTTTTGCTAATTATTTCTATATAGTTAACTGGTACCGCACTCGCGACGTGAACTACAAAGATGAGCTCGCTATTCTCGACAGCGAGATTCAGATTCCTACATTGTTTATCCAGGCGCTGAGGGATCAGGCTCTGCCGCCTCAGATGGGCAAGTCTATGGCGAAGCGGTTCCCGCGACTGACGCTGAAGCAGGTTAATACCGCGCACTGGGCTCTGTGGGAGAAGCCTGAGGAAGTCAATGAGATTATTGGGACTTGGTTGAAGGATCAGTCCGTTGTCGGTGGAAGGACGGGTAAGCTCTGATCGGAGAAATTATAGTTATAGTTGCATAATGAAAAGGAATGATTGCTTGATTATCGCGAGAGTCCGTATCTCATATCGTCAAAGTATAAAGAATATGTGCTTGATCACAAGTCGCGAGCAGCTGCGTGAACCAGCATGACTGCACAGGGCCGGGGTTCACCCCGTAAACGACGAAGCTATTTAGTACTGAAACACCTTTGTCTCAAGTTTACAGCCGACCTTCTCCAAGCGGTCAACATAGTCCTGACCCAGCGTAGCGGGAGTAACAATGCCACCACGCGAGATCTTCTTGATCTTCTCCTCCTCATTAAGAATAACCATCGCAGCCTCAGCTAGCAACAGCCCAGTGAATGGGTACATACCGCCGTGGTAAGTGAGCGTACCGAAGACGCGCTGTGGCGAAGCACTATCCGCAGTAGCGATGGCGTGGTACTCGAGAAGGTCATTTGCCGAGTCCTCTCTGCGCGGGCCAGTGCCAGGGGCAAAGACAAACTTCTTTACCAGCCAGCGCACTGGCGGCAGCGCAAGCAGCGTAACTGCAACCAAGAAGCCGACGTGGATAGCAACGCCAATCAGGGCGTTACGGACCGACAGGAACTGACGGAAGAAGAAATTCTGCCCGTATAGCTCTGGCATTAGGCTGCTGCTGCGGTGCACGATGCTCATGTCGCAGACACCGGACGGGGAGGTCGTCACGGTACCCAGGTCGCGAATTGAGCGCACGCCGAAAACTTTTTCCAGGATTGATTCACCGGGGATGTTCTTTGGTGGCGGTGATGCTGTCAACGAGAAGGGTGTCATTGCCTTGGATAGCTCGGACGTTGAAAAGCCATCGAAGATGGTTAGAATGGTATTCATGGTGCCGCCGCTGGGACCAGAGGATCTATTATGAATGGATTAGAGATGTAATCCTCTATTGGCATGGAATTGCATACTTCATTTCCTTGATGGTGCTGTTGATTTGGCGGGTTGAAGACGAGAGATCCTCTCGGACTCGCTTAACCAGAGACCATGCCAGCAGATCAGCAGGGGCACTCTCGACACCAGTGCAAGGGATCATCTGTCTGCAATTAGCATGAATATATTTGACAACAATTGGTTGCAGAACGAACAATAGCGCCATTGGCCTTGGCAGTTTCGTGGTACTTGTCAATGATCGACTTGACCCAGGGTGTTTCTCCAGTACTGTAACGATCAGCAAGTGTTCGACTGACTCGGACAATCCCAAAAGCAAAAGACTTACACATCCACATAGTGAGTTCCATTGACCGCGCATGCCTCCACGACTGGGGTCGAGTACAAGTGGTAGGGACCCACACAATTGATAACCAGCCGCGTTTTCTGGGCAAGCTCGTTGAGCTCGGTGGAGTTCAGTTGAACGACCAGGACATCTATGATCACATCCGAGTGAGCATTGAGGTATAAAAGGTCATAGGCAAATGAGACCATGAGGTTATGTACCTGGGTCCACACGATCGGGGTTCAGAGCCTTCAGTTCCTGAGCGATAGGCTCCATTTTCTGCGCGGATCGACCGGCGATAGCCCATTTCAGATCGGTAGGAAGGTTCTGCACAATGTGCTCTGCGCAAAATCGGCCAGTATAGCCGGTTGGACCCAGCAAGACCAGGTCATATTGTCGGTTGGAAGTCATGGTGGTTGAGTCGATGTGTTTTGGAGTCTATGATGTAGTTTTGTAGAAAAGGGAGCTTTCGGCAAATCACAGGCTCCTCGGTACGCTTCAAGACGCAAGTGTGGGGTGGGAAGGGGAGTGGGCGGAATAGCCACAAAATAATTCTTGAAGCTTTACGTAGGACTAGAAGTAACACATGTTACACAATCGAGATTCTACTAAGTAACTATTGATCTGGAAACTGGAGATGTTTATATTTCATGGACAGGAGATATCACGTGACCGGATAGATCGATTAGCCCGGGAAAAGAGGACTGGGGGAAGCGGCTGGTCTCGAACACAATCAGGCCGAATGAAAATAAGACATCCAATGTCCGGAGATAAATAACTATACAATAATTTGCACGAGGTGATTTTGTATGATGTAGAGGGGAAATTCGACATGATATTAGACACCTCAAATAGAAGGCATCAAATAAAAAAAAATTTCTAACCAACTAACCTTGGAAGTTAACCAAAGAAAAAAAAATCCCAATATCCAACATCAAATCACATCTCCACCAACACCGTCATCGTCTTAAATCTGGTGGACCTTGTGGGCCTTCGAAACACAAAGTAAGCATTGGAAACCTGAGGCCATTAACTTCCTGATGTAAGCCCACTAACTCAAAATGGTCAGGTGATCGCACGAAGCCAAGAGCCCTAAGCGAGAATCCACAGCACAACCCGCCCTCATTCAAAGCGTCTTTTTTGGTCTCCTGTTGAATACCCATCTTCATCCTCTACACCAGCCAAGATGACGAAGCGCACCAAGAGTATGTGCCTCTTTCTCAAATTCAACACACTGCAAACCGAATTGCTCAATGCTAACTAATTTCCACAGAGGTCGGCATCACCGGTAAATATGGTACCAGGTATGACATTCGCCCATTTCGCGCCTACACGACTGTGATTTCGATCGAGACACACAAATCCAAAGCGAAATACTCCTACACGACGACCCGGATTCTAACAATTTACCAACAGATACGGTGCCTCCCTGCGTAAGCAGGTGAAGAAGATGGAAGTCACCCAGCACGCCCGCTACGTCTGCACTTTCTGCGGAAAGAACACCGTCAAGCGCAAGGCTGTCGGTATCTGGGAGTGCAAGGGCTGCGACAAGACTGTTGCCGGTGGTGCTTACACCGTCTCGTAAGTCGCCCACTATCGCAAGGAACGGCACTGTGATCCGACTCGGGGATCGACCTTGGGCTCGGCGCACACAGTCGCGATCCACAACGCACACGACAAGGAAAGATTACTGACCGTACTATTTTCTCTAGCACCCCCGCTGCCGCTGCCACCCGTTCCACCATCCGTCGTCTGCGTGAGATCGCTGAGGTCTAAATTGGAGGATTGTGTGGTTTCATTTCTCTTTTACGGTTACGTCTGAATACCAAAAATGAATGAAAAAATTCGGGATTACGAATTCTTGTTGCAATCCGCTTCGCACCCGAGTATACCGTATATCGATGTGACTGGTTTTCCAAAGTTCGCCTCGGTCGCTGCCCACCTGATAGACAAATTCACCGGTCCATCCAAGATCCTCCACCTGATTACTTCGACGTTCTGCGACCGTGTGCATTATCCATATGGTGATGGACTGCATATCTGCGGTCTCTGGTGGTTTCTCAGGCGCTGGACAGTCACGTAGACTTTGACGGGACATGAGTGGATCTTGGTTTGGAGGTCACCTGGTCTCAACGTATTGTTTCGAGTGTCTGGACCGACTGTGCGCTCCGGACCATATCTTCGTACTTTCTATGTGCACCTGGACATTTGCACCAGGTGCCTGGGTATACTCCCACATGATACATACCCTTCTCGGAACGATGACTGGCGCCTGGTGATTTGCTCGGAGATCTTAGACGATGACTAAGGTGGAAACTGTCCACCTGGGCAAAGGCCCAGGTGTGATTCAGGTTTCAACTAAATCATGGGCGCCTAATGTAGTCATTTCTCAATTTGTAGATCGGCCACCTTGCCTTCCAGGGACTTTTGTGTAGTTTGTGTTGTACAAGGACCTTGTTGGATGGTAGGATACACACCACATTCGATACTTGAAAGATAATAGCCATCAGTAAAACAAAACAAAACAAAACAAGAAGTATAATGCTTTATAATTTGATAAATATCGTGGTAGAAATACCAAGATCGAAGTTCAAGCCAATCCAGGGCATGCATCATTCGCCTCCGTCACGTTCCTGCTTTGCGTTAGTCCGGTAATCCGGCCCACCTTCAAAAGGCGCTCCCCACACCTTTCTCGCTTCTACACTTCTCGAGCGCTTCTTCATGGACTTCGCCTTCTCTCATAACTCTGTCGCTCATGTCCGATAGCTGTATTGTTTGTTTAGGAGACCTTGGTGAAGGAGCGGGTGATCCTCTTGAGCCTGTGAGCCTTGATTTGAAGGATGGCGACTTCAATGGGCTCGACTCTCAGATCGCTCAGCTACTTCCCTGTGGTCATGTCCTACATAATAATTGTTTAAAACCATGGGTTGAACGGGCAAACAGTTGTCCGATATGTCGGCGCAGTTTCAATATGGTGGAGTTGAGTGATAGTGTTGGAGGTATGACGCCCTCCCCCTTCCTTTTGACTTATGACATGATCCCCTTTAGATTACAAGTACTGACTATATTAATTTGCTATAGGAGCGGTTACTTCATCCTACGCTGTCCAGGACCGAACCCAAGTGGCCGAAGTTGACCCTTCTATGATTATAGAATATGTGGAGGATGACTTGACCGATTTTCAACCATGTACAATTTGCGGACAAGCCGACAACGAGGATGTTCTTCTTTTATGCGATGGATGTGATGGGCCTTCTCATCTATACTGCCTAGGTTTGGACGAGATCCCCTCGGGATCATGGTACTGCCAACAATGCGAGGAACTACGTGCTCTGGGACCAGCTCCCGAGGTATCAGCACGGCCGTCTCGGGCGATCGAGCAGCGGAGTCGACGAACTAGAGCTCAGCAGAGACGACTGCAGAATAGAACTCAGACGAATTCTCTCCACTGGGCACGAGTCTGGCAATCGGTCTGGGACCACTTGAATCTCGACCTTGATTTCCCATTCGATGACGATCGATCTGCCGAACGTGCGATGCAACAACGTCGTCGCGAGGAGGCCAACCAGCGCGAATTTCAAGCTTGGCAACGCCGCTTCGAGGTCGCTGAGCGGCAAGGTGGTGGCAGCCGGTTTCGCGACACAGCATCCCTGTTCGATCTTGACCATGCCCGACCATCGCGACCTCGGGTGCCTAGAGTTCCGACACCGGAGCCCGAGTCCCTGGAGGAGATGCGCGCTTGGAACGCTTTCGAGAGGGCACGAGAGATCGAAAACAACCCGAGCGCAGCCAGGAAGCGCAAAGAGCCGACCATGTCGCCGTCCCCTGAACCCACAGAACCAGAGCGCAAGTTGAAGCGTCCTCGAACGAGGAGGCCGCAAGAGCTCGCAGCTCGTGCACAGCAAACTCAAAATGGTGAATCATCTAGAGCTGCGAGCTCTAATGTACGGCCCAATGGTGATAATCCCACCGGACCAAGCTTCCTGTCATCACTATTGAAGGAAGTTGAAGACGCACCGAGTCATTCATATGGACCTTCCGCTTCGACATCCGCCGCTCCTACTGACCATCCATCTCCTGGTCCCTCTTCTCCCTCCATCTCTCCCGCCTCATCTCGTTACTCTTCCCCTCTCCTGGCGGCGGCCACACCACCACCTTACCCGCGAAGCCGCCCAATATCCCCTCTCCAACTATCATCCCCGGCCCCACCCTCATCTCCTCCGTTCTCCCCCCGAAGTGTCATCGGGTAGTCCATCATCAAATGGCGCCAAAGAAGACAAACCACAACGCCAGCCCGGTCGTCCTCGCTCCCGCATCCCCAAACAAGCACTGTGTTTCGGAGCCTCCCGCTCACCTGACTCATCCCCCACTCGAGCTGGTCCATCCCTCGCCCTCAAAGCCGATATACAGAAAATGGTAGGCACTGGACTAAAACCCCACTATAAGAAAAAGACCATCTCGAAAGAGCAATATACAAACATCAACCGGTCCATCTCTCGTATGCTCTACGAGCGAGTTGGGGATAAGGAAACGCTCGAGCCGGATGAACGCACCAACCTCGAAACAGAGGCCAAGCATGAAGTGCAGAATACAATTGATGCACTGAAGATGAAGAGCAAAGATAAGCAGAAACAGCGCATGGTGGCGACCGACACAGACGGTGATCTATAATGACTATACCACGAACTCTCCCCCGCATTTAATGGCGTTTCTTCTCATCTCAGCGAATCCTACTCTTTGGCGAAATGGATCGGAATGTACAACTGGCGTTTGATACTTGCACGCTGTCCTCTTTTCTCCTTCTTCCGCGAGGCATCCGCGTGAGAACCTTTCTGTTCGTAACACTACTCTGATGGGAGTAATTATTGTGTTTTTCTTGCGTGGAGCTAGTCTATTCGCGTTCTCTTTGCTCCATATTGTGTCTAAATATCATTTATCTTCTGACCGTAGGAGAAGGTACGGCCACTCCTAGGTAGCCTCGCCATCTTTGGTTTATCGGGTCTTTCTATTTCCTAGTTGGGGCTTTCAAGTTTATATACTCTAAAGACAATTCCTCGGATAATCTGACGGATAATTTATAGGACAGCGATAACTCCTGATTCAATCGTCGGTTCGGCTGCACATTTATGGATAAGTCTAAATGAAGTACAAAGTACACTGCTGATTTTGAACAGTGCGATACCATCGAAGTCCGAGTCCGGTCTACAGGATATACCGGAATCAACGATTCTGATCAAAATTGACATTTAGCAACAACAATTAATCCAGGCACATAGCGAGGTGCATCATTATCCTTGTATATATCAACACGGGTACTGGTGAAGATCCCTAATCAGAAATCAGCCCCAGCACAACCAACCCACAAGCAGATCTTAGGCAGACAAACTGCTGTTCTGTCATCTTCGACGCCGAGTCAACCTTTTTAAGCTGGCTCATCGGGACGTCCGAGACTCGTAACGTGGTTACACGTGTTTCCCATTCTTTGGGGGTCTTGGGAATACTGCTCTTCGAAGGTACTGTGGACGATGACATGATGAAATGAAGATGATGAATGCTTGGATTTAGAAATAAGCAGAGTTGTAGGCGAGAGTGAAAGATGACTTCAGGGGCTGTTATGGGCACGTCCAACCCCAACCCCCGAGCTCTTTCCTTTACCTCTCTCTTACTTCCAAATTTGTAGGCTTCTGAGGACAACGGAAAGGTGTATTACGGTATAAATCCTTGTCAAGGTGATCAGAGGCTTGTTTATGTCGTATTCCCGAGGTCGTAAAATCTAATGACTAAAAAGAAGCGATATTGAATTCTAGGGAGCAGTGAAATAGGCGACTATCTAAGACAGAGGGTAGACATCTCCAGGACTGGTTGGCTTAAGTGGTACCGAATGAACATCTCCACCGGTGCCGTCTGGAGTCCCTGTCACTGCTATATCGTAAAGTATGCTTTACCTGCCAATATTTAGGCTGACTAGAACATAACTTAGGATCTCCTTGTTTGTACGGTGGGCTAGAAATAGTGAGTTCTCGAGAATCAATGAAATATTTAATAAAATATTCTGCCGCCTACCAACGAGAAAAATTCCTGGTCCCCGAGGTCCCAAAGGCAATATATTCCTGGCTGAATGGTTCTAGATGTATGAAGCTGCCAGCCAATATAATAGTATACTGGTAGGCCTTGCATATACCAGTCCTCGTCATATTGTAAGTTTTGAAGTGCCTCGGTTTGAGACTCCACTGCTTGCTGGACTTCTTCTGGGTCCGAATACTCCTCTTGGCAATCTTCTAAGATTTCATCAAAGGTTGGAACGAGTCTTAGTATGGGTGGTTTCTCGTTTTCTTCAGGGTCGGGGTTGACTGTATACTTCTGAAGGAGTCTATCTGGGTGTGGACGGAAAAAAACATGGGTTGAATAAGATTTCGTCATTTACCGTCGCGACTTGGGATACTTGGATTCCAAGCCTCTGAAGGTCATTATGGGAAGGATGGCTAGGTTCAAAGGCTTTGAGTTGCTGGGATAGGTGTTTGAGAAGGCCATGGGGCTCCTGTGTTGCAGGGTCCATTTCGACAAGGGTTGTGGGAACAGGGGAGCAGTCCATTTCAACAAGGGTGTGGGTGCATGGGAGCTAGAAATCAAATCGAAATGAAAGTTAGAATATCGAAAAACCACACTGTTTCCGTGATACGGTAGATCCCGGGGGTTGAGATAGCATGGGCGATGATGCGGAGAGAGTGGAGTAGAGGGTTGGATTCAGGAGCCTCCTTTGTGGCCTGATTTTCCAGGCAATTACTCACATTCATCTCAACACAGTCTTACCTAACCTAGTACCTACCTAGGTACCTCTGCCACGGGGTTTCTAGTAAAGCTACTGGCATCCGGAGGTACTATCTAGTTCACATCAAGTTCCGAATTCAAGATCTTCTTTACTAATATCTCCTAGACCGGCCAAAGTTCAATGAAAAGTATACACTTGTAGGAACATCTCTTCACGGACGGAAATATTAAGAGCAAAGTTGACATCTTCTCCCAGGGGCCAAAATATTAAGGATCGGATAGGATTAGTGTCAGATCTTGTATGAGTGCGTCAGAAGATATTCAATGCAGTTTTATATTTGAGTTTATCGAAGGTTGAGATTTAGATGTCGCATGGCTATGTCAAGTTACAGCGGCCTTGTTATGTTTTTGGTGGTCCCTTTTAAGATAGTTCTTTTCCTTCTTATGTTTTACAGGTATGCGAAGAATGTGATCTATAGATCTATAGGAGAGAATAGACTATCTGATCATAATTTTAAGCATTGACACTTGCGCTCTTCGTCATTCCAATTCCTACAGCAGCTGTTGTCCCTGCGTCAACAGGCAGAATAACACCAGTCATCCACCGGGCATGAGGTCCAGCAAGGAATACAACAGCTCCAGCACAGTCCCATCCATTTCCTTCAGTCCCCAATAAGCTTCGCTTCCGACGGGCCTCACGCGCTTCTTCACTCATACCCTTCCCATACATCATAGGCGTATACAGCATCTGATATTTATCAGCTTCGGTTCCATGCCACGAAAAGTGTGAACATACCCCTGGACAGACACAATTCACACGAATCCCATCTGGCGAGTGATGGGCCGCCATAGCACGGGTCATGTTAACGATGGCACCCTTGGCAGTTGGGTATAGCAGATGAGGTGTACCCCCCTTCAACCCAGCAACACTTCCCATGTTCACAATGCTCCCTTTGATCTCACCGTCATTTCGGCCCATCTCGGGGATGGCATACTTGGCCATTTGAACCATACTGGCAACATTGATCTCCATACTTTTCGCCCACTGCGTCATATCAACTTCCACCGCAGTGCCCGCCGCGCCTCCAATTCCAACATTGTTGATTAAAATATCAAGTCGACCGAACTTTTCAACTGCGAAGCATACTGCCGCTTGGCAGTCATCTTCAGATGTGACGTCCGCACGAATCGCAAGCGCTCGTCCACGACCGGGTTTCGAGTTCACGATTTCAACGGTCTTGTTGGCCCATTCTAGGTTGAGGTCGACACAGAGTACGTCGCAGCCATCATCGGCAAGAAGGATTGAAATCGCGCGTCCGTTTCCAATTCCATCGCCGAGACAGCCTGCGCCTGTTACGATGGCAACTTTTTTGACTAAGGAACGTGATGGGGGATCGGATGGAATGCCGGACTCCATAGTTATTGATCTGATGATTTGGTTTTCAATTAAGTTAGCTTGTCAACTACGTATAACTAAGCAGATGCGCATACCTAGGTACTATCTACCGTTATACCTACTATATCTTTGCTCGTTCACGGCATACCTAAATAGTCCATCTTCATGCGGGGTTACCGAATTGCTCAGATATGCTGTTACCGAGCCGAGCCGAGGTGACGTTGAGGGGGTAAATCTGATGGTGACATGTCTCTCAATGAATGTACCCGGCTATGTTGTACACGTATTTTGTATATGCCAGTGCCCCTCGAGTGGGTTGCTCTGCCTTTCCAGTGAGCGGGATTTATTAAATCCGGGTAAAAGATGAAGTTCTTGTTTATTTGTTATTCCTTTCTCTACTCTCCATTCTTCTCTTAGCAATAAGATTACATGTACATTTACCCATAATGGCCGACTTCACTGAATATGGTATACCTAGCGCCGAATGGATCGCCCTCGAGTCGACGCTGCCTGAGCCCCCAAGGATCTCTCGGTGGAACAATTAAAGGAGCTGCTAAACAAGGGGCGCGAGGCAAGCGCCGCCGAAGATATGATCGACGGACTCGGTGCCGCAGTTCAACTGCATAACTACACAATCACAGCTCGCGACGGCACGCCCCTCGAAGCACGCACCTACCGCCCCGTCGGCGTTCCAATTTCCGAGCGCCTGCCCGTTTACGTCCATCTTCACGGCGGCGGTTTCCTGCTCGGGACACTTTCTTCTGAAGACGGCATTTGTTCGCGGATTGTCACCTCGCGTGTCCAGAAGGGTACCCCAGTTGTGGTCTTGAATATCAACTACCGACACAGTCCCGAATACACCTATCCCACTGCCTGGAACGACGCTGAAGATGCATTCGTCTGGCTACACGAGAACATTGCCGAAATTGGCGGGATCAGCGAGCAGGTTGTCGTGGGCGGTATTTCAGCTGGTGCATGGTTGACTGCGTCGTTGGCGCTGGCTCAGCTGCGCGGTGATGATAAGCGCTTAGCAGCCTGCCCAAAGATTGCAGGACAGGTCCTCATGATTCCATGTGTTGTACAGTGGGATCACTATGCGCCGAGACTGGAGCAACTCAAGAGTCCTGAGTTGTCGAGCTATGTGCAATGTGCCGAGGCTCCTGTCTTGCCGGTGGCTCGAATGAGGTTGTTCAGCGGGATTCTTGGGCTTAACGACACCAAGGATGCTGCTGGAGATCGCCGGATGAACCCTGGAAATGCCACCGCGGAAGAGGTTAAGGACTTGCCTCCTACGACCTTTGGAATCGCGGGGAATGACCCATTGAGAGATGAGGGTCTGTTTTATGGACAGAAGCTCGCTGCGAACGGGTGAGTTTGCCATATTCTTCCAAATTTGGGAATATTCAAAAACTAAATCTTCGATCAGCATCCCTACCAATGTTCATGTCTTCCCCGGTGTCCCGCATTCATTCAGGAGGTACAAGCAGCTGTCCGACAACAAGAGATGGGACGAGGTTATGAGCGACGGCATTGCCTGGGCACTGTCAAATCCTGCGCCTGGTCCATTTGAGATCAAATCGAAATAGGACGCTAAGTTGTAGGCCGAAGATGGATACATGATTTTGAGATCTGTTAGTGGATATCAGGATGGATATAAACTAGAACATAGTTGTAGTAGTTTCCCTGCTAGTAAAGTTGAATCTGATATATTCTTTTGTACCAGATGAAGAGTATAGTGATTAATTCAATCCAATTAAGGAGGCATCAAGAGGCATCAAGAGGCATCAAGGAGCGATTCGCCGCTCGGACCCACAATGCCGATTGTCCGATTGTCCGATCTGGCCATGTGAGAGTCTTCCTATTCATCTACAACATACACAATTGTTGGACGCTCTTGTTTCTTATTTTTTTCTATTCACCTTCAATTGTCTGATCCATTATGCATGTCTATTTTTCACTACATGCAATGTAATTCTAATCCGCTTTCAATCCCCGTATTGAAATAAAGGGCGGGCCCCTCCTCTCCGACAACCCATCGCTTGTGCGCAAAGCGTTGCCCCATTTCTTGTGCGCAATTCAGAACTAGAGCTTTTGTCTTGAAAGCTCATATTGTGCCTTTCTTTTGTGATCAAGTGTTGTCCTGTGAACCCTCAAACACACACACACCAACAATGCCCCCCTCGGCCTCCACCAACGGAGCCTCCTCCACCCCCGACGCCCTTGAATCCGACCTCCTCGTCAAGCTGTCCGCCAGCAGCGCACTCGAAGATCTACAGGAAAATATCCTCAGCTCCCTCCACCGCTTGGGCTGGACCGACAAGGTCACCACCCTCGCCACAGAACTCCTCCGCGCCGGCCGCTGTGAGACCTTCGACGATGTAATGGCGGCCGTGCTCGCTTCGGCAGAGGGTCGAACCCACCCCGCACTGGGGGCCAAGATCGCAAATGGTGAAACTACAAACGGAACAAAAGAGACCAACGGTGTCAAGAAAGGCAACAAAGTCAAAGATCACTCACATCCATACGACCCTCTGAAGTACATTGAAGAAATCGATATCCGCATTCCGGAGACTGTAGTCGACGAGGGTGTTCGCGGATTGAAAGATATCATACGAGAAGTTGCCGACTTAGAAGGCGAGAGTGCGCCCAACGGCGACAAGAAATAATGACAGACACCGGGCGCTGGGAAAGCAGCATTTCAAATTGCGATCATGCATGGCGGGTTCTTTTCCAAAAAGTACAGATTATTTCGGCCTGCATCAAATTTCATGGGTTTACATATGAAGTCTACGGGCGCTCTTGCATTTGAATAGACTACCAATCATGGGGTTCTGAATATCCCCCTTTTCTTTTCGAAACACAGCATTTTACCGTACCTAGAGCTTTGGCTCTTTCATAGCTCTTGATGACGCAGTTTGGTACTCCAGCCCTATGCCCCACGATGTGTCTTTGATGATTTCTTCTTAGGGATAGCCGAATCAAGCCCTTCGGTTGAAACGTGGGGGTTTGCCGGGCAAACTCCATGGACATTAGCCCGAGGCTGGGGATGATAACCTAAAATTGGCGATGGGTGTCAGGATTAATATATGACAGGTCCAATTTGCCCATCCAGCAAGAAAGCAAGTCTTTTGGGGTTTAAATATCAATATCAATATGCCCCAAACACCTCCCTATGAGTACACCAGCCTCTTGGATTGGACCATTCCACCAAATCGGGCCGATTCAGTGTGTAAAATGCAATATTGTTTCCTAGGATGACCAAATACAAATGTATGAGGCAACGATCATCAACTCTCCTCACAAAAATTACGATATTATCATAACATCAGCTGTGCCTCTGGTGACGACCTATGGCCTTTAGATGGTGATATACCAATACTACGCCATGCTTCCAGGAGTAATAACGCTTCTGTCCTATTTTGATACCTATCAACAAGTCTGCTGTCTAGCTGGAGCTCAACGTAGTCAATATGAACTTGATTGGTACAGTGTATACAATCACCAACAGCACATAGCTATAACTATCAGCAACACCATTCGATCCTTCTCTGTGTACACCTGATCACAGGTCACTCAGTAGCGATGACTCCCTAATCTGTTTCCAAGGAGATGGCAGATCACATCGAGAACGGGTATCTCAAGCGCACCTAAAAGTTCAGCATGACATTATCAAAGATCAATGGGTGCCTAGAGTTGAAGTAAAGGAGGTGCAGAGGGAACCGCTAAGCTACAATTCTTTGTGTAGGTGCCTTGGCAGGTGGGGAGAGTAACAAATTCAATTGTAATTCCAAAGATATTGGGTTCAAATGTTTATAGAAATAGTATATCTTAGTTGGACAGGATGCTCCAACTTGTATGTCAGTAATTGATGTAGTCGTATACTTCCAATCTCCAAATACGAAGGTTCCAAGGTTGGAGTGTTCCCCCCGTTATGAAGAGTCCAGACCCAGTCACGTGAACCCCATTCTCATCAGACGGGGGTTCCTCTTCGCCTAATCTCGACCTTTTCTCAAATGCCCCTAGACATCCGTTTACTTTTGGCTTCAGGGAACAGAGAGACGTATCACTCACTTTCACCGGTGGCCTGACTTTCCTCCAACACCCCTATCCCGCCGTGGCCCTGAACCGCCAACCTTCCCCGCTTTGCTCAGCTTGTTGATTGCCGCGTACTTGCACTCGACGGCAACACCCCCTCCTCGGAAAGGAACATCCAAAACATATTTCGACCGGAACACGAGAGATACAATACAACCCCTGTCTGCTCGAATATCTTGCGAATCGGCCCATGTTCGCCTTAAACCCTTTGAGTCTTCACGTCCCCTCGTTCCGCCCGCGCTTTCTATAAAAATAGAGCATTCGGCGCATTACCGCCGACACCCATTTTGTTTGTCTTTGCTGGCCCTAGTACCTCCACTCTGGCGGCGGCGCCTGTGAACCCCTCATACCATTCATATCTACCTTCGGTGAATATTGTCTTGCCACCAAAGATCCCCCGTCATGTCTCTCCACACCTCCTACCACGCCGACTCCGATGCGGACGATGAGTACGAACGCAGTGTCATAACTTCACCACACCTTCACGTCGACTCGGAATCTTCCCCCACGGACTCCTCCATTCACTCATCAGAGCACACCCCGACCAAATTTGGACATCCGATCGATGGTCCTCGCTCACCGCGAACACTCATTATAGAATGGGGAGTCGATGAATGCAAGGAATTTTTGACATCGCTTGGATTACTGCAATATCACGGTACATTTCGAGGTGAGCAGACTTCTTCGGGCATATTTAGTTCGCAGTGTTTACTAACCATGATCTATGGCGCAGAGAATGGGATTGTCGGTGAAGCCCTAATTGCCCTGAAACATGAAGAGTTGAAGGAAATGGGCATCAGCAGTGTGGGACATCGACTCACGATCTTGAAAAGCGTGTATGAAATCAAGGTCAAGCAAGATGTTCCCCTCGATGCAGACCATTATATTCCACTTAGTATGTTCTCAGACGTCCTGGTTTAACCTCACTTCTGACCCACACTTGCAGCGGCGGACCAGAGTATGAATGAAACTGCAACACAAGAGGATCTCGCGCGTTTAATCAAATCGATTCAAGTTCGAGACGAAAAGCTCATGTTGGTTGAAACAGAGTTGCGCCGGATCACTGACGATTACCGGCGATTGCGCGAAGAAATCCTACCAGTGATCAAAATAGTAAAAGATCGGTCACACCCATTACCTCCGCCCTCTTCACATGGGCAATCTTCAGAAAGTTGGCACGACAGCACGGCTACTCTCACGTCAACGTCAACTCCCCAACCCACACTCACTCAGGAACTTTCTTCGTCGTCGAAAATTGCGCGGGCTTTCTCCAAACGCATTCATCCTAATGGTGCCACATCCAAAAACAACTCGCCAACCCATCCTCCGCCTTCGGGTTATGATGGACGCTCTCATCACGACAACCTTAATCCGTCAGCTTCTGCCTTGGCCGCTTCATCCCATTTGACGTCCTCAATGAATGGAGGATCACAACTATCACCTGGAATTCCTTCACCGACGTCACCTCACCATCACCATGCTCATCCTCAGACACTCAATCCTCGGTCATATACCCAACCACTCTCCAACGCAAACCGCAACACAGCCTATGATTATGCCGAACAGACCCCGACAATACAGTCTAGAGACCGGTCCACGCCGAGTCAGCTTTCAGCATCCCGTGCGGAGACACCATCTACTGCATCACGTCTTGACCCACGACTCGATAGATCTGACTCACGAGGTGGTGGTGGTGGCGGAGGTGGAGGCGGCGGTGAGAATCCAAGTAGCGTGGAAATCTTCAAGTCATTCCGAGTCTCTTGGGAAGACCCTTGCTACAAGGTCCTACCGGCTGCTCTCAAGAAATACAACATCAACTCCGATTGGAAGAACTACGCCCTTTATATTGTTTATGGGGATCAAGAGCGGTGTCTGGAATTGCAGGAGAAACCCCTTCTCTTGTTCAAGCAGCTAGAAAAGGAAGGACGGAAACCAATGTTCATGTTGCGAAAGATCCACATGGACAACCCTTCAGGCACTCCAGGGCCTGGTGCATCAGCACCTAACAGTGCTGGTTTCAACGGTGGCCAACAAGGACAAATCAATCTTCCCGGCGGCGTGCTCTGATTTTTCTCGATGTCCACGTTTCGTCTTTTAATGCACGCGCATCTGTGGCTTGAGATACCCAATGACTTTCCACTACGTGATGAATATTTCTTCCGTTGCATTTGATTTTGTAGGCCGACTATGTCGCGTTGGTTTTGTCGGTGTTATGTGTGCTATTGGAGGGCCGGTAGGTATACCGTATTCGGGGGATGCATTTATGGGCGACATTGGCGTTTTCTGCTTCTCTTGACGGCTTCGATTCCAGACTCGTCCATGTCCCTTGCAGCATTGTGCATCAGCCTTTTTCTTTTTTATTTTACTTCTTTCAAGATATCCTTGACTGGCATAGGACCATTGGTCCGGTGTGGTTATTTTATTTTATTTTATTTTATCATAGCATAGTACATACTGAGCTTGTACATGAGATTCCCATTGTTTATTCACGTCTGCAGAATTCAATTTGATGTTGGTATTTCAGTGAGACAACTATATGCCACAAACTTGTACAAGGGGACTTCTCAGGCGCTGAACTATCCACAGCAAACTACTCAACCCAGCAAACGCAAAATCTAGAAATTAAGTATCTTTTGTATGATTTACCAATACAAAAGGTACTGCGTTTGTGGACGCACCAGTAGGTGTCTTGGGCGCTTGGCACGGCTACTGGATTTATTACAACATTCATCCACTGATTACAGGATTATTCATACTTTCTCAGGAATCAATCTAGAGTGTGAGAATCACGAATGTGAAGCAATTGTATTAAAATCTAGATTTAAATCACACCAAGTGAACTAAAAGAAAAGGAATGTGACGTCCTCCCCACAGCCAATGCTAATAGGGTACCCCAAAAGATACCCTAGCACAGCTATAACGTGTTGTATAAAGAGGAACGCCTTTCTATACTCTCCAGGGCCGGGAACGGAAGAAAATCCATAGAGGCCGAAGCCATCGGATAAGCCTCAGCAAGCCACAAAGTGGAGCCCCGTGAAGTTGATATAAAAGAAAAAAAGAAGAAAAAAGAAGAAAAAAGGAACGGGCGATGGGCTCGTATTTATTCTCTGATGCTTTTTTCTACGCTAGAGCTCATTTGGCCTCGGTTAAATTGTTCCTCTTCCGGGTGGGTTTTATATCCCAGTATACATATATATGTATCCACCCCCCAAAAAAATGCAAAAAAAATGCAAAAAAAAAGAAGAGGTCGTGCCCGGGATCGAACCGGGATTGCTGGTATCAGAAACCAGAGTGATGAGCCATTACACTACACAACCGAAATTTTCGTTGTATGGCATTCGAATGTTGACCCTATAAACCTAAGTGTAAGACTAAAATCGAGTTGCCGAGATTTCCTTACGAGAGCCGTCCCAAAGCGGCTTAGGGGCTTTCATCAACGGAAGGCCCGAGGCAGTACTGGTGTCAATGGTCAAGGGCATGTTAATTGCAAATGCTATGCTTGAATAAACCAAAATCCAAAGAAGATACTCACAGATTTTTTCTAGTGTGAATGGCTTGCTGCTAAGGGTAAATGAAAAGATTCTTTCTTTGTCGCTAGAAATATACACTTGACATTAATACTGGAAAATATATAATCGACTGTTAACGTGGCAACCCAAAGGAACTAACTATATAGTTTATTTCAGAAATTAAATGGCCAACGAGGTCCAACCTAATAGTTCCTAAATAATTCCCAAGAAACTCCAATTATTACATCTCCGGAGGTTGAGGTATACTCGTTCCGAATCATTTAGGGCTTTCTTTACTTCCTAGTAGGTAGGTGGACCTCCCGGATTATGGATACATTAATGTAAACTTAGTCGGTGATTTCTTGCATATAGAACACAATAGAGCCCAAAGAAAAGGTTGATGGATAAATAAAACAATCAAAAATTGAAACCATCAGATCCCCCCTACGCTGAGTATTCCACCTGCTCACTCTTCGCATCAGCCATTTCCATGACCTCCGCATCATCATTCGCAAACGCCTTATCACCGAATGCAACCGCAATTTCCTCTAGAGAATGGTGCGCTGTCTCAACATAGTAAAAGTGAACCAGGACAGCCGAACTGAGACAGAATCCTGCAATCACGATGTAGAAATAACCATGAATTCCAGAGAAAGCGTCGGGAGAGACCATTCCAATAATGAAGTTGAAGATCCAATTGCTAGTCGTGGCCAGGGCCATACCTTTACTCCGGCCGCGGAGGGGGAAGATTTCGGCAGGTAGAAGCCAAGGCATCGGACCCCAGGTGAATCCGTAGAGGATATTGTAAAGCATGACAAAGGCATACTGACCATTTGCTTTGGTTTGGACATCCACGTTAATTTCGGTGAAGACGCAGACAATTGCGAGTAGTACGGCCATGCCGAGACCTGGTTTGAATTTGTTAAAATTTAGTGGTTCATCAATTCGGTTCCATACGCGAACTGACCTCCAAGAATAAGTAAAGGCTTTCGGCCCCATCGATCTGCTAACCACCAGGTCACAACTGTTGCGGCGGTATAGGGAATAGCATTGGCAGCTGTATATAGCAGGGATTTGCGATTATCATAGCCAGCGGAGGAGAGGGTGCTCGGGAGGTAGAAGGAGATGATGTTGATTCCGTTAATCTGTGCAAACATCTGCACTGTAATCCCAACGATGGTTCGTTTGCGATAGCGGGTGAACATTTCCTATAAAGGGGTGATCCAGGGTTAGTCGATTCACAATAATTAACCAGTTCAACAAGTAGTAAGGGTAGCCTCACCTTCCAGCTGGACTTCCCAAGATTGCTCTCATAGATAACCGCTTCTTGAATTTCGAGGAAGGTGTGCTGAACATGCTCGGCATGCGTATTACCATTAGAATGTAGGTCTGCAATTACCTGCAAGCTTTCGTCCACGAAACCATTCAACGCCAACCATCGAGGGGTTTCTGGTAGGAAGAAAGACATGCCAAGCAAGACAAAAGAGAGCACAATCTGGATGATGAAGGGTCCCTGCCACGAAATAGGATCGGGCAATAAGAAGTTAAACCCATAGTCCACCCAGCAAGAAAGCATATATCCGGCAATCAAACAACTATACTCTATACCCACCATCAAACCTCGGCGGTGAGGGGGCGCAATCTCTGTTTGAATGATGGGCACGGTCATGGAGAGGAAGCCAACGCCCACTCCTTGGATAGTGCGACCTGCAATGAAAGTTGCGAAACCAGGGGCAAACATCTGAATAAACGAGCTGAAGAAGTAAATGAAAGCGCCGATGCGGACACACTTCTTTCGACCAATCATGTCACCAAGACGACCCGCGATGAGTGCTCCCACTGCCGCTGCGGCTTGCAAACACGAAACCGATATGCCTGTAATCGAGGGATTGACTCCACTTGTCGTCCCGTCGGCTCCTCCGTAGTTTTTGAAGAAGCGAGCTATGAATATTTCGTTGACCAGCAGCCCGGACATGATACCTATCAAATCAGCATGTATATCTTGCCAACATATATATAAATATATATACATATGTTATATTCGAGGATGTCATACCAGAGTTATAACCGAAAAGAGCATCTCCCAAACTACCAAAGGCACAGGTTGCATACAGTAAAGCTGTGCCTTTGAAGGGATATCTGGCAGAGATCTTCTTGGGTTTGAGTTTCCTCTCCAGCCATGTCTGCTGCTCCTCAATTTGCGCGGCGACAGCTAGGGAACGCTCTCGGAGAGTCCCACTGGGCGCCGCCTCGAAGGATTTCGTGATAGTCATAGTGCCGTAGAGGAATTGACCAACTAGGATGCAACTTGTTGCAGAAACCACTTGTGGATTTGATCAAGAGACGGGGGAAATGGTTCTATTTATACCCCAGATGCTTCCCGTGGGGAAATGGAGCCGGATGTACATTATGGGGTCACCATTTTGATTTACCGAATTCCATATATTTACATCTCTTTACATACATTTACATACATTTACATACATTTACATGTATTTCATGGAGTTCAGGGTTACTATTGGATAATACGGAAGTACCCAACAGCCTTGACCTATTATTGATCATTTCAAGTCTTATTTCTTATCCAGTTCGTGATAATCCCCGACATTGACTGTGTTTCTGTGGGGGTGAACGGTTCCGTGATTCTCTGGTGGAGCCCTAAATCTCTCGGTTCCGGTGAATTATCAAGCGGTTCCGGGACGATTTGGTAGTTGAATATCCCGGAAGACAACAGACAGCAGACACGGTTCCTGAATGTCCGGTAATTGAATTCGGGATAGCTACGTGTCAGAAGATATGATTAAAAATGAGAATATATTTAAATTCAATGGCTCAAATAATGTCAAGAATTCTTATGGTTCTGTTCCTATTCATTCTACTTTCCCCAATAAAAGGAAGTATCGGGATCCCGTAGACTACTTCGGCTCGAATCTCGGAGACAGATCAAAGTATGGAGACGATACATGGAGACGCTATATGGAGCTGGTCGACTATCCGCCGGAAATACCTCAAAAGATGATCCATTCGCCCACATCTAACTGAGTGGGTAAAAATATTTAGGACATAATATTTAAAGCTCAGTAGAATCCCACATCTACAGAACCTTTGCTCAATTAAATTAAAAAAAAAATCGCGAATATGACCGTCACAAAAGCTACCCAGGTATGTATGTCCCAATCCCAGTGACCCAAACACATAGGTTTATATTTCACCTGCTCACTCTAAAATTTATCTAGACGACTAATGAGGCATTTGTACTGCATCCCGGAGGCACATTTGCTTTCGAAGAACGCAGCGTACCCACACTCCAGTCAGACCGAGATGTCATAGTCCGAGTAATGGCAACAGGTCTCTGTGGTTCAGATGTGAGTGCAACAGCTTCGACTTTCCCCATTCCCCAGCTTTCCCCGCTATTTCACTATTTCCATTGTCTCAATTCCAAAAAAAAAAGGAAAGAAGAAAAAGAAAAAGAAACTAACATAATCCTCGGCGCAACAGGTACACTACTGGCAACACGGCCGGATAGGGCCATACGTCGTCGAAAACCCCATAATCCTAGGCCACGAGTCAACAGGAATCGTGGTAGAGAGCGGAAGCAGTGTTCAAGGCCTCACCGTCGGAGACCGAGTCGCCCTCGAGCCCGGCATCGCCTGCAACACCTGCAATCATTGTCGCAACGGCCGCTACAACCTCTGTCGGGGAATGCGCTTTGCCGCAACCCCACCGTACGACGGAACCCTCGCCACCTACTACCGCGTACCTGCAGAATGCTGTTTCAAGCTCCCAGCCCACATCTCCCTGCGCGACGGTACCCTGATTGAACCTCTTAGCGTGGCTGTGCACAGCTGCCAATTGGCAGGGTTCATGCAGGATAAAGCAGTGGTTATTTTCGGAGCTGGGCCTGTTGGATTGCTCTGCTGCGCTGTTGCGCGCGCTTTCGGTGCCTCAACGGTTGTCGCTGTGGATGTTGTCCCAGCTCGGCTTGCTTCCGCGGTCAAATATGGTGCTACGCACACATACCAGATGAGCACCGAGACGCCGGAGAAGAATGCGCTGGATTTGTTGGCCGCTGTTGGTTTCCCTGATGGTGTTGATGTTGCTCTGGATGCAACTGGTGCTGAGCCTTGCCAGAACTGTGGTATTCATGCCCTCACGCAGGGTGGGACTTTCATTCAAGTCGGCTTGGGAAAACCAAACCCATCGATTCCGGTTGGTCAGATCTGCGACAAGGAGATTGTTTTCAAGGGAAGCTTCCGGTATGGGCCTGGAGACTTCAAGTTGGCCGTTGGATTGCTGAACTCGGGCCGAGTCAAGCTGGATGATCTCGTCACTCATGAGTATCCTTTCAGTCAGGCTGAGGACGCTTTCAAAAATGTCGCCGGTCGGGGTGGAATTAAGAGTGTGATTTATGGCCCACATGTCGACGAGGAAGAGGCAAAATCAACCTAGACATATAGCCCATGCCCTTTGTGACTGTTATTCTTTTTAGATAGACCGCCGATTACCCTCCAACTTCATTCCACGTCATGTCCCACAACCAATATAACCCGCCTTCAACACTATCCTGGTGATTGCTTTCCACAGGTTCCCGAGATAGACCAGGCATGTTCCAATCGTATTCTGCTGGCAGCTGCCATGCTTCGTGTGTTTGTATGCTTGGCTCAACAAATTCACCAAGTTGAATGTTATCTCCGATAGTAGGAATGCCGGCAGAGCGATCCCCTGGACCCAATGCTGGAAAACAGATTTGCGTTAGCAATCTCATCATTTTAGCTACCTCGTAGGGTTGATAAGCCTTACCATATTGGACAGATGTTAAGCTATTATTCAGACGATCAGCCCTGCTGAGGTCCGGCAGACGTTGGTCTCTAGCAAGAGGATTACGAGAATCCCATGTCGCATCGAGCGGCATCCGAAGAGTGTCTTCAACAGAGATCAATGACGGATCCGCCAGGGTCTCTAAAGGCTGATGACCCATTACTTGGCTTGTTGCGGTAATGGGGGCAAGCATGGCAGTTGATTCACGACGGAGGAGCATTATGACAACATTCTTCAGCACAGCCGTGCTCTGTTTCGACAGTGCAGACCGTCTTCCGAGCAGATCTTCCAGACGAAGAATGCGAGTAATTGTTCGCTTTACTTCCTGCGCGGTATCGGAAAGAGGCTCTGAGAGAGCCATCACAGCCAACACAATAGCGGCATTGAACAGATTGATGGCGAGAAATGCGCAGAGATGGCTGTCGGTGGCGAGCTGGGCTAGAGCTGGTAGTTCTGTCACCCTCGATGTTCTTGTTGCGGCATTCATCCATAGATCTGGACTTGTGGTCTGCGTATTGGGAAATGCGGAGTCGGGAGATAAGTGCGACTGGGTCACGGAGGGAGTGGCGGTCGGATTATACATGATGTTATCTGTTCTGCCTTCCTCCGGTGATTGCTTATTCACGGTATAGAGATGATCAACCTGCCGTGCTAACAAAGGTCGATGCAGTACAATGAGAACATTATCGTAAGTCAATTGCAGTGACAGAGACTGCAGAGCGTATGCCCTCAAGCCTGGCCTATCATCGGGATCGAAGTCCCGATTAAGATCCAACCCCAAATGGCTCGGTAGGCAGGCTCGCCATTTTTGGAGGTTCTCAGTGACGTGTCTGACTAGTGCAAAATATGTCTCACCATTTAGCTGTTCGGACGTCCTGAGAGTACGGGAGCCGAAAACGGTCTTGAGAGCAGGCGATGCAATCAAGTAGAGCTGGTTCAACTCCCGCTGGTAGGTTGAATAGCAAATGGGGCTCGCCTCCCCGGAGGCTGGGGCAACAAAATTCGGGTTCTCAAACACATCCGCTGGCATGTCAAGATTGCAATCCTTGTCGTTGATACCTAATGGCCGGCCATAAGTAATTGACGCAAACCTGTCCCATGTGTAAATCGTCCACCACACTCTTTTTCTTTCCTCGATATTTTCGAAATCCCCCCCGCTGTAATCCCCGGTGCATTCCCAAAGACTGAGCCATCTTTATAGTCGCTCCTAATAAAGAAAAGGAGAGATTTGGACGGCCGTGATAGACGTGATGTGACCCTAAGAGGATGCAGGTCTGGGCCGAGGTGACCGAAGGTTGATCCATTAATTCCACTAGGTTTGATTCAACCAGCCCCAACAAGTCGGCACTCAATTTCTTCATATCATCGGTGTTGTCGGCGGGATCGGTGCAACCCCTCTGGGATCGGTACCACGATGCCATTGCAAGCATCATAGCTAACAGCATGAGAAACGGTCGTTGTGAGGGGTGTGCAGAACCATCCGCGATAGAGAGGAGGCTCTTTCTGAATTTTGGCTCGTAAATGGCGAGAGAAAACCAGTGTACAGCATCAAAATAATCTTCCAGCAGACTATATACATGCTCCATAGGAGGGAAAGGCTGACGCAAGATGGAAGATATTGGAATGCGCTGGCCCGTTGCCGGGTTTGCCATGGAACCACCCATGCTGGCCTGGTAGCCCGGTATGGCGGATGTGGTTTGTTCATCAATGTTATGGCTGCCAAGTTGACAAATTCTTCGAGCAATTCCTATGGCGGATTGGGCTTCACCGCAATTGAGAGACGAGGGCAGATCGCTCCCTCCAGCGGGCAACTCAGCATCATCGGGCTGAGGATGCGCACCTATCACTCTACTTTGACTAGGAAGTATTTCACCACGACTAGGGCCATTTTCATCCGGTGACTTTTCGGTAGGAGTCACCGGAGACAGATTGGACATGGACCGATGTCGGACAGTTCGTGAGTTTCTTTTGGAAGCCAGACGCCTAATTTCTCATGTAAGTAAAAGAGCAAGTGAACTCGTTAACTAGTTAGTTAAAAGTATCTGTCCAGCTTACTTCAGCAGAGTAGACCTCAGTGGTCGGGTATTTGGAAGTGGTTGGCAATCAACATTGGCTCGGATACAGACTGAGCAAGGCCGAACATGATCACACTAGGTCCAAGTTGAATTTAGTATATGTCGTTAGATCCTGATTAGGATCAGGGTGGCTATACCCGAGATTTATGGCGGCGACATCTTTCGCAGGCACTCCGGACTCTAGTTGGCAGTGGCGACCGGACGTAACTGCTTCTATCGGCAGGGTCAACATTAAAGTCCCCAGCCATGATTGTATATTGGAAGGTGAAATGTCGACAGAAATGAGATTTTGGGGATCAAGAACTCTCTCTCCATCCTTAAAGTGTATTATTCACCCGAAACCTGTATTAGCTAAGCCACGTGGATATCCAACCCCGGAATCTCAGGTTCTACCCGACCTCATGTTTTGTTGATATACTAGTAGGCTTCAGGGCAAAGAAATCTAGGCTTAGTATTGTGGATCTTTGCCAGTTTTCTCGTTAAGAACTTACACAAGGACATATTAACATAGATTGAAGTTTTGTATATACTATTCGGAGAGAAAAAAAAAGGATTGCAAAAAAAAAGAAAAGAAAAAAGAAGAGGTCGTGCCCGGGATCGAACCGGGATTGCTGGTATCAGAAACCAGAGTGATGAGCCATTACACTACGCAACCAAAATTCTTGATTACGTGATCCCATAACATGCTGATGAAGCTGAAATAAAAAAAAATAACCAATACAGGAAAATATTTCCGCGTCTCCATCGCAATCACTCCGCCATCAAGGGCCTCAACAGATACCGAATGGAGATTCAAAGCGATTGGGTGGAGGATTATCGGCCAGGTGGTTATCATCCAGTCGTTCTCGGCGACGTCTTCAACCACTAGTATAAGGTGATCCGGAAGCTTGGCGAGGGCTCCTACTTAACGGTTTGGCTCGCCCATGTAAATCTATGTTTTACATTTCTACTAGCGACACTATATATGATCGTTACGTATTTCCTTCGAGTAACAGTCGATATGTCGTCCTAAAGATACTTGTGTCGGAAACCTCGGAATCAACAACCGAGCTACGTGTCAAGTCATGCACTCGTTATAGTATATATAAAAAATGATAATAAGCATACATCTATACTTGGAAATATGACTTGATGTTTGACATAACTAATATAAACATATGAGCTATTTTACCGACGTATTTCGTCTTTGCCTCTTACTTATAATTCAGATAACTAGCTAAAAATTGTACTTGACTCATAAAAAAGAATGCTTGCGCTTGTCCTCAACATGAATTTAAATAATCATCCATCCTTATCATCACGTGCTGTCGTGTCGGGGACGCGTTAGACAACTTTCTTTTCGCCCAAAGATCAAAGCCATTAGTTCTAATAACCCTGGCAACTAAATCCCAATGAGTTTGGATCGTGTCATTCAGGATTCTGACGAGGACGAATCCTTTGAGGGAGATGACCTCCCCACCTCTGTCAACCCTCCCCACCCCTCCGAGCCCGCATTGCAGCAGGAATATCAACAGGAATATCAGCATGCCCCCGCCGAACAGACGACCCACAATGCAGTGTATGAACATGGTCCTGCTCCTGATGAAAACATGTTCCCACAAGTGAATGTAAATTTCGACGAGTTTCTCCAATCGCAAGAACAGGGCCATTCAATGCTATCGTCGTCGCAGCAGCGACGGGAGGACAGATGGATCCCCTCAACCAGTGAAGGTGGGAGTGGGTCGGTCGGTACGATGTGATAGCATAGCTTGAAGCAGAAATAAATATGTGATCGATATGCTGATACCAGAGATAATTTAGGCGTTATGATGACCGAGATCGGACTCGCGCAGAGAAGACTTCTAGACGACGACCCTTCAAGTGCAAGCCTGCCGCTCCCTTCTACGGCCGCACTGTACTCGACAGAATCATTTCAGTCTGCGCCATTCCCTACCATACCAAGTTACCACTCGTATGAGATGGGTCCACCAGAGAGTGGCAGCTTCGCATATAATCCAGCACCCATTGGCGGCCACGTCGATGCAAATCAGACTTCATTGCCCCCCAGACAGGGTATCTATGATTTGACTTCTCATGACACTACTAACGCAATGGCCTTGCCTCCGAAAATTGTCCCTCACCAAACTACTGAGCCCTTCATGGAACAAAAGAATCCATACCAAAACCCACCCCAGGAAGTTTCACAGCCCAAATCTCAGCAGACGGGTCCCAATTCTCCCCATGACACTGAGCCCCTCTCCTCCGTTGCATCCATGCGATTTAGCGAAGCAATTACCACTACCGCCGGAACCAGTCTCATTTCCCCGCAGCAATCCCAGTCAACCACGCACGACGAGCTTTCTCTGCCAGCTGTCATATCAACTGTGCCAGGCGTCGAAACGCCCGGCGCAAAGAAAAAACGAGGAAGGCCCAAGAAACAACCCGTACCAGATAACGACGAAGACGATGAGCTAGCCAACTCACGGGACCACGAGTTCAAACAACCTGGCGCAAATGGTGCGATTGACCCTTCCGATAGCGAAGAGATCACGGAAGATGACACCCCGGCCTCGAGTGGCGTCTCCGGCGAGACTGACGAAGATAATCTAGAAGCAGCCCTCAAGCCTGCAAAATCAGGACCCAAGGAGCCGAAAAAGAAGAAAGCCAAAAAAAGCAAGACGACACCCGCCCCCAAGCCTGATGCCGATGACGACGTGATATGGATGGATACGAAGCCTCTCAGCGTGGAGCCTTCAACCGGGAGTGCCACTCCACAGACAGAAATTCCAGAGCCCCCAAGACAGGATCTAGACTCCAATGCTATGGACTCAAACCCGCCTGTTGATGTACAGACACCGATTCCCGCAGCCGAAGAGAAGAGCCAAAACGCCCCAAACCCCGAAAAACCAGCACCCAAGAAACGCGGACGCAAACGAAAGCAGACGATTGAGCAAGCAGAAACACCATCAGAGTCCGCAGATACACCCGAACCAAACAAACCGGCCTCCGGAACCCAGACTCCTGCGTCGAAGTTGGCCGTCATTGTTGATAATAGTCCCAAATCCATACTGGAAGCTAACACCAGCAACAACGACGCATCTGATATTCAAAGCAAGGACCAGAACCCCCATCCACTTCCTGCTCCTGATCCTCTCCCTGAACCTAAAATTGATACCCCTCAACCTCAGACTCCTTCGAAGCCTGATGCTGCGTCTGTCAATACACCGCAGAACGCAGGAAAGGGCCCGGATAAGCATAGTCCCATCTCGGCGCGGAGCGGGGTGCCTTACCGCGTTGGGTTGAGTAAGAGGGCGAGGATTGCGCCGTTGCTTAAAATGGTGCGGAAATAGGGAGGATTTTCTGCTTTCTTCTTGATCGAGATCTTTATTTTATGTTGATTGTTGTTCCCATTTTCATTGGGTTAATCTGCTGCTACCATTATTCTGCTATCATTATACCCCTCGAGAGAATGCTCTCGGCGTGCTGCTTTCCTTCTTGCTTTTATTTTCTTTTTGTTTGTTTTCTTCTGTTGGTATTGGTATTAGTACCTGAATATCTCACATGGTTGCATGTCCATACTTGATCATTTATATGGAGTGGAAGAAAAGTTGGCAATATCCTGCCCAGGTGTGAGCTGCGACAATCTGTCCTGAGATCTCGGTTAGTTCAAATATCGAAATGATTATATTTATTTGAGGATCGGAGTGGAACTTGCAGGGTTAAAGGATTATTACACGAGAGCCTCCAATCATTAGTCAAACAGAAGACAAAATTTTGTATTGCTGCTTGTTGATGATTCCTATTCCACGAGCTAGCTAAACCTGCCTCGTCTGTCGATAAGTTCAAATGAATGGAGTGACTACAATAAAGCCACAACATGGAAGCATAACTATAACATCGACAATGTCAACTTGGCCAAACAATCATGGCAATCCAATCCAAAGATCAAGATGATGCATCACATCCACATCGCAACGATCAAAGCAAGGAACAACGACATGGCAGCCGCGGTGCCAATATTTCGGAAATCAGAATCCGCTTCTGACCTGTGGCTCTTGGTTTCAACTTTTGGGTCCCAGGCATCCCCATTGTAAGGAGCTTCGACGGAACAATATCCGGCATCTTTTTGACACCCGCTTCCACAATGACTGGAGGCGTTACCGCAAGAGTTAGTACTACCACAGCAAAAGCCATAGGTAGAGCCAAGGCAAGTGTAATTGGAACCACAGGAGCCGTCCCAAGAGATCGGCTTGTTGGGATCTGCCGATGAAGCAGTCTTCTTGGGCTTCTTCTTGTGGGTGGGCATCCGGCTATCCTTGCGGTACCAGAGCGGCCTGGGATCTCGGAGACAGTCACCAACGGTAATGGCGCGATAGCCCTGTCTTTTGATGTTCTTGAGCATATGCTCCGTAAGGTTATGGACAGTCTGTTCATGGGCGTCATGGGCAATGACAAGCCAAGACTTGGTGCGTGGGTCGCTGTACAAGAGCTGGTGATCAAAGATATCCTTAGACCGCTGAATCAGATCCGGACTGTCGTTTTTGTAGTCGTCCGTGTCAATGTCATACAAAATGATGTGATATCCAAGCTGGCCCAAATCATTTCCGCACTCTGTGTCAGGGTTGCAACTGGAATATGGTGGCCGCATGTAAGTGGGGAATTGTCCAAGGATATTGCGCAGCGCAGCCTCATTCTTTTCAATCTGATCATTGCGCTGTGTAGGAGTGATCTTGCTGAGGTCCTCATGCGACCACGTATGACTGGCGATCTGGTGGCCACTCGAGTGCATGCGTTCGATCAATGAAGCCCACGGCAAGGATAGGTCATCAATAGGACCTTTTCCGTTATTGATGCCAGTGATGAAGAATGTCGCCTTTGCATCATATTTGTCAAGCAGATCGAGCAGATCGCCAGTGTAACGTGTCGGGCCATCGTCAAAGGTCAATGCAACAGTTCCGGGGATAGCGCATGAACGAATCTCGCGAGGGCCGTACGGAACTTGACCGATGTGAGGACGGGGGATTTCTTTGGTTGGGGGTCCATCAGGCGATCGGTGAGCGTCACATTTACCGTAGTCAATCTTGCAGTCTGGAGAGCGACAATGTGCCTTAGATGTGCCACAGAAACCTATCGCGGAAACGTCATCAGTAAGCTACTCAACCTAACGGAGTTTGACACATACCTGCAGCGGAGCAGCATGTACCGACTGGACACTTGCCGATCTTGGGGCCACAGCGATAGTCCAAATTGTTGGGGGCATCACGGCTGTTCAAATGAGACTCGGGTTCTGGTTGAGATTGTTCAACCAAGACCGTATGCACAGGAGTGGTGCCATGCACTTTAGCAAATGCACACGTCGCCAAAGTGGCGACCAAGATGGGATGAATACGCATCTTGACAATGATATATAGGGTTAAGTTATGTTCAGCTGGGTATGCAGGAGGTGATGGGTTGGGATGATAGCACAAGGTGATTGTGGGAGAAGAAGAGAGAAAAGACAAGTAGGACCTCAGAGAAAGGTAATGAATGAGCTAATTTCTACAAGAGGAAGGAGGACAGGAAAGGAAAGAGCGAGGAAGCTTCAAGGCATTTGTTTACTTTAAAACACAAAAGGCAGGAGCAAACCTCCTAGCAAGAGCTCTCAACCTTTACATAAAGATGTAGAAGTGTATGTTGACGCGCTTTTATTCAATATGAACGTGGGTATCGTGAAGTCCATGGCCATCTTGGGCATCGGAGGGGTTGGCCTAAGAGCCTAGTACATTTTCCAAATCCAGCAAATCGCAACCTAGTGGATGCGATCAGTATGGTCATGACGTGACCATATTCATATAGCCAATTTAGATCAGATGCGGCACATCAAGCTTACGCAGCAGCTCTCAGCATCAGGTGGAAGGGTTTGGGCTACAGGGCAGTGTCGGTCAGACATCTATCAGTTGTAGACCAAGTTATTATGGCAACTCAGTTTGTCCGGGTAATGTTATCCTCGCCGACTGCCGAGAAGACAAAGGGAGCAAGGGTGTCCAGGTGTGGGCCGAATTTCGCAGGTGCAGTTCTCGCAATGACGCCAATTGCAGCAATCAAGTGTCGACGCTGCACCATGGAAATGTTGGAAGACAATATTTTTGTCAGATTGGACACAAAACCGTTGAGCTGATTGTCGGAGAAGTGGAGCACAAGCGCCGAGATGGCTGTTAGAGCGCGCTTAGTGACAACAGTTCCAGCCGTGTCGTTTTGGATGATGGCCATGACGGAGACTTGGAGAGCAGCTAGCTCTGACTCCTGGAGAAGAGGCCCAAAGCATGTCACGACCTTGATGAGCACATCGATGGCATCACTGCTGAAGCCCCGCGATGGATCCTTCTCCATCATGCTCTTCACCATTGAGCCCCGCCGCCCTGTGTCCGAGGGTGTTGGCCCGGTCAAACGGGGGATCAAGACCTTCGAAACTGCCGAGTATGCCGTAATCGCATTTTGAGATGCAGGCTGACCTGACTGGGGACGAGGGAGGGTATCGACGATGACGCGAAGAGCAGTGTTGGGGACAGATGTGTCTATCGTCTGGGAGGCAGTCAGACTGGCTAATTGCTTGAGGAGAGGTGTAAGAGATTCAAATGGCAAGCGAACAGCGAGAGGACCGAGACTGGTTCAGGTTAGACATTAGCAAGACTAGAGGGGAATAGCGCCCAGGACGAACCATTTGAGGGCCTGGTTCTGCACGTCGCCGTGTTGATCGTCCAGGGCCTTCAGCAGACCTTCTGCAAGATTTGTTGATGTGCCACGATCGTGAGAGAGGAATGAAGAGTTCGGGTTGGTCAGGATCCCATATAGATCGTTCAAGGACATGTATCTCAAGTCGGCGTCGGGGTCATCAAGCTTCGATAGCAGAGTGAAGATTGTCTGCTGGGTAACCTGGCGGTCAGCCATATTGATGTGGTTGTGAGTGTTATTGAGAGATGGGCACAAGTGAAGTTGTGTAAATGTACGTAGGTAACCGGGGAGAGCTTGCTAGCTTTTGACCAACGCCGCAACGTGGGGTGTTGACACCTAAGGTGTCAATTATTTGTAGCCTGAGGCAATATATTACAACTACTCGATAACTTTATATTTTCTTATTAGCATAAACTGTTTGCTTAGGACTAATGCATATATAGTCATTCCAAGGATATATCAATGAATTTGATATTAAATACTTGTATGTTCTCCAATTACTACGTATTTGATCTGATAATCAGATAGATCGTTGAGATGATCCACATATCGAACGGGTCCAACATCCAAGAATGCCAGCTCTTATCGATACCATACCGAGGTATTAAAATATGTACCTTATGTGTCTTTTACAAGTACAAGTTACATTCCAAACCACCAAAGCTAATTGTGTTTTCAAGAACCGAATACCTGACCCAGCCACGTCCATTACATCACCAAGCACAGACCAACTCGGAAACAACCAACAAGTGGTCTTACGACGGGAACCTTGGAAGCTCTGGTTTTGTACGTAGTTAACTTGACCCTGTACTCTACTCTCCCCTCAATCTATCACACTTGCCATATTCTCTATCCCTTCCACTCTATTCGTACCCTGGTGGCTACTACACAATGGTATTTGCACGCCGTTCAATCTTCCGTGCTGCGACTGCAGCTCAGTCCTTCCGCGCCGCTCCAATTGTCCGCCAGTCTGCCCAGCTTCTCAGTCGCCGATTCAAGTCTACTGGCGGCAGCTATGAACACGGGTCTACATCCAGCGACTTACCTTGGTGAGTTTATGTTCTTGCTTCCGAGCAATTCGACTTAGTTTTCTAATTACGTCTGATTGTAGGTTGGCGGCCTCTGCTGCTGTGACCGTTCCAATGGTCTTTTATCTCTGGCCTTCCGGTTCAGATGGACATCACGACGCTCACGGGGACGCGCACGGGGACGCTCACGGGGACGCGCACGGGGACGCTCACGGGGACGCTCACGGGGACGAACACGCGGAAAGGGACGGCGAGGTAGAGGAGGCTTCCGAGGAGAAGCCCGCTGAGCCTTCCTCTGAGACGGCGCCAGAAAAGGAGGAGACGGGAGTTGAGGAGAAGGGAGCTGAGGAAAAGGGCGAGGACAAGGCGGATAAGAAGGAAGAGTCCGAGGAGAAAAAGGAAGATCCAGAGGAGAAAACAGAGCCCAATGAGGAAGACAAGGACGAGAAGCCCAAGGACGATGACACCAAGGAAAACGATGACGACAAGAAAGATGACTTTAAGGAGGGTGCTGGAAAGAGTGAGGACAATGAGCGCGAGTCCAAGAACTAAAGATGCCTTTGTCTTGAGCGGCCCCAGAACCAAACCCGTGGATGATGTTTCAACATGTTAATTTTTGATGTCCTTGCCCCATACTTATGTACCTATACCTCTACTAGATGCGAGATATGAGATACCAGCCATATTTACGTGTCAAATAATTTTTTAACGATAGTTTATTGCTCATTCTACCGGCTTGGTCTAATGCTAATGAGGCATGGGCATTTATATGGAAGCATGATAGTTGGCCGCTTATACGACCTCAGCATTTGATGATGCAGGGCTAGATAACACGAAAGTCAAATTGGTTTTATACACGTATAGCAGTTCTGATTAGGATCCTGTTGTGATGGCTCTCTGGTATTCCTTGAAACGTCTTTTTAGATGGTCGTTTTGAGATAGTCAATTGCACATGGGATGCAAGCCTTGTATACCCGCTGATACTCATATTCAAGAGATCACTCCCTCTTCTCTTTGCAAGGTCCATGAATGGCTATCTCGGGGTGATGCAAGAGATGAGTGATGAGTGGAGAAGGCGGAAATTCGATTGAAATACCCGCGCTCTCGTGCATTTCACTTTCCTCACACTATCGATCCTTGGCTGCTTATGCGGCCTTGTCATTGTCTCTATGTTCTTTTGGCCTAGCTAACTAGCCAGCGGTCAAACGCTCTTATGTAATTTCCAGGTGCAGCCCTGGAGCAGCCTGGGTTCCCGTCTGGATTACATAGAACCAGTTCCAACACCACGTGACACACAAAGCCCTTTGAACTTCAACCGTAGTACCATCAGGGAAGGAAGTTCAATTCGCTAACTGCGCTTAGTCGGCGTATGTGACGCGGATGGTGACATCAAATCCGGCGGCGAGCCGCATACATCGGACCTTGCCTATTCCCCCAGTATCTAACATAGTCACCACTAAGGAGCTCCTAGTGCCAATGTTCATTGGTGGTAATACATCAAATCACTAATAAGCAAGTTACAAGTCTTGGTGGATTGGACATCGCAATAAGTAGAGAGCAGATAATCCAATATATACCCACCTAAAGCCTACGCGAGTGATGGATCTGAACAATTGACAGGTGTCATGTAAAGAAAATCCCAGCAAATGAATTCGAGATGTTGATAGACGCTGAGGATCATTGGTTTAGATACACTATTCCTGCTGATGGCCAAGCTAGTTGGACATAACAGAGAGACCGAGAGACAAGTAACGAAAAGCACAAACTGAGAACATTTATGTGAATAGGACCAGGCTAACTCACAAAGTTCGAACTGTATGGACATATTCAATGATAAAACCCAAGCTAATCATACCTACCCTCTATACAATTCAATTCAGATTCAATTCAGATTCAGTTCAGATTAAGATATAGTAAGAAATCGTCAAGAGTATAAAGAGCCCAATTGATATAGTAACTATTCATTTAACTAGTTAGTTATAGATTCAACAATGGTACTTGTGAAGTGAGAGTGGATCTAAATTATTGCCTGGAAATATAAACCAATGAGAGAGTTATGTGTCGGTGGCATAACTCAAATCCGGCTGGTCACCCATGACACCCCAAACGTTCTCGACAGCCAACCACTGAGAATGGGCAGTGTTGCTGTTGTATTGCTGGATTGACATCCACTAAGAAATTCACGGGTCGCGTTTAGAGGCATTGCAGCTTGCCACAAAAGCCGGGAAGGTGACTGGATCACGGCGGCGCAACATATTGGGTTTAGTCATGGACTTGACCGATTCGGCGCGAAGTAGATAGATCAAGATCTCATCGACAAAGAAGGGAACATCGATAAGGAATAGAGCATCTTCGTCGGAGAATTTCGCGAGGCGGTTGTAGAAATAAAGCCATGCCGAGAGATACCAGGCAATCTCGAGGTTGTTGTTGACGATTTCCTCTGGATCTAAGCCAGGTTTAAGGGAAAGTTCGAGGTTATAATCAGGTTGGGATTGCTGCAGAAGGGATGCCAATTGCTTGATGCCTTCTATACAGTACTCAGGGACCGGGCGGTTGTTCAGCTTGTATCGTTCGATGATTTCCGCTAGCTTCTCAGTCTCCGTGATAGCAAATTTGGTGACGATTGGAGCCCCATCCAACGAACCGAATGGCTTGTCCATCGTCATGGCGAAGTGATTACTTAGAGCAGCAGTGCAAACGAAAAAGCAAGAGGACGATAGACCGTTAAGCGTTTAGGAGATATCAAGTTTGACGAGAACAGAGTGGTATGTGATATTTATGTAAAGAGATGGCACTGTCCTTCCTACTCGTTATTATATTTATAAATTTATATTCATGGATATCCTATTCATTTGTTATCAATATCTTTCCTGTTTCATATCGCTTGGATCTGTGAATAAATGTTAAATTAATGCATTTCTTCCCTACGGAGTATACTATACCTTGTAGGCATTGGCTGTTCTGTAGATCGTAGCCTTTGGCTCTAGACTAGATTACCATAACTGGGGAATTGACTATATTTGCAATTGTGCACTCTTGAGAAAGAGACCAAAAGACTTGATTTTTCACAGACAATCAATTCAACCCAGGTTCCAAAGGCCTAAAGTTATTCTTGGACATTGAAATGTTCTGATATCTCCAACATTTATATGAGATCAATCCGATCATAATTACGAAACGAGGTGAATACGCACCTCGGAATGTCACGGACTATAAGAGATCCAGGAAGGTAACAGCAGCATAGAAGCTCCACATTATAAATGGGAGACGAGATCAAAATTTTTTCCTTTCTCTTTTACCCCAAAGCTTCACCATTGATTCCGACTCCATCCAAAGGTATTGGGTGCCGGTGCCGGCTTTTATCCATCGCTCTGGTCATTCCCTTCTTGGGGTCCTCGCTGACCTTGATCTTGTCTGATTTATCCCAAAATAGGGAACAAGCTGTAAGAATCCCTTCTAACTATATCTTGGATAAAGCTCATTACTAATAATACTCGAATTTTAGGGAGCAGCGACCTCCATTATCGCACTGGCTTATGGAAGACTCAAGTCCCTCAAATGCCTCGGCACTCCGAGGAATCCGGAAATGGAGCTCGAGTACTTCGTATATTGCAAGTATAGCTCGGCTAAGTTCCAACCACCCCCAGACCACTCGTTCCGGTGGCCCGATGAAACATTTTCAACATTGCTCCGATTCTGCATTGGCTTCTCGTATACCCGTCGACCATATTTGGTCTCGACATTACCACTCTTTCCGATGAGTTCCCGAGAATCAGAACATGGAGCTCCGATTTTTATTGGCTTCTCGTATGCCTGTTGGCCTTGTTTGATTCTCTGGATGGTGAACTCCCCGGGAATCAGAATATGAAGCTTCGTTTTCTATTGACTTCTTGATACCCGTCGACCTTGTTTGGCTTCTTGTATGCCTGTTGGTTCTCTGGATGACCACTCTTTCTGGTGAATTCCCGGAAATCAGAAAATGGAGCTTCGATTTTTATTGACTTCTTCATACCCGTCGACCTCGTTTGGCTTCTTGTATGCCTGTTGGTCTTGACTGGTTCTCTGGATGACCACTCTTTCTGGTGAATTCCCGGAAATCAGAAAATGGAGCTTCGACTTTTATTGACTTCTTCTTACCCGTCGACCTCGTTTGGCTTCTTGTATGTCTGTTGGTCTTGACTGGTTCTCTGGATGACCACTCTTTCTGGTGAATTCCCCGGGAATCAGAAAATGGAGCTTCGATTTTTATTGACTTCTTCATACCCGTCGACCTCGTTTGGCTTCTCGTATGCCCGTCGGTCTTGTCTGGTTCTCTGGATGACCACTCTTTCTGGTGAATTCCCCGGGAATCAGAAAATGGAGCTCCTATTTTTATTGACTTCTTCATACCCGTCGACCTCGTTTGGTCTCGACATCCTCCGCGTGTTCTAGCTTTGGCCAATTCACCCCGAGCGGCGTATCTGGATCATTTGGATGCTTTGAGACCCTGGTCGAAACATCGAAATCCGCTGTCTCAAGAAATAAACGCGAATTAGGCAACTCGTCGACCGATTTCAAATACAGCCGCTGCTCCAGCTAAAAATACGACTGTGTCTGAATTACCCATCGCGGTGGCCGATATTCGTCCTTCTCTTCTGTCTCAACCTTCGTATCGAAAAAGGATGAATCAAAGCTTTAACCCGTGAAGGATCAATCCATTTGCTGTCATTTGAAAATGACTATCATTTGAGCTGTTTCTTTTCTTTTTTGTCTTCAAGGTTTTCTGGGCCTTGAGTCATCCTAAACATTATCACCACATTTTCACTTCCTGTTCCAAAAAATGACTGTTGTTGCGTCCTTGCATTTTAGACTACTTCGATCAATATGACACTGACTTGTATATTTGTTTGCTCGGATTCAAAGTGAGATGAAACGTTGAAACGTAATTTCCTTAGATCCATTTCAACAATCAATATTTATGTCTGAATGATAGACAATAGAGATTGGTAGAAGTAGTGTAGTATATTGCTTTTTGGTTTGAGGGTAGGAAGCTGATATGTAATTATCCCCTATCGTCATCGCCCCGAAGCTATTCAGTATAACAGTACCTAGCACGCGGCAAATAAATACGGATGAAAATAGTTGCGGCTTTAGCTTTATAGAATGAATGATGAATGGTAAGCGGTTACAACAGTAACGGCATTAGACTCGGCAATATGTAGTGTTAAGACTAACGGATATTTACCTCAAGGCAAGGTGAAGCGGTGATGTAGGTAGTGGTAAAGGTGAAGAGTGGAGGAGAGAAGAAAATACATTCATCGCTAGGTCTGGGGGGGTGCATGATATTCTGTATGGTGGGAATAGCTTCATTACTTTGGGTACTACTTTGCTTAATAAAATAATAAAACACCTGACATTGATTGTAGTTCAGGTGATTTTACCAGTTCAAAATAAGGCACCAATAATCCATTTTCAGGCATTTTAAGGCATAAACTAGGCCAAAAGTCCATTGGCCGTTATATCCCTTTGATGCCCTTTGCAACCCCCTTCAGATATCGTCTTCAGATATCATGTCATGTCGCTGGGAGTAATTTTTCAAATGAAAGTAAGCTTGACTAAGTTGATATATATATATATATATATATATATATTTGAGAGGTTTCTTTAAGTTCTTTTCAGCTTGTTATCACATACATGGATTCAAAGAAAGACCGTTGATATGCAAGCGACAATATGTTATAAAATACAGAAGCACATGAATGCCAACAGAACATTAAGAGAATGACAATCTAGTAAAAATTAGTTAATTCTTATGCTCGTCAAAAAAACAAGCGCCGGCGCCCGCTCTTCCAAAGGGCTATCTAAGAGGCACAGCCAATGCACCAAACTCAGACCCAGCTTCAACAAATACATTAACAGCATATCAACACATCAACACATCAACACATCCAGAGGATCATCTGGTAAGCCACCCGTTCCAAAAAAAAAAAAGTATAACTATAACACGGTGAAAATTCCCGGCTTGGATGCCTGGGTCATCGATTGAATGGTAATCGATTTAATGATAATCGATCGAAATCCAACAGAAGGCGCTCGGCTTACGCCTTTCTGCTGCGAGTCCGTGGACCACGCTGTTCAGCGACAGGCTCGCCGTTGATCAGAACCTGGGGTGCGTGGTTCTCCTTGCTGGTCTGGTCTGCACCAGTGGCAATTCCCTTGGTCGCATTGACAGGCTCTAGCTCTAGCTCTTCCTCTTCATCCTCACTGCGCTCATCTTTTGTGACATTAGTGAAGAGGTAGTTTGACAAGATGCGCAGGATCAGGAACAGCCAGAACAGATTGACAGCCTGCAAACTGGCAAGCAGCGCAAAGGTGATATATTGACTGATCCAGCACTTGTACTGCTGTGTCTCCCAGTTCAGTTCGAATGGTCCAACCGTGCGGAACTCAGTCAGAACAGCCCAGAGGATCTTCAGGTTCAACACGTGACGCAGGTAAATCCACCATCCAATGAACATGGCGAAGTAGGGCGCAGTGATATATGCATCCAGATAATTGAGCGTCTTGGAGGTGGCCAAAAAGAAGTCAGAGATATCGTGGGTGATGTACACCGCCAAGCCTATGTAGGTGAAATGGAAGCGGTAGCTCAGAGCGATAAGAGCAAGCGTGATGATATGGTGACCAACAAGCTCCTTAAAGTCCTTACGAGGCTTCTCCAACTGCAGCATCAAGACAATTGCCTGCTGGGCCCAGTAACTCGCCTCGAGCAGGTAGTATGCCTTGAACAGACCCTCGTGCTCGCGGTGTGGGAAACCCTCAAACATCGCCGTTGTGTTGAAGTACCAGATAGTCGACCGCTTCATCACGTACAGACCAAACGGCCCAAACACAGCGAAGTAAACTGCCGTATATGCCTGCTCCATGAATCGCGCCGTTTTTCCCTTCCCGCGGATACCGCACCACACAGCAAATGGCCGAATCATCTGCTGCATGATGAATTCACGGGTGAAAGATAAAACGATAGTATAGAATGCCACAAAGGCAATGTCCTTCTTGCCTTTGCCGTACATGATGGGTCCGCCGGGAGTCTTCGGGGGTTGCGGGTAGGATAGGAAGATGGCGCTGTGGATTGGGTTCGAGGTTGTGGGGTTGATGGCGTACAGCGCGACCAGGAAGAGAATGACGAGAAGTGGCAGGAGCCATGTGTATCGCAGACAGGTATCGGCGAACCGGTGGAGGAGGGAGCGGGCGCGACGCCGTTTGGTATGGGCCTTGGTGGCCTGTTTATGTGCGCCATCAAATTGCTAGTGGGATCGCGAGTTAGTAATGGGGATTGGAACCCGCAGGACGACAATTTTCAATGCGTACCTTCAGACCTGGTGAGGTTGGTTCGATCGGGCTCACTTCATTCATTGTGGACATGGCTGGTGCACTGGTGTCACCTCTAATATCCACGCCCAAGGCTGAACTTTTTCGCGGGCGAACCATGACGAGATTGTAGGAAACTCGAGCTTGGTACCCTTTTCGGACTCGGGGGGGTGTTGGAGTTCAGGTGCTCCAATGGAAAGAGATGAATAGGAGGAAATCGGTGTTCATAACCGGAACAATCGGAAAGAGAGAATGGATCGTGAAAGACGATCCTGCTTTTTTTTTTTTTTTTTTTTTTTTTTCCCTCCAGGGGTGAACT